ACAACTCGTTTAAATATGCCTATCCCTACTTCCCGTCTCATCTTCTCATCCTTCGCCAAGTTCCTCCTCCAATCCCACTTCGACATTGACCCAGTCCGTCGCACCTTCGCCTATAAGAAGGTCGCAAACAAGGTGAAGCCCATGACAACGACCATGCCAGTACATGCGCGGATCATCCATCATTTCCCAGAAGACCCTCTCACATCCTTGCCACTCCTTTCCCCCACACCCCCTGCATTCATACCCGGCACCCGCCTTACCCAAGAATGAATGGATGAGCTCGGAGTCTTCAAGAACGAATTCCTTCTCCCTGAAGAACGAAAACTCACCGCTCACGTTCTAATGAACAATGAGCTTGTGCTCGCCTGGAACGAGACGGAGAAGGGACACCTCCAGGATGACTATTTTCCACACGTCATTATACCCACCATAGAACATACACCATGGACTCACTGCCAACCCCCAATTCCCCCAGGTATCAAAGACGAGGTCGTTAAACTGATCAAGTCCAAGATAGCCTCAGGCATTTACGAGGCGTCCAACTCATCCTATCAATCCCGCTGGTTCTGTGTCGCAAAGAAAAGTGGAGCGGTGTGTATTGTGCATGACTTACAACAGTTGAACTCCATCACCATCAAAGACACTGCCACCATGCCTTACGTCGAACTCTTCACAGAACAGTGTGCGGGACGCGCCATATACTCCATGATGGACCTTTTCATCGGGTTTGACCATTGCGCCCTCGCCAAAGAATTGCGGGATATCACCACATTCCAAACTCCCCTCGGAACCTATCGCCTCACCGTCCTCCCACAGGGATGGACTGATTCCCCCGCCGTCTTCCAAAACGATGTTGCATTCATCCTGCAAGCTGAAACTGAGGTCGCACCAAATTTTCAGGATGATGTCAACGTCCTAGGTCCCTCCACACGCTACGAGCTGCCTGACAGTTCATATCAAACCCTCCCCGAGAACCCAGGAATCTGCAGATTTGTATGGGAGCATTGCACGGATGCTAATCGCGTGCTCCACAGACTCAAGCATGCCGGTGCCACAGTATCCGCTAAGAAACTGTTCCTCTGTGTGCCCCAAGTCCTCGTTGTCAGTCAGTTGTGTACCTACGATGGGTGCATTCCCGACTCATCAAAAGTGTCTAAAATCCAACACTGGCCCGCCTGCACATCTCGCACTGAGGTTCGCAGATTCTTGGGCATGGCAGGAACAGTCCGAAACTGGATCAAAGATTATGCAGCAATCAGCCGCCCACTCACAAACTTAACTCGCAACAATACACACTTTGAATGGTCTCCTGATGCGCAGCTAGATATGGACATGCTCAAATCCACCGTCATCAATTGCCCCGCAATCAGTCCAATCAATTACACGTCCTCAGACTGAAGTCGTTCTAGCAGTCGACTCGTCGCAAATCGCATGTGGCTGGATTCTTCTTCAAATCCGAAATGGACAGCAGTTATCCCTCACGATTCGGCTCAATTACATGGAATGAATGGGAATCCCGCTATTCCCAAGCCAAGATCGAGCTGTATGGTGTGTTTCGAGCTCTCAAAGCAGTCAAACTGTGGATTATCGGCATACGCAATCTCGTCCTCGAAGTCGACGCTAAATATATTAAGGGCATGTTGAATAACCCTGACATCCAACCAAATGCGGCCGTAAATAGATGGATAGCAGGAATTCTTATTTTCAGTTTCAAACTCAGACACGTACCAGCATCCAAACACGCAGGACCCGATGGTTTATCTCGTCGTCGACAAGCTCCTGAAGATGACGAAGAAGAGCATGAAACAATGGACAAAGTAGAGCACTGGATAGATGAGATACTGGAGTCAGGAATATGGGTAGCTAAAGAGGTCGATAAGGCACCGCTCGCGACAACAACAAGCACCGTCGTCTCCTCCAATTCAACTAACTTGCCAGGTGTCAAGATCCCTGCAGATAACACTACCTCCCATCTCGATAACAACTTACACACCATCCAATCCTATCTCGACACCCTTTCCTTCCCCGCAGACATCCTTAGCAAGGACCAAGCCTGTCTCTCAAAACGATTGCATCAGTTCTTCGTTTGAGGCAGTCGCCTCTGGAGAAAAGAGTCTAATGGTCGCCACCAACTCATGCTTTTCGGCACTGATCGCATTCACACTCTCCAACAAACCCACAACAACCTTGGGCATAGAGGCTTTTACCCCACGCGTTGAACAATTGCCAACTGTTTTTGGTGGCCATCGCTCGACAAAGATCTTGCATGGTACCTCAAAACCTGCCATCAGTGTCAAATCCGCTCCATCGAGAAGGTTGTTCTACCACCCACCGTCTCAATTCCCGCTCCTCTCTTCCGTAAGACTTTCGCTGACTCTATGTACATGCCAACCTCGCACAGCCTCTCGTACATTGTCCAAGCACACTGCTCCCTATCCAATTGGCCCGAGTTCCATATGTTGAGGAAGGAAACTGGGCGCACCCTGGGTGCATTTTTTTTCGAGGAGATTCTTTGTAGATGGGGAGGAATTGAGGAAATCGTCATGGACAATGGCATGCCATTTATCGCAGCGCTCGATTGGTTAGCACAGAAGTATCATATCCATCATATCTGCATCTCTGCGTACAACTCCAAAGCTAATGGAGTCGTGGAACTGCTCACATCGTACCATCCGGGACTCCCTTGTGAAAGCATGCAACGGCGACATCACCAAGTGGCCCACCCTCGCACATCACGTATTCTGGGCTGATCGTGTTACCACCCACCAATCTACAGGATTCTCGCCATACTATCTAGCACACAGTGTAGAACCCCTTCTCCCCTTTGACTTTGTCCATGCAACCTTCATGCTTCCGGATATCATCACCCTTATCTCAACTCACAATCTCCTTGCTGCCCGCACTCACCAACTTGCCAAGCATGACGAAGACCTTGCTATAGCACACACCCGCCTTCTGAAAAACCGCCTCAGCATCTATTCATGACTTCGAGAAGCACTTTGCCAACACCATCCATGATTATAACTTCGCCCCTGGCTCTCTCGTCTTAGTTCTGAACAAACAGATTGAACCAGCATCCAATGCAAAGTGCAAACCTCATTATTTCAGCCCCATGGTTGTTATCTCCCGCTCGCAAGGAGGATCTTACCAGCCTCGCAGAAGTTGACGGCACAATTTCTAAATTGAAGTTCACAGCCTTTCAGCATTATCCCCTACCACCCGCGCTCCCCCACTTCTATTGAAGTCACCCAATTTATCGACCCTCAAGCTCTCACTGGAGTCAATGACGAGCAGTCTTAGATGTGTTCTCTCTATTTTTCAGTTTCCTCTTTTATTTCGCTTGAACCATTCTATCTTATTACACATATTTTTTTAGTTTTATTGTTGGAAGATTGACTGAGGACGGTCGATATTTGAAGTAAGGAGGGGATGTAAGGATTCCATATCCTCTACACCCCGACTAAGGCTTCATAATAAGGTTCAAGGACTTACGTTCTGTCATCTGCGCAACTCACTGACGTGAACAAGCATCACACTTCGCGTCCAAGTCATGCGGACACATTCTCTTTCCTTACCTTCACTTTCTCGTTATGCTCAATGACAAGCTCGGTCTTTCACCCTCGTTCATAACTATACCCTGGACTTATCACCAAACTATCTCTCGTCATTCTCTCTTAGTTTCATTCCTTTGCCCCAAAAGCAGTCAAATACCCAACAGGTTCTCATCATTCCTGTGCACGGTGAGCTCCCTATTACTACCTTCATTCAAAAACTAACATACTCTTACTCATTTCCATTATTCCTACCCTGTCAGGCTCAGCACCACCATTCTCCGTCTCACTGAACCTTCACGTTCGTAATAATCAAGGACCCTTACTCTTTTGTAGATAAAATATGGCCTTGTAGACTCACTTTGAACATTGGTTGATTTCCCCACTATGAACTCGCATCAGATCCTAAGAACAGTCCTATCACTTCAAGCCACGCAATTCCCTAATCAGACTCAATGTCAGCCTTATATGGGCCTTACATTCCCTACCCACAGGTACAGACTGTGATATCTCGATGATCTCAGCGGCTGCCAGGACTTGATTAAAGGATGAAACCTCCGGGTTCAGTTCCTTTTTCCAAAGTTCATGTTGAATGTCTGTTTTCAGACCAAACCACAGGTGTTCGACTCATTGGCATTTGTTGATATTGCCTATCATATTCCAGAGCTCACTAAGTTTATAAAAGTAAGCCCGCACTGTTTTTTTTCATTTTGATAGCACTTTTTGAGCTTAGCACGCAGTTCAGTCCTGAAGTTCACTGGAAAACAATGGTTAAAGAGCTTGTCAAAGAACTCTCTCAGTCTCCAACTGTAAGGGTCCCTCACTACTTCTCTGATGTAGAATTCATGGGCCTTTCCTGTCAGATATCTCAACAAGGTAAATACCCGCACCTTGCATCTGACCATATCGTCCTTCACATAGGCAGTTCCCTCTGTTACAAACCAGTGGTAGGCCTGGGTGTCCACAGCACCATTGCAAATGGTGGGGGGCACCGGTTTTAATAGGGTGTGTTTCCTTTTCTTAGATTTCTTCTTACGACCCTTCTTAGTGCGATGTCAACAACCAGACTCTTCAGCTGAGTCTTTGCTCGAGCTTTCAGATGAACTCATTGATGAGTCACCAAGCTAGACTCACTGCTTGGGTCATTGTCAGGTGGACCCAATGCCTGGTGAGTTCTTCTGTCATGTTTTCTTGAAGATACTCGACCTAATGCCTGCCCAATGTAACTTTCAGCCAGTTACTTGATGTACCGGCTGCATGGCATGAGGGGTATCGCTACATCCTCTCATCTGAGTTGAGGACTTCTCCGTCAGTTCAACAATGAGTTTAACCTGCTTGGGACGAGCTGCAGTAGCCCATACCATCACTAGTAGGTGCTTTTTTCTTAGCCATCTCTTTGTCGAGCTTTCTATTTAGCTCACAAATCTTCTTTTCATATTTCCTCTCCATTCATGCTTCTGTGGCCCTTATGGCCTCTATTGCTTGTTCCTGGACGAGGTGTTCAATCTCTTCCTGGGAGATCTCAATGCTCCTATGCATCGCTTTCTCTGTACTGGTATCCCCAGAGTCAGTGTTACTGACCCCAGCTGCAACCTTGGCAGCTTTCCAGGATTCAAATGTGACCTGTTGGGCTTCCACATCCAGTTCTTCTTCCTCTAGGCTGGCAGCGGCCCATTCTCTGGGGTCTATGATCTTGCCCTTCGAAGATCCGGCACCTATTGATGCTAGAGTCTCAGGTTCTGCTTGTAAGTCAATCAATGATTGCCTTCGGTGCACGTGCTCACACTCATTGTCAGTCATGCATCATTCTGCCTCACAAACGATGCTCTGCTGTACCTCAGTCAGACCTTGAGATGTGTCATGGTTGTCCCTTACTTTTGCTGGGCTCACTCCTTCATGGTGATGCTTTTGTCACACCATGACCCATGGACAACCATCATCGTTGGACTCTTCGCTTTCGGAGTCTGGGCCTGCTACACCAGGAGTGGGAGGTAAAGGAATATTACTTAGTATTTCTTTAACATCTTCTAAAGAGTTTTCTTTATATACAGGGGTATTATCAGCTGCCGAGCTTTGCCCGTTGGTTGTCTCCTTGGGGGCATGCAGCCCAAACCAAGGGCTTCTCACCTGAATGATGTCGCTATGCAAATGTACAGTTTGTAGGGCAGGGTCGTCCAATTTAGCCACAATGTGTGTGGCTAAGTCCAGGGTATCGTTAAAGGGAGAGGAAGGCATTGCACCTGGGGGTCTTGGAGTAGGGAAGATTTTCTGTGTGCATTGGTTGACAGGTCATAATTCATAGTTTACGGTTGTCATGTTGTTGTTAGATTGAATTTGATGTTTGGTTTGCCAACTTGTCGCCAGAGGTTCACCAGACCTAGGTTGTCGAGAATGGCAGTGGGGTAGAATTAGATTAAGCTAGTTGAAGGTGATAAAATATGTGGTGACAGCTTGAAGTGGAAACACTTGAGGTGAAGACACAATAGCAAACACTCAAGACGATCAAGCAATATCACCAGGTAATAGCTTAGTTGCAAGAACACCAACTGTACATATCTAACTACTGGGTCTTTTATAGGCTTTTCTGTAAGGTAACATGTGAAATAAGTAGGGTAAAGGGTATGGAGGCGCGGGGCACCGTAATAACTCAGAACTGTAAAGTAGATTCAGAAAAATATAGGTGAAGTACGATAATCACATGGTATTCTTGAGGGTCTGGGCTGAGTGGCCATGTAGACGCCACACAAGGTGATCTCTCTGGTTTCTTGTCGGAATGCATCCATCTAAGCTCGTAAGATGGTCTTGCGTATTATTAATTCAAATAGACATAGTAGTTTGAAGATTTGTAGTAGGAAAAGTGTGGTTTTGGAGGATGCACGAAATGTGGGACTGCACGAGCAAGTGGTAACTAATAGTATGTCTCAGGAATAAGCAATAATGATAGCGTTCGATTAGTTCCCTAAACCCGGAAATCATGACTGAGCATGCATCTTCCTACATTATCATGAAGAACCTCCAAACTTCTTATCCATCTGTTCAGAAAGGGCCGCACCGATCTGGTGGACGAGCCTAGTAGCTTGAACCAATTCATGTACTGGTATCTGAGAACCTCCACTAGCAACCGCGGCGTACGCCTCGCGCAATGCATTCAGATGACTAGAACCAGTATTTGAACGTCTCAACTGTGGGGGATGTTGAGCGACATCTTGACTGGCTTCTTGTGATTTAGATCGATGTTGCGTCCTCGGCGCTGCTTGTGTATCCATAGTTCCTAGGACTTAAATAACGTTGAGCGGCTTAAAGAACTGCAGCCGAAAGTATCCTGCCTTCTTGCGAAAGACTGCTATTCTCAATTAGAGAGTCCCCAGGAACTTCGGCAAGGGAATCGTCGACCTCCATTTCTGTAATCGTGTGTCAGTGCGGACATATGGGTGCATGATAATGACGTACCCGAGGAGCCTATCTCAGCGTAACGAATCTCCCAGCTGTCGTAATCAACAGAATCATCAGATGCAATCGAAGGTGTCTGAACTGAACGGGGCGGATCATTGAATTGGAACGTCTCAACTGAACTTCCTGTTGACAACTCAAGACTCCGCTCCGCGGCAATAACCTGACGCAAGGTCGGGAGCACAACGCCATCAAAGACCCTCTTACTCTGTTCAGCAGGAGCCGAGTATACTCGAGTGATGGGGACTGAGGGCACGACCTTACTTGTTGTAGGCTCTGATATAAAGCGGGACGGGTAAAATTTATGTGTGCCTAAGATTGTTCGGCGTCGTTTTTGTAGCGTGGCATCTGCAAAGGGTTTTTCAAGGTACAAAGGGGTCAAGTAGATTATAAAGACCTTGATATTTGTGGCTTCTTTTTGACCCTTGGCTAGTTTGATGCGTAGACTTCACCAATCGAGAGGAGCGTCTTAAAAATGACTTTTCATTCGATGGGGTTATTTTACCCTGCTGGGAACCAGGGATGTTTGATGCGGGAATTTCATGAGCGCTGCTCGGGTCGTTCTGCGTGTTGTGAAGTATGTTGCCTTGAAACGGTGATGCAGGGTCACGCAGAAGTACTGTAAATACACTGTGAGAAGGTGACACAGATACACTTCGTGGAGTCGCGTTGCCAAAGGTGTGTTCCACGCAATGTGTATCATCGAAAAGAGCAGGAGAAATATGTTTTGCGGTCGAGTGATTTCTCCCGATAGGGGAAGAGGGAAAGTCGGAGCTTGTCTAGTTAAATGATCAGAGACTGACTACTTGGATGACGCATATAGCGTACTGTTGATTGTGAGTCAGATGAGAAGCCGGCCAATAAGTCACCCCCGAACACTGTAGTGAACGCCTTCAACACTGACATTACGCCGGCAGGAATGTTCGAAGAGAATTGATGTTGCCCATGATATGTTGCCCTCCAAAACCTTTCAAACGCAAGGGGTGCAAGGGCTGGTGCAATTATGCGTGAAAACCCAGCAGCCAGAAAGAATTCTACTGAATTTAAAAAGTCGAGGCTGAGGGGATGCCGTTCCAGGGCAGTGAGCGTGTCCGAATATAATGGCATGATCTATACAAAGTGAGCAAGGCACAGGACAAACAGAAAGTCGACAGACCACAAGATTGAACTCATTCTCCGTTAACGCCTCCTCTTTATCTTCAATCCATAGTTGCAGTCCTGCCCGAAGTGACTCAAGTATATGCAACACGCGGCTCGGTGAAGAGACCACGATGGTTGTTTGAATGCTATGAAGAAGTTGCAGAGAGCCGTTCATCAACTCCGTACTAGTCTTGTAAGTGCCTTGCAAAACAGAGTTGGCTACGCTTAATAAAGAATCTGGAGGACACAGGCTCGCATCAGGGATGAAACAAGACAAGAGATGTGACAAAGGGATTTGCAAAAATATCATGCTATGTAACAAATCAGTTGAATGACTCTATCTCGTGCTTGGTTCTCACCGGTCCACACATGCAACTGGTATCACAGCCTGAACGATAGCGTCGATGACAGTCGATAATTCTGTAGAAGTCTGATTTGCAGAAGTGATGGTCTTCTGCAGCAGTGAATCCCATACGTCTAACTCCACGTCAGACATCGTCCATGACCTACGACGATTGTCAATACGATCTCAAGAGGTCAATGCGGGCAACATACTCCAAAGGAACGACGAGAAGTTTCACCATGTCCAACCAACAAGATATTTCGGATTGTGATATCAGCGACTGCGCCACAAGTAACCACAATTGCCGTGTGATGGTTTCTGTCATCTGCGAGGAGCTCATAGCAAAAAGCTCTTGGGTCCACAAAGGCATGGCAGCGATAATGAGGTCAGCGCAGAGCTTGCTCCACCGTTCTAGTACGTTCTTGTCACTGAGACGAAAATCATGCTTTAACAAATTCGTCAGGATGATCTTCGCAGCAGTAGATATGCATTTTGGAGTGAAGGCGTTTTTCATCACGGACCATAGTTGCGTCATAGCAGCCAATGCACAACCTTCAGCCGCCGTTAATGTCGTGGAGTTTGGTTCCTCAGAATTCTCTGGGGTCTGCGGAATAAAACCGGTGATGACGAGTGCTGATTCTTCCGCGAGATCCACCGAAATGGTGAGGTGATGGTATGCTTGGGTCAGCTGTGATTCTGCTAAGAGCAGAGAATGCCAGATTTCGATCAAATTGGGCTGCGGAGCAATATTCAGTCGATGACTATAGACACGCGTGAAAATACGGACTGAAAAGCAACTTTCGTATGAAATCGATGACTGAGCCAGGTGCACCCACGTGGACCGCAGACGTGTTCGATGGCGAATAATCTCTGCCTCCGAGAGATGCCGCACCTCTGTGAGTGGAGAGTGATAGATGGAACGTAGCGTAGATAGATCCCATTTGGTAGTGAGCAAGCTGCCGTCAAACAACGACGTGGGTAACGTGGGTGAACTCGGAGTCGTGCTAGGAGTGGACGCGGGAGCTCCCACTCCGCCCATCAGCTTGTGAAGAAGCGAAAGACCGTTCGAAGAGACACGTTTATCGGAATCGTGTGCCATATCGTGCACAATGGTGAGGGCTCTAGATACCGCGTTAAATGATGTGATTTGCTCAGGTGAGGACGATGATGGCGCGGCTGATGTATTGAGGAGCATTGTAACAACTGCGATTCCTACACTTCGAGGTCTTCGATCAAGGTAGAGAAGGACAGCTTCTTTTGTTTGCAGGTCTTCGTCAGGTACTCTTGTAAATGCGATAGCAAGGCATGACAAGAGGCGTTGAGCCAACCCCCGAACCGCTGATCTCACATGTACAAAGCCCACTACAGCAAGCCGCATGAAAAATTTGAATGTGTTGGAGTGAGAAAATAAACAATGATCGGAGAGGATGATGAGGGAGCACATCATCGAAAAAAGCCAAATAGGTCCCTCAGCAAGTTCGGATTCCTCCTCCACAGCTATGGCTGCCTTAGCAATGCGGTGAAGCTCTGAGATCTGTGTTGTGTTGGCACATTGTTTGTCCAGGAAGTCTAGCACAAAATCCGAGATGACTTTGCGGTGATCAAGGGAGACTTCAAGGGAGTTGTCCAACAAACTAAGAACCATTCTCCCAAGAACCAGTGCAGCTTGAAGACGGATGGCATAAGAGTCGCACAGCAAGTGCGAGAGGACCAAAGGTAGCTGCTGAATTGCATAAACGAAGAACGTCGTTGGGTAGAAAGCCAAAAGGTGGCATACGCCCTATGCATTTTGTCAATGGAATTTCACATGGAAAAGTCGCTTTCAAACCTTAAGGCCGTCCTCTGTATGCTGAGCGAATTGCTGTCCATTAGGTTGAATGTCCAATGTGCTGCGGAGGACGGAGACTATGTCTGATGCTCGTGAGAATAACAAACTCTGCGGCAAGCGCTGAGAACCCAGGATCCACAACGCAAGAGAAAATACTTTCGCGCTGTTCAAAATTGGCAATTGCCGAGAGTGTGTAATGTTGAGAATTTCGGCCAAAAGACTCGAGATATCAGAATCTGGTACATGCAGACTCATGTCAATAATTAGTTTCGCATGCACAACATGACTCACGTACCAGAAAACAAGGAATACAAATTATGGAATCTGAAAATGTCAGACAGGGCGCAAAGGGCCTGCTGGCAAAGGGCAGATGATTCTCCTGCATAGTTGACAACACCAGCAGTCGATTGTCGGGTTTCTGAAATTGATGATTCTCCGGAATTAATGGCTCGAGGCGGTATAAACGGATCGAGGTGCGCAAGGGCAATGTCGCGCTTTAAGGCTTGACTAAATGCATGTGCCTTGGGGCGGAAGAATTCCAGGGCGGGTAGTAAAGCAGAGCTCTGCTGAAGTTCTTGAGCTTCAGCCCTGATTCTGTTTGAGAAGGTGTGATATGCATCTAATAAATCATGGTTGGAGTGAAGAGAATTAGGCTCCAAGGAGTTTACGATAGATTCCACAGGAGATATTAGATATGTTGTGTCATGCAAGGGGTTCGTATGGCCTGGAGCAACTCGCGTCGGCTCTCCGGTCATGGTGTAAAAGTGTAAGCTCCTGTGTCCACGAGTAATGGGATTGGAACAATGACCATTGTGAGCTGTAGAAGTTATCAATTGAAAAGACAAGAATCAGCCAGTAACTGCAGGTGCGCAGACCCAGAGAAAAGGCTGTCTTGTCAAAGCTCGGATTATGAGAATGGTCAGCTTGAGAAGACACACAGATACGGAACACGTTGCTGGCAGCAGTCCAACCTACTAGTAGTCGTCGTTCGAGAATCGTGTGATTATTAATCATGAGACACGGTGTGACATGTCACGTGCAATACACGTGATGTGATGTATGGCACAAATAACATTAAAATTAAAATTTATGAAAATACACTTTGGTCCGGACTCCGGACTCAGCGCTGCACACTTACTGGTAACGTCAGTCCACGGTCCAACAAGCGTTAAAAATCTTGTCACAACGCATAAAGTTCACTACATGTAGTACCATAGGTACGAGGTTTCACATGAACTTGATTCTTGGAAATGATACATAAAAATAATTTCTTGACATTGAGATTAGTCCATCCAGCTGGCTACCCTGCTTGCAGCGAGAGTTTCGTTAAATTTGAATTTGCCTTGTTGACGAGATCTTTTTCATGTCTTCAGCCATATCAGTATGTATGGATCATAGTCAAAGTCAGACCCAACTTTACATTACCCTCACAAAAACGGTATGCAACGAGGATCAGGAAGTGAGTATCAAATACGGCCTCTTCATATATATAAATTCTCCACCTAAAGCCCATGTCTTATAACGCAATCATGATTGTCTGCTCGGAGACCAACAACATTCCTGAGTAGGAACAGAATTGGGATACGTGCAAATGGTCACGAGGATCTGAACATTCGGAATGCTCATTTTGTAACCCTGTCTTCTTGAAAGCAAACCAGACGCCTTTCTGTGGATCTCCTTATAATCAACGACCAAAATTTAATCGCTGACTCTGAGGACACGATGGCTCGCGAGAACGCGATCGTTGCCCGTATGCATTACCTGCCATTTGGTTGGGTGCATTCCCTACATACGCATCTAGTGGTCGGTGACTCTGGAAACACCTCTCCCGAGTTCACCATTATTTAAACTTGTACCTCAAGATCGGTTGAACTCATCTCCCAGGATGGGCATGCATGAACTTGAAAAGCGGATATGGATATGGACTTACGCTTTACATCATGAATCACGGACTTGTAAAAAAAACAACAGAAAAGGCGCAAATGGAATGCAAATCCCCTCATGTTTGACTGCTTCAGCAGTGAATTTTTGGACTAAGGGTTCAAGTTGGCACGAGTGAATACGACCGAGCAGGCCTAACACCCGACACGACGTGACTTGTCACGTGAAATACATGTGACTATGTGAGCAGCGCGTCAGTGCCTGGTGTGTCCGCGGTCTCCTGCTTAGCGCGGCGAAGCAAGTCGGGTCATGGGTGGGATTAATGACAAGCCGAACGGTGTACATGTCTCAAGATCTTGTGGGATAGTTATGTCGTTGGGTGAAGTGTAAACCCGGTGTCCGGTCTCCGACGTTGATCAACAATCTCATCCTACTGACTTGATCACGGGCTGAATGGCGTGTTATGTGTGTGTGGTGCGGGAAATTTGTTCAAGATATTGACGACTATAACCCGGCCGCTAATGACCGCCAGGCCCGCTACTGTTCCATACGGTTTTTCAAGCTATTGTTGGGAAAGAAGCTCAGGGCTGCTTCGTGGTGACTACCACAGGTTCCAGGCTTGCTCAAGTTTTTTTTCATGAAGTGATTTGAAGAATGAACATTAATGACCGGTCCCTCCTTAGCTACAGAGATATTAAGTGAGTCCAAGCATGGTGCATGATGGGCCTGCAGCGGTCTTGTTACCATCGGCTTCTTAACAAGATTTCCTTTAGGTCTTCGATAGTATGTATGTTTCAATCACGGACCCATACTGGTAGCTACAACAAATAGAGCCAAGCCTTTGGGCCCACATATAAATACTCAAGCTCTTTCAATTTCCACTCAACTCAATCCTCACGTTAAATACGAGCCTGCCAACCACCCACCTACCACTCTTTTTCACGACTCCAATCCAGAATGTTTAGCACCGTAACGATGTTTGCTATTTTTTCTGCCTTTTTGTTGGCATTTTCTACCGCTGTACCCATCCAACCAGTTGAATTGCTCGCCTGGAGCCCTACCATCCTTACCCCTACCCATCTCACATCTTGGCCCCGTGGTTCCACGCAAATCGTGACCTGGGCGACCAACAACATTCCTGAAGAGAAACTGAATTCTACTGGTCTCCTATTGTTAGGATACATGGAAAACGATTCCGAGAACTTAGACATCAGTGTGTTCATTTCATAACCATCTCCAGAACGCTTATTGAAATGCTATTTAGAACATCCCCTTGCTGCGGAGTTCCCTATCACCAGCGGTGAAGTTACAATCACTGTTCCTGAGAACGCCACGGTTCGCTGCAATGCTATCGTTGTCTGTATGTATCGCTTTGTCAGTTGGCTGGGTGCATTTCTCACATGTGTTTTTCAGTGTTCGGTGACTCCGGAAATGCTTCTCCAGAGTTCGCCATCGTTTGAGATCGTAGCTCGGACCTTTAACCTTAGACTTACTCTCGGACCCGGCTGGGACCAAGATGACTTAATAATGTGATGGACATGGACTTTGACTTTACTTCTTTACGGACTTGATGCCCTACGCTTGATTTTCGCTTGATTCTGCTTACGCAGGCTCAGATTTCGTTCCCTTCTAAAACATAGATTTAGCTTGCTTCAGTACACGCTACATGGACTATTAGTTACTTACATCGCGCCTGGTTCGCAGGTCATTTCAATGCATGACTAGTCTTCATGATCATCTGACTTGAACATCAATAGGAAAGCAATCTGAGGTGGACTACACCATGCCATAGATATAAAGTATGGGCAACATAGATACCAACTAGGTATGTTAGCGTTTGTGATTTAGTTCTTTTTAGTTTTTGTGACTGCCTGCGCACGGCGCAGTGAGCCAGCGATGTGTCCGTATGAATCCCACATCAGCCAGACTGGAATGACTACCCAGCTGGAATAAAACATCAGGATCGACAAGGATAAAAACATATGTTGACACTCACATGACGTTCATAAACTGTCGTGATGAAGATCAGCTTGAGACACTTATACTCATAGTAAACGGGGAATGCTCACGACGAGATAAACCCAGAGGTAGAGCGGGTTAGAAGTATCCAAACTTGGACTTCCCGTCAACCATTCCGGACAGAACGTCATCCATCTGGAAAGGGGGTCACTAACTTCAAGATTGCTTGAAAAGACATACATACCCGCCATACAGCTCAGCGGTGCTCAAAACGATGATCCAATAGTGACGGGCAGGGTCGTCCTTAACAATTTGCCTTATAATGTAGCAGCACATGGGTGCCGCACCTAGGACCGTCAAAATCTCCAGGGAGACAACAGTAGGATCAGAAACACCCCATCGTGCATCCGCACGGGTATACTCCTTCCCTAGAACAGCGATTATCTGCTTTAAGGATTGAAGACCAGCATCAAGGTCAAGTCACTCACACAATTCAGCAAATGGCCCCACGCTGGAGTTTACGGTTCTGCCAAAAGTCGAAAGGTATAGGAACGATCCTTCAAAAGAGAAGTGAATCAATGCATCAAATGTCTGTTAACGTTGTCAAAATAAGGTCGGATGTGCAAGTAGACCGACGAACCAGCCAGATGAAAGTAAACGAATCCTGCCAGCGTGCATTCTTCGGCAGTAAAACCTTCGCGCCGGTGGTGGCAATGAAGGCCATGGCAGCCACCCCAGCTAGGGAATACGCTGAGGTTGCGGTGAATATCTCTGGGGTATTGGATGTCATGGTGTGCGATAGGTGTGGTTTTGTGAGAGCTAGCGCAGTGGTGAACTTCAAGTTCTCCCACGTTTCCTCTTCGCTGTACTTAGCCTTTTATTGAAGCACTTGTACAGTTGTACTAGTAAGTAGCAGATACGACACGTGTCACTTTCGTCGCTCCAGCCAGCCTTGCCCAGCAACACATCACACTAATTATAAATCACGGTAGAACTTTCAAAAGAGGTTCAATATACGACCATCACGATGGTGTCCTACTCCCTTTCTGAAAACGCGTACCTTAAGATCTTTTTTCATGCGGCGAAACATCCCCACCTGCCAGTGAACGGTGTTCTACTTGGTAGACGAACCTCGGATGTGGTTGTGATAGAGGATGTCATCCCATTGCTCCATCACTGGACAAGCCTCAGTCCTATGATGGAGATTGGACTTGATTTGGTACGTCACAATCATTATAATTCAACGCAACTCTTCGTCATGATACTGATGGACAGTAACCCTTCTAGGCGAAAGGATATGCTGAAGCACAAGAGATGACTCTAGTGGGGTACTATCAAGCAAGCGAGAGGTTAGATGACACTGCCCTTGCACCTGTCGGCGAACGAGTTGCACAGAAAATTCGTGATCAATTCACCGATGCGGTAGCATTTGTTGTGAGTAGATGGATAAACCACCGCTAGCAAACTATCTACTTAATTCTCATTTCAAGATTGACGGCGACAAGTTGGGAACAGGAGATCCAGCTTTACTCGTATGTTTAAACCGTTATCATGAACTCATACCTATCTGACCCGCAACAGCCCTATCTACCACAGCCTTCCACGTCATTCTGGCGGCCATGCATAGCGCAAAGTCCCGCGTTCACGACGGGATCAAATTTTTTGTTGGCCAAAGCTGATTCACCTTCGCGCGCAATTGCCCTTGTTCGCGACCATAATCTTCACGAAAAATTCGGAGACTTCGATGACCATCTAGAGGATGTAACGATAGATTGGTTGCGAAACAATGCTTGTAGAGTAGAGAGCTCTGAAACGTGAACGAAACTCTCCGTGGACCATTTCATGTAGCATTATACACGTGCAGCTGGCGCCTAATTCCCGCGATGGATGGATAAGATCTTATCACGATCTTCAGAGCAGTAGCATCAGAATAGTCACGAACATTGTTGTCGACTACTATGACGATTGCCACTGCTTTCAAAGGTACTCTGGTTCATTGCCCTTCATTGGGGCAACTCGAAGTTCTTGAAGATCATATTCTACGTGAGGATTTCGTGTTCCATCGTACGATCATCGAGACATACTAATCTATCTGGGCGTGCCTTTAGTTGTGGATCACCAAGGTTTCATAGCTCATGTAGGACCTACTGGCTCCGAAGCCTCTAAGGATTTTCTAACAAGAATCGATATACCTATCACAACCATACCATCAGGAAGTTTTTTGCTTCCAACATTCTGCGATCTGCATCTCCATGCGCCCCAGTTCCTGTTCCAGGGAACTGGTCTCCATCTTCCTCTGATGCAATGGCTAGATGAGTACGGGTTCAAGTCTGAAGAAAGCTTGGACAGCCGACCAGAGTTGGCAAGGGCAGTTTATGTCCGTCTCGCAGAACGCCTAAGAGACGCCGGAACTGGCGCGGTTCTGTTATTCGGGACGATCAACAACACAGCCAAGTAAGTGCAAGCTTAACAAGAACGTCACGCCACAAGCGGGTGTGCTGATTTGAGGGTACCACAGTCTCATTCTTGCAGAAGCCATGCAAACGATTGGTATACGAGCGCTTGTGGGGAAGTTGTCGATGGATATATCGTCTCGGCCCTCTTACGTGGAACCTTCCGCTCTAGCTTCAATACACAATGCCGAGGAATTCATCAACAGCTGTCGTGACTTGGTTTCATCTTACGAACCACACAGACGTCTCGTTGAACCTGTGATCACACCACGGTTTGTACCAACATGCTCGAATGAGCTTTTGCAAGGGCTCGGAAAACTCGCTCGTGACAAAGGAGTTCGAATCCAAAGTCACTTGGCTGAGGCTCACGAAGAAGTGCAGTGGGTTTTGAGCGAACGCCACAAAGACGATATCGACGTTTTTGACAACGTGAGTGATCCTACGACGTATCTAATGAATACTGAGCTAAAAACGTTCGAATCCTAGTTCGATTTACTTACTGAAAAAACCATACAAGCCCACTGTACATTCTTGGATACAGACATGCTGTCACGTATGGCTGGCAGCTGTTCTGCAGTGGCACACTGTCCTCTCTCGAACTCATATTTTTCGGAAAAACCGTTCCCGCTCCGTGAAGCGTTGGATCTTGGTGTACCCGTCGGTCTTGGCACGGATATCGCTGGTGGATATAGTATAGATATTATGAACAGCATGCGGCAGGCCGTGACTGTCTCCAGGATCAGAGACGGTACAAGAAAACTGAGCGGTGATGAACGGTCTCTTGCAATCGATTGGAAAGACGCATTGTATTTGGCTACCAAGGGAGGGGCTACTGCACTCGGCCTTTCATGTGGAGTCTTCAAAGCTGGCGCACCTTTTGATGCCCAATACAGTGCGTTGGATGACAATTAGTATGACAAGAACAACGCCTAACCAAATTATTTTGCAGTCGAACTTTACAAAGACAGCGACAAGGGAGTGGGTGCACTCGATTTCTTTGAGCCACAGTTGGGTATTACATTGGGTATACTAGAGAAGTGGTGGTGCATTGGAGACGAACGCAATAGGCGTGGCATTTGGATACAGGGGCAGAGATTGGATGCGAACAATGCTCCAGAGCGCGCGTAGCTCCTTCATGTACAGGTATGAATGTCCTGAGCTTCTTGGTTGTAAACTGATGCTACCGTTCATTCCTTAGATATACATTCAGATTCAACAAGTTCAGTTTTCTATGTGTTGCAAATGACGTATGTTGATCCTTTTGTCAGAATGATTATTTAGTTCATCCAGTACTAAGTCTTTCGAAACGCGGCTCTTTTCTGTGTGAACGCTCTTCTCAAGAGGAATGCAAGCCCCTCAACCGTCATGAGTATTGGCTACTTGAAACAAGTGTAGTACTGCACATTGCGACAGCTACGATGGTGGCGTAGGCCAAGCAAGGTTTCTGCCAACCCATTCGGCGTTTTCCCAGTATGAAACCTCTATTAAGATAACACTTCTGAATCAACTTCTCACCATAGTGCCTGTGACTCGAAACACTGGGTCTCCACGATCAACATTCAGATGGCTTACCTGATGGCAGTACGTTTGACCTGTTGTACGACAATAATTGAACAGGCACTGACCTCCTTAGCCTTCATAGATAGTACATCTTGCTTTAGAGGTGTGTCCTCGCAGCGGTTCTAAATGATTCATCTGGTTTTCTGAATGTAGACAATGTCGAGCGCCCCAAAATGCTGGACTGAGGATACCTTCGCTCAAATCTCAGCAACGAATCTCTAGCAATCCACGGAGACATGCAACGTTACTTGCTGAGAATCGAGTCTAATCGATGATCTTCGGCGTGTAGACCATCATATGTGCCACCTACTAGTAAATTATCGGCTGTCCTTTCTCGGCGTGTCTCCCCATCGCACCCATGATTTGACACGGATGGATTTACGACCTTCAAGGCTCTCAGGCATACAGCGGGCACAATAAATGGGGTTTTCAGGGCCGGGAGTGTGCCTCTATGAACAATGTGATTAACCCGACCACAGGAACGACTGTCGAAAGAATTGAGCTAAACTACCGATGCCTATTTTGACAGCGCACGCCGTGATTATGTAAACCAGGTTCCCAGCCGCGCTTTGCAGGCTTCGGCCATTCCCATGACAGGGCACGGTAATGCTCCTTGTAACATGTTACGCGGCGAACCGAGATGGAGCGAACCCTTCCATTGACTCAGATGTCTAACGACCACCGCATTTGGGACAGATACGGGGTTGATATCATTTTTTTACCTATATAATATTCGGCCCACTGCGTCCCTTACCACTTCTCGAGTGGGTTCGCCAGTACCTAGCTGCTAGCGTCTCATGATTAACGGAGAAAATATAACTAGTACCTGACGTCAAAAATCTGACAACCAGATAGGAGGGTGATTGATCGGTTGTTCTATTGGAAGTACATACACAGTATGTGACACCAGTATTCTAACGAATTTGTGAAAATGCAACAAGCAATGTACAGGAAAGATGGTGCGATAGTAGTTGCTGTGGTAGAAGGGTGACACTTGAGTTCCAAATACGAGAGAGAGAAGCGCTGTGGCTAGGGTATGATAAGGTACTTGATAATACATAGAAGTAAATGCTGTGCGGGACTCGTGAGCGAACTGTTTGACAACAAAAACGGGCATCTAGCTTACCCATATACAGATCATCTTGACAGCCATCACAAAGCAGATCGTTTCGTTTCATGAGTTCATGATTAATCATCGTAGACATTAGCAAACGCGTCGATATCTCCCACACAAGAGATGTGGTCGTTGCCCAGATGACGCTTGAGCGCGTCCCGCCTGCTGAACTCCTTCCCGCATCCTCCGATCATTTGTTTTCCGTTGTGAATGTAGGGAGTTGCGTTGTGCGGAATATTGTACATTGCAGCCGATTCGGCGGGTATACCGCAGCAGACCCACTGTGCGGGTCTCTCGAAGCGCGTATGCGTGCGGATATGTCGTTTAAGGTCAGGGGTACGATGATTGCGCTGGACCCACTTGCAATAGGGACATGCCCAAGGGTTAGATTTATTTGCAAAGTTGGGAGTAGTGCCAGGGACGGCTTGCGCGTTTCGTGGAAGGGGGGCAGCGCGAACTCGTTTTGCGGGAGGCGATACGTATTGGGTCGTGGTATAGGTAGGGACATGGGAAGACACGCTGGAATAACACGTGGAGCGACGACGCTTTTTTGTATTACGCGAAGATGATGGAACATATTCATCATCTGTCTCGTCAGCATCGCTTTGACCGTCGGCATCCTCCTCCAAATCGTGGGGCGCGACAAAAGCGTTGCGCTTGTGGAAGGAACGAGTGGAGCGCGTCACAAATGGCAAAGAGTTGTTTACTGTAGGGAATGCGGGTTGAGGAACAAAGGAAGATTGGGGAGTGGGCTCCATGGTGAGCGCTGGTTGGGACTCCGCGTCGCACTCAAAGTTGAGTGGGGAGTTATAGTTGAGCTCGACGGGGGGGATATAAGGAAGATCCGCGATTGGATGGAGATTGTGGTCCAAACTGTGAACGGGCATAAGATGAATGGCTAGTCATGACATGGACCCTAAACATACAAGTCTGAGGCATTATATTGGATGGGGTCATAACACTGAAAAAGAATCCCATCTGAGTTATCAATGAGTTCGAGCTCCGAACCTGCATCAGAGCCGGAGTCGGATTCGACTTCAGATCGATCATTAGAGTCCAGAGAAGTTATTGAATTTTGAGGCGAAGAGGAGGCTGAAGATGATCCAGATGAAATAACTGAAGGGGGACTTGGGACAGAAGGAACAAAAAATTCTGGTTTGTCTTCTGTATCGAACTCAGCGGTGACTTCGGCAAGCCAAGCCATATGATCCTCCCCATCTTGGGCGCGAAGATTATCGTAGAGAGTCGCCATTGACTGACGACGATAGACGATAGTGGATGACATGGCAAAATAAAACTTGTGCGCAGGAGATTGAGGTAAGGTAGATTTGCACTGGACGTTAACTTGAACGCGTTATATAGATTTCTTTCTTTCATGTCTCAGCTTCGGCTTACCGAACCTCGTTTTGTTCTTTCAAGTAACTCCGACGTTGAACCCTCGTTGAATGTCACATCGAGGCAGCCTCGCTCCAGGGATTGCCCGAATATAGACCCCTAGTGCCCACCCCTTGGTTCTCGGAACAGAACAAAAGGGTCCTCAAAATTGATGCTCGGCTAGATCAAGATAAAATGATTCAACTATGGTGGGAATGTGACTGGTTCGAAGTGGTACGCCCTGGTTGCCACGTGGTTCCTCACAATCGTCGTTGAGAGCAAAACAAAGGGTACAGCCCTTAATCCAAAACTCACGCAGATCGTAAGTGTACTTGATCGTCGATATCTCTTGCAGTAGGATGTAGTACATTCAACTTCCAGGCAGGACCCCCATTGTATCCTGCACAGCAAGTAGAATGATCATGGATCAGAAAACGTCAAAACCTTTTTCGGCTTGACTTCTGAACTCGTGCACTGCAACGTGCAGTCGAGAAAGCGAGACTTCCAGTATGCCTCGTGGGAAATTGTCTGGACCAACAAAGGGTAGTTCTAGCCTCAAGACTTTACCCGAGAGGGTCACCGATAGCTGCTGACAGCAATCTTCGTTAACGCGATTTGAACAAAGGTTATCAAAAAATTGAGAAAATCCGTGTAATGAAGAACAAATCTGGGGTGAAATTACGCTGGAGTACGGTACGGAACTACCGATCTCTCCGCGAGCGAATGCGCTTTCCGAATTGAACAGCGGGACCTCGACTAATAAACAATAATGATCAGACAAAGGACAGGTCTTGTTGGAAATTAAAGCTGTACGTACCCCCGTATTTTCTTCTTGGGTTTCTCCTCATGGACAAACCCTTCTATTGGTTGGTTCTGCCTAAATTTCTCCATGCACCAAAGAATATACCTGTGTTTGTGTATAATGCATTGGAAAGGAACAACATAGGACAAGAAATTACGGACTTCCGGTCTTGGACGCTCAATCCGGCATTCTTCATATCCCATCCTGATGTACGCCAGAACGCCTCCCAGTTGTCTATGGATATTTTAGTCTCTGAAGAACGGCCAATGGCTTTAAGAAAGTCTTGCGGCGTGCATATCTTGCCTGACCCTAAGCTGGTAAGTATAACAAGTAAAAACAAGCATTTAACAATTGGACCTCTTGGATTTGGAACGTCGGCCCTCCGGGGAACATTCACTGTTGTAGCAACTGTTCTGCCCTGAGCATTTTGGATAGAAGGGAATACAGGGCGAGACAATGGAACCTTTGACAACGAAATCCTGAACATCGAGCACGAGCAAGCAGGATGGCAATGGGGACAGCTAGAGAAAGTAGTTTATCCCGAGGCGATCCTAGAAAGGAAAGTTTTCATGAACGTGACATTTGACGCGGCGACCGACGTCACGCTACTACCATGATCAAACAAGAAAACTAACTAGACAACAAAAGACAAAACAACGGAGCTTTAATTCTGTTCCTCACCATGTTCTGAACTTCTGATACTACAATTCGGACGAGAAGCGTCAGAGTGTGTAACGCGTTCCCAAGACATTCCACACAAGTAGCCTCTGCGGAGATGGCCATAAGATCTGCGGCCATATCCATTCAGAAGCTGCTCAAGTGCTGTATACTACCGAATCGTCGGGCTGTGGAATCAGATGCTCACGCATTCAAGTTGTGACACATCAATACATGTGTGAATTATAAGCAGTGCCATACTAATCAACATTTGGAACTATGGCCTTCTCCTGCGGTTGCTTTTTGAAATATGCAGTAGATTGCATTATAAAATTGTATTGCTTGCCGTCACCCTAAATTAGCAGGTCTTAGTAATTTGACAAAACAGAGCGCTGATGTGACTTACAATGATTGTGGAGGGGAAGCCGGGTTCGAAAGGAATGATACTCTCCAAATACTTCATGTGCTCGGGTGTCAGCAAAATTGCCAGGGACTCCAAGTTGGCCTCCAACTGTTCCACCTTTCGCCCACCAATAATCGGGAACACATAGGGCGTCTTTTGCATAAGATATGCAATGGCCACAGCTGTGATGTGCTTCGCACCGACTTCTTTCGCGACCTTCTCCAGCGCTGCGCTCATCGTCCTCTCTGTCTCGTTGCGTTCCCAGTTGGAAGTTGTGAGCATGCGACCTTTTTCTCCCGTCTGTCGGCGACGTTCCTCTTCCTCGTCGGTTCGAAGTTTTCCCCCGGCAAGGACATTCCAAGGGGCAAGCGCAAGACCTATGCATGTGTGAACAAATGTGAATTGAGGCACCAGATAGCGAGTAATTAATAAAGTTGATTTACCTTCGGAGCGGGCCATTGGTATGATATCCCGTTCAAAGTCCCGGAGCATGACGTTCCAAGCACCTTGGTAAATCACAAACGGTGATTTTCCATGATCCCGAGCATACTGATTCGCTTTGGACACGACCCAAGCAGGAGAGTCTGAGATACCCTGCCAGCGATACATGTTAACATATGTTGGCGTCAGCACGGAAACGGGATGCTCACGAGATACAACACTTTCCCTTGTTGCACCAGCACGTGCAGACCGTTCATGACCTCTTCGACGGAGGTGTCCCAGTCCCACCAGTGCACGTATAGAATGTCGATGTACGAAGTCCTCAGCTTCTTCAAACTGGCCTCGACGCTGAGGTGCATTGACTTGATGTTGTTACCGGTATAATGTGCCTTCTGCTTAATGACATCGTTGCCGCGCTGGTAATTAGTCGTGTACTTGAATATATACGCATCAGCATCGGACTATATTAATCGACTAGCAAAAGTCACCTTTGTAGCGATCACGAGCTGGTCACGGATTCCCCGTTCCTCTGCCCACTCTCCAATGATCTCTTCGGAGCTTTGATCTTGGCTGAGAAGGTGTGAAGTGTCAGCGGCAGCCATGAATTACGACACGATACGAACTAGTTGTTAGCAGTGTCGATGAAATTTCCCCCGGCATCGTAGAACGCGTCGAGGAGCTTGTATGAGGATGTCTTGTCCATACTGCCCATCCCAAATTTCTCCCACTTGTCACCGATGCTCATGGCACCGAGCTGTAAGGGCGAAACATGGACGCCGGCATGAGGGGATAATACACGATATCGCGCCAACCTGGATGATGGCTTTGGCACAGGTGCCCAGATCCCAGCAGACATGATGTAGAGTTAAGTGAGGCTGGTGTTGTTAAACCATAGTTTGTCTGAAGGCTGGGGGCGTTTTATACATGTTTTTTCACATAGGCACCTCGTCAGCATCATTGTGTGATCACTGTGATGCCAGGTAAACGCGTCAGCTATTTGAATAAGTTGGAGCCAGCTGATACGTATACCGGCAGATTCGAAGTGATGATAAAGACACGAGCGCTGGTTTGTGATCAAGATGCTGTACTATGACTCACGCGTCGTGAATGTACAAAGTTACATAAGTTTCTGATGGGCCAGATTGGAGAAGAGATCTCATAGTCATAACGAGCATCAACCGGAAAACACTCCACACCAATGAACTTTGATTTTTGAAAAGGGTGTCGCACATTCTAACCTCGCTATACCCCTTTAGTATATTACGTAAACCACTTATTTTCGACGTGAACTTGTGACACCATGGCTGGCGCCAGTACTAAGTACTAAGTATCTGCACTATTTCATTGCTTTCTGAATCGGGTGTTGTGCTCTGATAAGATTTATGGTCCGTGTCAGGGCGATGTAAAAAAAGTGATGTATGCGTTGACAAAACCAGCAGGAGACAAACTGGAATCCATGATGCAAATGTGGCAGGCGAGTTGACAATAGACGGAAAATAAACGGTATTGACTAGAATGTGGATATCTGTTGCCATACTAATCAACATCTGGAACTATGGCCTTCTGATGCGGTTGCTTTTCGAAATATGCAGTAGATTGCATTATAAAATTGTATTGCTTGCCGTCACCCTAAATTATCAGGTCTTAGTAATTTGAATTTGACAAAACAGAGCGCTGATGTGACTTACAATGATTGTGGAGGGGAAGCCGGGTTCGAAAGGAATGATACTCTCCAAATACTTCACGTGCTCGGGTGTCAGCGAAATTGCCAAAGACTCCAGGTTAGCCTCCAACTGCTCCACTTTCCGCCCACCAATGATCGGGAACACATAGGGCGTCTTCTGCATAAGATATGCAATGGCCACAGCTGTGACGTGCTTCGCACCGACTTCTTTTGCGACCTTCTCCAGCGCTGAGCTCATCGCCCTCTCCGTCTCGTTGCGTTCCCAATTAGGATCCAAGAGCCTGCGACCTTTCTCTCCCGTCTGCCGGCGGCGCTCCTCTTCCTCGTCGCTTCGAAGTTTTCCCCCGGCAAGGACATTCCAAGGGGCAAGCGCAAGACCTGTGCGTGGGTGAATGAATGTAAGTCGGGGCATTAGATAGCGAGCAACAAAATTGATCTACCTTCGGAGCGGGCCATGGGTATGATTTCCCGTTCAAAGTCACGGTGCATGACGTTCCAAGCACCTTGGTAAATCACAAACGGTGATTTCCCATGATCCCGAGCATATTGGTTCGCTTTGGACACGACCCAAGCAGGAGAGTCTGAGATACCCTGCCAGTGATACATGTTAACAAATGTGAGTGCCAGCACGGAAACGGGATACTCACGAGATACAGCACTTTCCCTTGTTGCACCAGCACGTGCAGACCGTTCATGACCTCTTCAACGGAGGTGTCCCAGTCCCACCAGTGCACGTATAAGATGTCAATGTATGAAGTTCTCAGCTTCTTCAAGCTGGCCTCGACGCTGAGGTGCATTGACTTGATGTTGTTACCGGTATAATGTGCCTTCTGTCTAATGGCGTCGTTGCCGTGCTGGTAATTAGTCGTGTACTTGAATATATACGCATCAGCATCGAACTATATTAATCGACCAGCAAAAGTCACCTTTGTAGCTATCACGAGCTGGTCACGGATCCCCCGTTCCTCTGCCCACTCTCCGATGATCTCTTCGGAGCTTTGATCTTGGCTGAGAAGGTGCGAAGTGTGTCAGCGGCAGCCATGAATTACGACACGATACGCACTAGTTGTTAGCAGTGTCGATGAAATTTCCCCCGGCATCGTAGAACGCGTCGAGGAGCTTGTATGAGGATGTTTTGTCCATACTGCCCATCCCAAATTTCTCCCACTTGTCACCGATGCTCATGGCACCGAGCTGTAAGGGCGAGACATGGACGCCAGCATGAGGAGATAATGCACGATATCGCGCTAATCCAGACGATGGCTTTGGCACGGGTGCCCAGATCCCAGCAGACATGATTGTAGAGTTGAGGGGGGCAGGTGTTGTTAAACTGCAGTTTGTCTGGAGGGTGGGAGCGTTTTATACGTGTTTTTCACATTGGCACCTCGTCAGCACCATCGTGTGATCACTGTGATGCCAGGTAAACGCGTCAGCTATCTGAGTAAGTTGGAGCAGCCGACGTGTATATACCGGCAGGCCCGGGAAATTTCAGTTGAAGTGAGCTAATATTATGATAAAGATCCAATTGGCGCTCATCGATGCATCCCCGGTTGCGCTACTCATCCTGAACACCTTCGGCGCCAGACACTCCCGGAATGCTTCTTAAGCTTGATCCTCGGTACACATTGGTACTTCCGCTCGTGAATTCCTTAGATAATCGTCACCGTCGTGTTTACCTGCTGGTTGACACCTCAGTTTTGTTCACAAGCGCTGGAAATTTGTCATACTTACGCATTGCAGTAAGTGAAATGCACAAAGAGGTTACATAAGTTTCTGATGAGATCTCATAGTCATAACAAGCATCAACACTCCACACCAATGAATGATAGGGTATCGTTTTCCATCTACTGTAATTAAAAAACTGGGGCATCCCTCAGAAAAAGTTGGCCTTCTTCTTTCTTCACCCATCGAGTAACTGCATTCGCAGCATTGATCACCGCGGCCTTGGGTAACCGCGGCGATAAAACCACATATAGTTCGAACGGCTGCGTTATCTGAAGCAACAAGATCAAACACAAGCGATACTGAGCAGCCAAACACTTACCCAACCCATGACTATTTCCTTCTCTGTACGAATGTATTGCAGCTTGAGGTTTCCCGTTTGCCCAGATTTTGCATGTATAGCGTCATGTACGATCTGGTACAACGTGACAATCCTATTTTCTGTTGTTGAGTACGCTGCAAACGAAGAGTTCTAGGATCGATCACCTTCGCTTCGCATCGAGAGTATCATAAGGCTCCTCGAAAGCCGGTAAGGTAATCTGAACATGTGGCCTGGACTTATAAACAAAGTGTCGTAGTCCAGGTATCCCCAACTGAGAGGCAAAGTAGCGTGTTTTCCCGGAGTCGACAGCTCTGGTCAGCGCATCGAGGGATCCGTCATCGTTCAATTTCTGGGGTCAATGTCAGTGACATAAATTAATTCAAGGTAAATAGTCTAGCACACCTGAGTAACGATGTCGCACCATGCTCGCACAGTCTCGAACTCTCCCCCACCGCTGATGCACACAAGTCCGATGCCAGAATCTTCTATGAGCCTGACTGTGTGTCGTGAAGTGACACCATGGCTGGCGCCAGTGGTATCTGCACTTTCATTGCTTTCGGGTGTTGTGCTCTGATAGGATTTATACTCTGTGTCAGGGCGATGTAAAAAAGTGATGTATGCGTTGACAAAACCAGCAGGGTTGAACTTGGGTAGACAAACTGGAATCCATGATGCAGATGCAGGCGAGTTGACAATAGACGGAGAATAAACGGTATTGACTAGAATGTGTATATCTGCAACAGGTATGTATAAAGGTCACACATCAGGATAAAGAAAGGGCACGTGCCAGCAGGGTGTATTGAATGCTTTTTAGGCCGCACCAATGTTATGACCTGACCCCGTGCAACTAAAATGATGTAGAGGGTATCCTGGAACCAGATTTCCATTAATACTTCAATCTTTGACGTGCAGGGGAAGGTTTGACCTTCATCTTTGAGGTCGGTACCAGTGCTTCAGCAACACGCGCTCGCAAGCTTGGGTCCAATTGTAGACAATTCAAGGAAGAAGTCGCTATTGCAAGGTCGAGTTCTATTCGACCTAACAACGAAAACAAAAATGGTTCAGAACCTATTTGGAGGCAAGATCAAAAAACTACAAGGAACGATAGATATGAATTATCGCACCGTCTAATAACCTACGCAAGTCAAAGTTCGTGCGACGCTCGAAAATGCGTCGCAGTTGGGATGCCGTAACAATGCTTAGTATTTGTAGATGTAGATACTCGAGGTGTGAGCGAGTCTTCCTTGTTCATAATTAATCGCAGTCACGAAGAAATATTCAAAATACAAGGTCACTACTCACGACGGACTCTGGCTCACCCCACGATGATGCGCAGACATAATACAAGGGAGACCGAAGCAGGAAGGTTATTCGCAACTTTCCAGCATTTATACAGCGTAGCTTATCGCCATCGTCAAGGAAGACTGACAAAAGCGCTTGAACTATGCCCATGATAGACGATAAATTCTCAGCGTCTTGCCCATCAGGGCGACTAACCAGTGATGATCATCATTGGACTTCACTAAGTTGGTCAATAGTCTCACCTAGTGAACACAGGCTTTCCAGCGTCGGTGAGTACAAAGTACTCTCGAGGTCTATATTCTTCAAGAGCTGTACCAAATTTGAGACACATGAATATACGAGGACGGGTCTGAAATGGCCGGTCTGGGTGAAGGTCTGTATAGACAGCAGTTCTGTGTCTGCGACCACCAAGTTTAGACGCACGCTCGGCAGGGGTGATAGAGCTACCTATACCTGATCAAAATTGGGGTCCGCCCCAGACATGCACCCAGACCGGCCATATCTTGCACATTCAGGAATGTATGTCATGATATTACTCACTTGTGTCAGCAAACACAGAACTAATTTCTAGAAATTCATCAGTTTTTCGCTTTGCGTCTGCAACACTCTTAGAAGTGCTAGTATGCACTGATCAAGATAAAAATACCTGATTTCTCCCTCTGAACACTCAAAGTCCGCCGTAGATGATCCCGCAGGTTCTTCCTGGATTCTTCACCAGCTACATCATCTATCTGGCCAACTGCAGTGGTATCTTCGCTGTGTGTGGTGTCCACCTCTGGGTCCACCTCGTGGACAAGTATGCCGTCATTCAAATCAAGATTCGTTACAGATGATGCTGAACTTCCAAGAGTCGGAGTGGTCACGTATAGGTGGCCTGTGTTGAAATGGTGATCTTTGAGATTTGAAAGTGACGGAGGAGAGTGTAGTACTGGTGGGATGACCAAATTATGAGCAGGAGATGATGAGGTTGTTTGAGGGTATGCTGAGGTCATGGCGGTCCACAGGCAAAACTGACCGTGTCCGACTCGGAGTCACAGAAACAAACAACTTGAAGCTATTGTTAGTGCTTGACTCAAGCATTGCGCAATGTCTAACACAACCTCAAAGCGCTCTTTGTCGTGGTTGTTTTAACTATTACACATTCCAAAATTCCATCTGTTGTTGACAACTGGCGAGATGCAGAGTCTGTTACTGTGAGCTGCGGGAATATGGCACATTCAGGAATCTACCGGCTACGCAAATTTCAAGTACACTCGATACTGCAATATCTCACTCCACGCAAGTTGCTAGAAATCTAAGTACTATGAGTTATCATCTTTCTCCTGAAATCTATGTGAATATCACAGGGCTTCGCATTCATTGAATCTACTTACTGTCAGTGACCGGGACGGATATTTGTATTTCCCACGATCCGGTTCCGTGTATCACCGTCAGTTTCCACAAAACACTTTTCCACCTTCACCATGATGTCCGCTCGAGTTGGGCTTAGTTCTGCAACGAGAAGAGTAGCGTTCGCTCCAGTCGTTGGTAAGTGCACATCATAATTCATGAAAGCGGTACGATTACATACTTATCACAGGGAGAAACCAAATTGTTTTGCGTACCCTGATTCCCAAGCGGTAGGGGATAATTGTCGTGGTTCTGAGCTATCATGACTGAATGCACTTTAGTGGTGTGCAGATACAGTCTCTCCCTCCATCAGCTTCGGAAGAAATTCTGAATGCTCAGCGTCTCAAACGCCCCTCCAGCCCTCATTTCACGATCTACCAGCCTCAGCTGACATGGTTTAGCTCGATTGCAAACCGTGTAACCGGCGGGGCACTCAGCGCGCGTATGTCTCAATTCCTTACAAATTACTGAAATATAGCATAATCGTGATATCATATAGTCCTCTACGGCTTCTCGTTGGCATACCTCGTCGCTCCGGGGACTTTCGATAGCGCTCACATCGTCGAGTTCGTTGCTGGGCTCCCAGACTATGTGAAGTACACCGGCAAGCTTATTCTTGCTGCACCTTTCACTTTCCACTTCTGGAATGGTCTCCGACACTTGAGCTGGGACATGGGTAAATGTATGTCGCCGATGTTTTGTCTCGTTGATCATTACTCACGTAGCTCTCAAAGTTTTGAGTCTCAAGGGGGCATATAAAGCTGGTTATGCTGTTTTAGGAGCCACGGCTATATCTACGGTCGCATTGGTTTTGATGTAAAAGTCCTGTTTCAACTATTGGCAAGTCACTTGATCGTCAAATTCAAGAAAGCAGCGTGCCCAAAATCTTGAGTCTTTGTGATCGGTCGTAATAATTGTATTGCATACCGTGATAGTTTGCCACCCACATTCGGGACTCGAGTTGAAAGTATGATGAATTCGCCATTATCTGAGAGCAAATGCATGGTAGTAGGTTAGAAGCTCGGCTTACGCTGCTCCTGTCTGATGTTACTAACTGGTTTAAAATTAAGCCTCGCATGATATGCCTGTTTACAGGATAGCTGGAGCCACGCATAGCTCTCATGGTGGGGGCCATTATAGCTTTTAACTCTAATCATGTCCCTGGCCGTTCGACTCAGCCTTCTCAAATCTCGTCACAGAAAGCAAAAAGAGATTAATCGATGACAACTGCAACTCACCCAACCTTGGTTTCGGTACACAGCTGCACCCTGTTCACCTGCGAAAGTCGACCATTGAGCATTGCATCCAGGCCCCAAGACTAATCCTTTCGTTTAGGCTTTGTGTCCCAGGTCGACTCGTGACGTTAATTAATTGCAGGTTTCTGCAAGAGAGTAGGTTTGTTCCACGCGTTTCACTCTAGTTGCAGATTCATGACGCGCATCATACATCCACGTACTAGCACAGGACGCATCAACAACTGTCACCAACTATCGGTTGCGAAAGTTCAAGCCCATGGCAATCACCATTTGTGTTAGTGCAAGTGTACGCTAAGCGATGCATTGCATTACTTGGCAATGTGTGGGGCGATAATGTCATTAATAATGCAGAACGACACGACTAGCTATCAAACTGCCGTAGCTTTACGATTCGAACACAATGTTAGCTCCGACCTAGACGGATGGCCATGATCAATATGCAGACTAGACAGTACAATGAGAGAAGTACCTTGTGAGTTGGGCCAGTGGGGCTGATTTCGTTCAAGCGTTGAGTGTCCAGGGCAAGACCGAAGGAAGCCTTGACACCAGGACGGAGGGCCTGTGTATAGCCTGCCAATGTTGTCAGAGAAAGCCTATCATTAAACCTGCAATGACTTACCAAGTGCGAGAACACCGGAGTTGTTGATCTTTGCCTTGACGAAAGCAGCCGAATCAAGGTACCTATACGTAACAGGTTCAGACCAACCATGCCAACGCCATGTGGCCCTAAACTCACGCCTTAGTGCCCACCTCAAGAGCAACACCCGAAGTCGTTGCCTTGGTATCGTAGACAGCCTTAGCACCAGCCTCAACATCAGCGCTGACGCGGTGGTAGTAGCTCGCAGTGAAGGTTTTGAGGTTGTTGAGACCGTGAACAGTCACAGCGTACTCGGGAGCGTTATAACCGATGGCAGCAGCATACCGGGTGATCTTACCCTCAGTGACGTTGTAAGCAGCCTCAGTACCGAACAAAAAGCCGTCGCGACCGAAGACAGTATCAGCGGTAAAGGTGGGGCCCTAACATTCCCTTGAAATTAGACGGAGAATGATAGAATTCAACGTCACCGAACCTTGAACACGTCGAACGCGCCACGGGTGTGGACGCCAGACTGTTTGTAGATCACGTTAAGCAAGGCTGACTTTTGGCCCTTGTCGGGTGTCAATGATGTGGCGATATCAAGCTTGAGACCTTTGGCAAGATAGTTCTCGAGCTCGAGCTGAGATTTGAGAGCGTTAGAAGTGGTCCATGTCTCGGTGAAAACGAGGCCGTTCTTCTTGTCGGTGTACTTGGCCTCGATGTCCCCGGCAATGGCACCAGATTTCGAGTCCCTGTTTCCACCGACTTTGAACGCGACATTGGATGGCGTCTTTGTCTTGACCTCCAGAGATGTCCCATGGAAAGGATAGTCTTTCCCCAACAAGTCGTTAGAAGACTTTCCGAGGTCCTGTATTCAGATACTTTGAGCTCCAGAATTACCGCCGTCAATCGCGACATGCATCATACCTTCCATGAAGGGGGAACTGGTTGAGGAAGAGACATGATGTAGACGTGAACTTAGATGATGAGCTGAAGGAAAAGGGAGAAGGCGGAACTGGCATTTTTGGGCGGAACTAGCCGTGAGAAGTCTGCGGCTTCTGAATCGGTCAGTAAGCCGAAGTAACTTCAAGTTGCCACCATAGCAGTAATATTTAGCCTTCGTCATGTCCTCTGAGTCTGAAGACAGGACGCAAGTTGCATCAAGTCAACCTTCGGGATCCCGCAGACCCGTCTATAAGATTGAATCAACTGGTAACTTTTGGCAAGATGTGGGAGAAGCTTTCAAGGTGCGCCTTCCCCAGGTATTAACCCTTATGCAGCTGAACACTCTGCGAAGCTAGCGCATATCAATAGCTGATGATTTTCAACGTCTAGGCGAGATGCCATGTGCTCGGAACAGCCTTATGAGTGGTATCGCCAGTGGCGTTGGAGTAGGAGTCATCCGTATCATGGGTGCTGGTGCGTTGTCTGCCGGTTCATACTGACTGTCATCAACGTCATTCTTCAAGGGTTTCTCGTCGGATCACATTGGGCAGTAGGGACTTTTATGGTTGTTTCGCTGGGCACGTGGTACGTTTTCTGAGTATTTCGCACCAAATATTCCCACCGATCGACTTGCAAAGGACTGTCTGCCAGAGGAATATTGAACTAGAGCGACGTAAGCTCCAAAGGGTGGTTGAAGAAATGCCGAAGCGCTTTATCAAGCAGAAAGACAAAGCGACAGACGAAAACGGAGGAAGCTGACAAGGGCAGCGTTAACCCATCTCGAACAGATTTTCTCGATACAGGACCCTAGCTGATTCTACCAAATGACCTCTCTCCAGTTCTCGACCAACTCTGGATCGTTCTTGCAATATCTGGTTGGTCATGGGTCCTGATTAAAATTAACGATGCAACGTTACCTTGTATGACTGCCCGAATTGGACGAACCCCCCTTGAAGCACATACACAGTGTGATTCGCATTATGCAAAGTGTTGCGGGTTTCTTCGTAAATCTGTTATGTTCTCAATTTTTATGACGCAAGCGCTTAGAGGAATGAGCGTACTCTTGCTGCCTTTGGCCCACTGTCCAAGATGATGAGTATAGGCGGTGAATAAGTATGAATCCATACCGCTCCTGACTCAGTGCACAATGGAAGATCATAACCGGTACATCCTTGGTGCGCTCGACGAGGTCATCAAGCTCTAACAAGAATCTTTGAGACGGGTGATTTCTGGAGCCTTTGATATTTCCTCCCTTCCAATCTTCGTCTCTGACGTCTACGATAAGGTAGTCTATGTTACTATCAGGTCAACGATGCCCCTGATTTTGTAATTGAAAGCAGCGGTACCTTTGTCTGGGACTTTATCGCTCTTTATAAGCTTCACCAGCTCCTGCAAAGATTAATTTCAGTCGTCAGAATCACCGGCAATAACCCAGCGCCCTTACACTTCCTATTATACCTTGCACCATCGTATACCGAAAATCTGGCTAGTAAGAGTAGGGAATGTAAAGTCCGTATCTAAGCCAAGCAAATACAGTGTATATGTTATCCCATGCACGTGTGTGCCCATGTGCCGCACAATCGACGCTCATCAGTTCGCCTAATCTTGGTCCAGACTTTACCGGTTACCATCCACCTGGCCATTTCATCGGAGGGACAGAAATGAATCTCTAGCTCAGTCATGGTATTTGTTCTTTTCATGAGGATAAAATATGTGTGTTACTAGATATCAGAAGATCAAAGCGAAATCGAGGCGTGCTTTTCTCATTCGAACCTTCCTGTGGTCGTAGAGTTCCAGCCCGCAGCACTAGGTGAGAGAAATTGATCAGAAAGAAAATTGCAGGAGCCAAAATTATCGTTTGTGGAGCGAAAGTGGCTGGTCGCATATCAGAAAGGCCGACCTGACAGGATCTCTGCATCCCGTGACACGCGAAATGGAGCCAAGTATTGACCCGCAATTCGCATAGTGCTCTTGATTTGCGGGCATCAACACTGCACTGGTTGTCTTGGAGAAGGAAACAGTTGTGGGAGGGAGGGGCCAAAGTCTCCGCACCAATTCCACCTCGGCTCCTCAGCATCCAAAGTGGATGAGATACCGGCTGAGCAATCCTGAACCAATGACGACGAAGGGCACCGACGGGGACTGTCATGACTTGTACAAGCCTCGATCAGCGCGGTGAGCGATGGCGCGTATGAAAATACATAGTGCTGCGAAAGGGAATTTCCCTTTGCCCTGTACTCGACAGCAGCATGCAACGGCAAGAAATTGAAGACAGACATCGAGCACCTCCATATTTTTAACAAGTGGGCAGACGATATTGTTCCGTAACTCTCTCAAAGCTTTTATGAACGCTGATTGGTTCCCTTTGGGATTGGCCTCTTTTTCCTCTTGAAGTGTGAGTACCAATTTGGCGAGTTTCCAAAAAAAAAAAATCGGTAGTAGGAGTAGAACGCTAGTTGGAGGTTGCTTGTGTGAGTTTTGCGGGATGATAATAATGGCATGGCGAGATGGCTTGCTTGCGATGAGTACGATGATGGCCCCATCACGAGCTGCTTCTTAGAGATCGGAGTATAAGGGGGGAAAGAGGAAACGAGAAAAGCTCTCGATCTTGCGGCCCTCGTCTACAGCTCTATTCCAGTCCTGCACTAGACGTGAATTTCTTCATGATCGCCATGAGTGGCCCGGTGTTCAAGAGGCGTGCGAAATTGTGCCATCTGGGTTTAGATGGTACAAGATTAGTTTAGAGTCCTTGCATGAACTTTGGGTGGTAGCAATCGGATCTGCAGCCAGGCGAGAGGTATGACAGTACGGTAGTCGGATCGAGACCAAGAAGTATACTATGTCGGCGCAGCGACCCGAGTGTGCGTGTCAACTGGGTATATGATGAAAGTAGTAAGTAAGAATAAGTACTAACAGTACAACAGATTCTAATTGTCTTTCTTGATACCCAAGAAAATATCCAATACATACTGCTTAAATACAAAACAGGATGAAGATCATATGACTTACGACTTGCGCTTTGCCTTCCCCTTCTTGTTCGTACTAGTGGAACCCTTAAGACTAAGGGTAGGAGATGGAGTACCAGGCGTTCGTCCCCTCGCCGCGATACGCTGGTCCTGATATTTTTCCTCATAAAACCGAGCAGACTTCCGGCGCTCAAGCCTTCTCGCCTCCCTCCTTGAACCTATGGGACTCGTGGACCGCCTTCTGTCACCACCGTCATGGTCCACAAGCGTACTTTCATCATCTGGCGGTTCATCGTCATGTTTATCATCGCCCAGCTTAAATGAGTGGGATGCTTCAGACATTTCTTGTGGTCCCCAAGGATGCGCAAAACCTAGTGGGTACGCACCCCACGGACCTGTGGGTGGCGGAGGCATATGAGGTGAGCCGTATGTCAACATCGTCGCGGACAAAGCATATGACAATTGGTGCATCGCCTGGTAGAGAAGAAGTTGTGGTGGTTGTGTAGGATCGATGGATGGGGTGGCAAAAGGATAGACTTGTGTCCGAGGTAGTGGTTGTGCGGGATCGATAGAGGGGGTGGCAAAAGGGTAGACTTGTGTACGCGGTAGTGGTTGTGCGGGATCGACGGAGGGGGTGGCAAAAGGGTAGACTTGACTCCGCGGCGTATGAGACGCGAAACGGGTGCTTGCTGTAGTCGAAGGTGTATCAGGCACTGCGGAGCAGTCCGTTGGTAAGCGATTGTGCAGACTGTGAAGGTAGCTAGATTACCTAGTGTACTTTCAGATGATGTACAACGGTGCGAAGATGGAGAAGATCCTCGTAGAGAAAAGGATGGTGAAGAGCTTCGCCTTCGCTTTCCAGCTCGCGGGGGTCGTTCGAGGAGCGCAGCAAATTCCTCATCAGAATCAGCGAATTCTGAGGTTTTTTGCTCACCTTCCGCAACATTCTGTTCAGATTCATTGCGGGGGATGTGGTACACAACACTAGCCTCGTCGTGCTGCCATATGCTATTAAGTTCATCCTCAGACTCGTCTTCTATGGCGGCTGCATGCTCTGGATCAACGGTCTCTGGCTGCTCTTCTTCATCCGACTTATGTAAAGCCTCTCGGAGCGCAGCTAATTCTTCCAGAGACATATCATCATCACCGTCCTCATCTCCCAACAGCTCTCTTCGTCTCTTTTCAGCATCCAGAAAGTCGTTAAGATCGTCAGCGTCTGTTGTTGCTGAAAGAGGTGGCACAGCACGAAGCAATTCAGACGTTGATGCCATAGTACCATCAGGTGCGCGCCGAACGGGTAGAGTGTCCAATTCATCGACGTCATCATCCTGGTCCTGCTCGTCAGGCTCCTGCTCCTGTTCTTGCTCCTGATCTTGGTCATCCTGAATATCATCGGGATTTAAATGACCAAAATCATAGTCTTTTCCGTTCCTTAGTACTCCTCTGTCACTGATTATGGTGCCGCTGTAGAGGTCAACGATATCGTCTTCATCGAGACGTTTGTTGTAGCGTTCGGCGAGCTGAGCCCAAACATTAAGAACGCGGTGAGTAGACTTGGATAAACGAGGTCGTTTTGTAGGTCGGCTATCTGGAGGGGCAACAGAAGGGGAGGCATGAGGTGCCATGACAAGCTTTGGGTTATCTTGTTTACCAAGTCCAACAAACAAACAATGCCCGTGACTTGATTGACTCTCCGACATAACTCCTAATATGGTAGGCCGCTCAGCCGCCGCTGGGTGGCTAAGTTGTTTCTGTTCATCGAATGAACTGTAGATCAAGCAGTATTCATGGAAGATGGAGAGGCTAGGTGTTACCATGACCCTTCAGCTTCAATGTTAAAACGGACAGATTCAGACTTGGCCACTATCAGTACATTTCATATGGCGTGGTTGATTCAACCTACCTCACGTATTGTGACTCTAACACGAAGATGAAATCACTTCAATTTCGCCATTAACACTCGTATCTGCAACCCGCTTCTCGCGACTCGTCTGTGTAGGACGCTTGTATTTGTAACACCAATCAATGACTCAATATACCAACAGTAAGGGGCTCTGCCGTCGCGGGCCACCCTTCGCGTAGACAAGACACAGCAGAAATGATGCTGTGAAGATTGCACGATTCGTGCTGACACTACATCATGGAAGCTCAAAGTTAAAATTCCCAACCTCGTAATTCCACAAAACCTTCTTTACTCCATAGAGTCAGGGTCTACTGCTTCACACTATGCAAAGACGTCCCGGAGCCAAGTCTCATAGTCATACTCGGGTTCTCCCACCTCATTGTTTGTCGACGGTATCACCTGACTCAAGTAGTCGACTGCACTTACGGGCAACTGAGCCAGGCGTAAATCGAGTTCAGTCACAAAAGGCTGCAGAAATGAATTTCATTGATGCACAAGTCACCAAGTGAGAGTCACGTACTTTGTCACCCGCAATTCCACGGAATGATTCGCGCAGTTGCTCCGGTGACGTTTGATCCTCCGTGATGTCAACCTATCACAAGTTGTTTGTAAGAATGCAATTAATGCCAGAGGAGAATAAGCTCACCAAGAGATTGATGAATGCTTCAAAAGTGACCGCGCCGTAGTCTTGTACCAGCTGGTCGTAGATATAAGTCATGTCTTCATCCTAATCGTTCAATGACTTGATGAGCAGCGCAGCTATGCAGTGTTTGATACACTCACAGAGTACACAAGGCCCTGACTAGCGAGAGCTGCGCTCGTCTCTGTCAAGCTCAACGTGTTGGTCTCGTCGCGGTCGAAGTACCGGAAAGTACTCTCAAATTGCTCCAGTTGTGCAGGTGTTAGGTTGGTCATATTTCGGGACACAATCTGTCCTGCATTAGTCAAGTAGGATGTGCTCAAATAGATACTGACCTGATTGTCAATGAAAGATATTTTCTTCGTGAGGCTCTGCGCTACAAGTCCTAGTTCAAACTCAAGGTCTTGACATGTGAACACAGTGTAGTCGTTCTCTTCTACATTTGCTGCGACGCAGTCTTGCTCTGCCTTTGCCACACGCGTCAGGGCTTCAGATAACGTCGGCAGGCGGGTTTGAATTTTTTTGACCTGGTCTTGCTGGGTCTATATTATACGTAAGCCTCAGTCTATTTGCAAGTTAAATACAGACCTCTAGCGGCCCCGCGACACCCGAGAGTTCCAATGATATGGTGTGCAGACGTTGCGAGAAATCATTAGCTAGATCCGCGAATTCTTTCCGCAACGACTCTTTGATCCTGGGTACCTATTGAACATCAAGAGCGAGTAATAGAAAGTGTATGACTGACTGCCGTATCTGTGCATTAATTGCCCGTGACCTTTTGGCTTCAGATTGAAGCAGGTCATTCCATGCGTCGTCGAGGTCCTAGAACTCAATGTATATAATCAGGTATAAAATTAACACATTGCATCTCGAATACCCACCGAAAGCGCGAGACCAAGGGGAGGGATGTATTCTGTCAGCCCGTACGTCCGAAGCTTCGTTTGTATGTTGCCAAGGAGTGTAGTGACGTCCTGTCGCTCTGTGACCCATGTACGCTTGGTTGTGTGTTTGTAAGTTGTAAAAGTGGTGGATTGTTCTTTCGCATCTGTATATGAGCCAGTAAAACGGCTGGTTGACCACGTTTTCTGGACCTCAGAAAGTGCATGTAGGAGCTATTGGAACGTGAGCTATGAGAAGTATGCGATGCGAGTAGACGCACAGCGCGAGCTCGACGCTCATAATCATTTTTGCTCGTCCAAACGGATTGCATTAGTTCAGCAAATTTTTCTACACGTCGGGAAACAGTTTCAGCTTGATCTAACCAGGCCATTAGTTGCATATGATGTGACAGCAATTTTAGTTTTTAACATACCCATCGTTGAGAAGGCGTGGAAATAACTTGCAATATAGGTCATGACACTGCGTTCGTCTGGACGCGTCGAATCGCACAGGTCCTCTACCTCAAGGAGTTGCTGCATAGGTAAAGTAAGCACCTCCGCAAGGGTTGCCTGATGCGAGCTTACTGGAACATCAAGATGGTCTGCGGCTACTTGAAATGCCAGGCGGGTATTACCGTGTCGATTGGACTGAACAACGCAGTTAGGTACAATATTTACGAATGCCTTTACTGTTACATGCCTTGTCAAGTTTGTCATAATCCAGGAGCTCGGGCCGATGACAATGGATTAACGCACAGCTAGAAGAGTGAGAGCAAGTCAGAGGCAGATTGTAACCAGGGAGTGTACTAACAGCGCCAGCCCATCCGACCAACTTATGGAGAAGTCTTGTACATCAACTTCTTTGTAGGGCGCAGTTTTGCGTTGGGCCCAAAGCAGCAAGCCTTCCTTCGCCGAAAGGCCTTCCTCACTGAAATAGTCGCATTCAACGAGGCATCCTCTTGTACGAGTTGTCTTACCTGATGTCTGCGATGGTAAAGCGCAAGACCAAGGTCCAGATCATACCCAAGATCAGTTTCAAGTTACCGTCGATGATATCTAAAGTCCAACAGGTTGACTGAGTTCCTTCAGACTGAACTGTGCAACGTGCCTTCTGGCCCAATATTTGTTAATTTTATACCGCGTTGTCGTATGAATTCCAGTGCTTTGTTGACATTCTCTGCCTTCTGGACGCGCATTCGGGGGTTCTTATTGTATCTTCCGAGGGATGTATCACCTGTACAACACGCGAGCTATCCACACCATATAAAATTAGATTGAAACACAACCTTACCCATTATTTCCTATACAAACCAAGACATAAATCATGGTTGCTCGAGCTAGAAGACAAGCATTCCTCTTACCATGAGCTGGATTAAGCGCACGCCGTCCGAAAGGTCTTGGACGAGCGAGTGCATAGGTGGATAACCATTTGCTTCAAGTTTGGTGTTTAGCCTAGATAGCAACATGAGCTATTCCATCGACAGCAGTGTATGGTCAGGTAGCTCACCACTTGCAGAAGGTTCTTTCTTGAGTTGAATCCATTGCAGTTGACACTGTACAGCTAGTTCACTGTATATCGGTGAGCAGCACTTGAAACTCGAAGAAATCGCGTTGCCAGTTGACTCGATCCGCTCGACGTGAAGGGGTGCTCCTAGAGATGCTTGGTACTATCGAAGCCTATCGAAGCGTTCGCTTATATATATGGAGACAATTCAAGACGTGATGATTTGTCAGTGAACGCGTCGAGTCTCAACGTCACGGTTGCACAACTTGCAAGTTGCAACTCCATCAAGTTCTATCTTCTTTGCTGACACCTTCTGTTGTCCTCTATGACGACGACGCAGTTCGATAAAATTTATTATGGCCTCTCATCTGAAGTTGGGAGTAAGGAGACTTTTCTTGATCCATTGATCTCACATCCTGTACTGATGGTGCCTGCCAGAATTTCGTGTTGCAGCAAGTGGAATGGCCTGGAAGGGCGAAGAGAATGATACAGTAACTGCCATACCGTCTGCAGAAGTCAAATGGGCGCAATGGTATCGCGTTGCAAGGAACTTTCAGCTGCGAATAGGCCTGAAGGACAGACGGCGAGAAACTTTTGATGGCTTCTTACGGGAGGTTGGTACAGACTTTTAGCGATGAACTGTTATTAAGGAGTCTTTCAGGATCACGACAAACTCGCAGGGCTACTCAAACAGCACTTTGCGGTGACTCTGGAAGTCAGAGATGTCACATTCAAAGGCTGGAACTGGGGTGTAACGGACATCCAAGGTGCGGCATACTTTGAGTCTTGTTTATATATTATCTTAAATGTCTATTCCAGGGCAAGATATGGCGTTTCTCGTATCAAACAAGACGGCTTTTGAGCTCCCTCTGAGCCAAGTAGCAAACTCCAACATCGCTGGTCGCACTGAAGTTTCACTAGAATTTGCCCCATCAACATCATCTGCAAAGAAACCTGCTCGCAGTGCCCCAGATGAGATGGTAGAGATTCGCTTCTATGTTCCTGGTACGCAAGCTCGCATCCGAGGGTCGGACGCTGGCTCGCAGAAATCTGATGACGAGGAGGGAGATGGAGAGGGAGAGGGAGAGGGAGAGGAAATGAGCGCAGCACAAGCATTCCATGACGCTATCAAAGACAAAGCAGACATTGGTCAAGTTTCTGGAGACTTAGTCCTGAGTTTCGAAGAAGTTCTCGTCTTGACCCCTCGTGGACGATACGACGTTGACATGTTCCTTGATTTCTTGCGTCTTCGTGGCAAGACGTACGACTACAAAATTCTATATTCCAGCATTGCTCGATTATTTCTCCTACCTAAAGATGATCAACACGTACTCTTCATTGTAAGTCATATCTACTTCATTTCGACCTTTGACTAAAATTGCTACAGCTGGGATTGAGCACACCCATTCGGCAAGGACAGACGAGATATTCTTATCTTGTCATGCAATTTGCCCGGGAAGAGGAGACCACAGCGGAGCTCAATATGTCGGAGTAAGCCAATCATGGATGTCCCAGCATGATCATGTCTCATATGTGTAAATCAGGGAAGACATCGAGAAGTATGACAGACTGAAAAAGAACTATGAAGACCCCACCTTTGAAGTCGTCTCGGGTGTTTTCCGTGCTCTATCCAAGAAAAAGATCATCAGCCTAGGGTCATTCAAAAGGCATGCAATTTATCGTCATTTAGACTTTTGCTGACTCCTGTCTTAGTCGTGATGGTCACCCAGGCATCAAAGCGAATCTCAAGGCCGTGCAAGGCGACTTGTTCCTGTTGGAGAAATATATTTTCTTCGTATCCAAACAGCCAACTCTCATCGAAATATCCGACATTCACCAGTGTGTCTTCTCTCGGGTTGGTGCAAGCATGGGTGCCACTGCAGCCCGCACATTCGACCTGAAGATTGTGACCAAGAACGGCCCAGAGTTCACGTTCACGTCGATCAACAAAGAGGAACACGAGCCGGTCGAGGCATACCTCAAGGAAAAGAAGGTGAAGTTGAAGAATGAGATGGTGCCCGACGTCGATATGCTGGCTGCTGGAGGTGACTCCTCTGACGAAGAAATGCAGAGCGTTGCGAGTAGTGGGGACGAAATGCCCAAGCCGAGATTGGGTGGTGATGATGAGGACAGTGAAGAAGGTGCGGATTTCTCTCCATGTCATGTGATGGTTCTCAATTCTTGATTGCAGATGAGGACTTCCAAGCCTCGTCCACAGACGAAGGTTCACCGAGTGAAAGCGACTCAGATTCTGACGGCGGTGTTACTGCCTCTGATGCTAGCGGAGATCGCGAGCTGGCAAATGCTGCAAAAGGAAAAAAGAAATTAACCAAGAAGAAGGCAAAGGGCAAGGCAGCTGGCAGCGATGCAGGGGATGATGAAGACAAACCAACAAAGAAGAAAGCGAAGACCAAAGCAGCCGGTAGTGATGCAGGCGACGATGAAAATAAACCCAAGAAGAAAGTCAAGGCCAAGGCAGCTGGTAGTGATGCGGGCAATGATGAAGATAAACCCAAGAAAACAGCGCCCAAACCTAAGCCCAAGCCCAAAGCCAAGAAGCAGGACGACGATGCAATGGATGTTGACGAGGACGAGGAGCCAAAATCCAAGCCGAAACCAAAACCGAAACCAAAACCGAAAGCCTCCGGTCCTAAGGAAGGTGAGGAAGACGAACCTGTCAAGAAGAAACCCAAGGTATCTTCGGATTGAGCACTTGTGTACTTTTACTTGCTCCTTATTACTTTTCTCCTTGCTAATCATCATGATTTTAACATTGTGTACAATGGTTTACTTTGAAATACGACTACAGAAGTATGTAGTTACAACCTCCAATATACAATGCAATGACACGGACAGTAGATGTGGGGTATATGCGGGGTATATTCAGTTCGCATAAAAGCACATCATGATATGACATCTCTGTGTTTAGCCAGGAGAGAGCCAGGTTCGAATGTGACGGCGGTAGTTGATGCGCTGAAGGGAGCTGAGACATTAACGAGAGGTTGACTAGGGCGCGTAGAAATGGACTGTTTTCTAGTTTGAGACCGAGATAGGTTGTTAGAGATCGAAGTAGATTCCCCTGGTTTTGCGAATAGGACATGTCGTTCCTGGAAAAGCACATAGGACTAAAACAGCAATGAACGATAGGTTTGAGGGATCGGGTGTGAAGGCTTACTCGCGCTACAAGAATCGCTTCCATCCATCTCTCGCCATCCTTTTGATTACATGACAAAATATGAACATAGTCCGACACATTCTCAAATAGTGAGATGTTGTCAGTAGATTTGATGGCAAAAACGAACGGTTTAGGAGACTTGCGTTTTCTAGTGATATAGTACGCGTCGAAATTGGAGAGTGAGCACAGGAAAGTCTCATCCTTTCCCTGCAACAAGCTTTGAGTTAGGTTGAAGAGACTACTGAGGATAGCGTACCGTGTCACGCTTGGCCAACCACAAGCTGTGCTCTCGTAATTCCATCCAACGTTTGCTCCACTTGCCCTTCTTGCTCTCATATTCGATATATCCGCGGTTGGTAGGTGAGCTTGTGGGTATGTTCTATGCCGCCAGTTCAATAGATCTCGGATAATAACAAACGAGAAACATACCGAGCGGCTCAGGAAGGGCGCCAGGTAGGTGCGCTTGACCACAAAGGCATTCAAAAGTTTGTCTTTGTTCCAGGAAGCAGTGACATCTGATAGTAGCTCGTAACTTCGGATAGGGCGTTCTGCAATTACGTGAATCATTTGATGTCCACAAAAAATGTGAAACCTGCTTACCCATGCCGAAGTCATTCGCAAGCTCGAACAGCATCCAGACTGCCGCATCATCCAACGATCCTTGGCTTGCAATCAAGGCAACGACATCGCCAGCGTTGGTGGTCGGGGTAATCTCCACCGTGTTGAATCTTTGCATATCTCCAATAAAGACTCGTTGCTGGGTGACCTGTGTTTTTGGCACATGGACAGGCTGAGACCGTGAATGTAACGGCTCGACAACAGGGCGCTGAAGAACACGCTGCTCGACATCTTGATCTACGGAGGCGCGAGGGACTGTTGGTGTTGGTCTTCTACTATCTTCGCTTGGACGGGCAGACCTGAATAAAGGCTCTGAGCCATTGCGAATCTCAGAACCATCTCTAGATGCACGGGTGACGGACTTGCCCCGGCACATAGGCGGGTCTTCTGGTCTGCGTGAAGCGGCCGTCGGTCTACCTCCGTGGCGTTGCGATGACTCTAGACGTGGCTGTGCTGTATCCACTGTTCGCCCCTCTGGACGATAGAAAGATCGCGTGGATCTCAATGGCCGTTCCTGTGGAAGTTTGTCGGTGGTATAAGCCGGGGCATGTTGGAGGAACGTTGTCTCTTCCACAACTTGCGGACCGTGAATCCGTGGACCAGAACCAGAAATAGGTACTCTTGCGGGTAGTGATGCAGAAGCAATACCATTATAGGAAGGCAGCGCAGTCGACGGAGCTGTTGCCATTTGAAGGTTTGCTAATTTCATCGCCAAATCATCAACAGGGAAAGGTTCAAGGGGGGCTGGCCTGCCACGAGTTCTCTCCCCTCTTGATGGAGCAAGCGAGGGCGTGACGGACGCAGAACGTTGTCGACCATGTATGACAGTAGGAGGAAGGGCAGGAACAGGAGGTCGTTCGGATGGCATTACTGCGCGAGTACTCTTCGCACGCTGAATCTTCCGTTGGTGACGCTCATCGCGCAATTGTCGTCGAATAGACTTTTGTGCTGTGAGTGCCGTTGGCATGCTTTGAGCGAGTGGTACATCATCATCAGAACATGAAACCATTCTTGAGTGGTTAGAACGTGTGCGAGATGGCGGCCGAGAGGAGTGTCCATCCACGCTATAGTAAACGGTACCGTTGTCTCCCTCATCTGAAGAAGAGCTGTAATCCGAGTCACTCCATGCTGGTGAACGTGTGATTGGTCTACGCCCTCTGTCTCCATCATCCCCACCACCGTCGTCACCGTACCCTCCAGAACCATGGTTCCCAGAATGACCCCCTTCCTCTCTTCCTCCGTATTTACGGTCCCGTCTGTCCTCGCCACGGTCTCGCCCTGGGGGTGGGCCTCGTTGTTCAGGTGTGCTATCACCGTCGCGTGGAGCATCTTCAAGTCTTGTCGAGAGATGTGGCTTCTTGATCTGGGGCAGATGGTATAGGATGCCAGGCATGGCGTGAAAGGACCGTGGATCGGAAGAAGTTTTAGGAGTGTAAAAAGAGGTGTATGGTGTGGGTGTAACTTTTGGGTAAGGGGTTCCAGATGTAATCTTCGAAGGTAAGTCCCACTCTGACTCCGACAAGTCAGAGCGCAGTTGTGTGTGATAGTCAAAATCAGAGTGATAGCTGAGAGGATGACCTTCATCCATGCTATCGATTTCGTGGGCGAAAGACATTTCCGAACCCTGAGCGTGGCTGACAGAAATACTATTTTGGTCGGTCACAGTTGTGGACCACGGTGAAGATGATATGGATGAGGAACGTGAGAGCGCAGACAAAGAAGCCTGAGGCTCTGACCCTGTAAATGAAAGCGACGGAAGGGAATCAATATCGGCATCATCAAGCTGTACTGATGCTGGTCTTCCATTGGTGAAATGAGAGTTACTCTCGGAGTCACCCGGATCTGTGAGTAATTTCTCTGATGCTGATGAATATGCCGGTGAGGGGATACAATCTAAACTGAGAGTGAAGTCTTGTCTAGTATCCAAGGGCTCTGGCGTTTGCGGGACAGTAGCTGCACGCTGCCGTTTGGAGGACCCCGCTATTGGTTCCGCAGAAGAAGCAGGTGTGACGCCGAGATGTGGAATGGGTTTTATGTCCCATGGTTCATGTGGTAATCGAGCGCCAGGGGTTCCCTTACGAGGCTGATGGTAATCATTAATGCGAGCGTCATAAACACTACAAAACACGTACTTTGCGTGGGATACCAATATTCATTTGAGCTAGTGTATTCAAAGAAGGTAATGATGGTCGGGAGGCGAATGCCGGTCTAGTGTGAGCGGGACGGACTTGACCGTGACCGGAAGACTTCGGACGTTTAGGATTATGGTGTTGACGGTATGCTTGCGATGGAAGTAGTACAGTAGATGATCCCGGAGGATGCAATGCAATAGAAGGATTGGGATATGCACTCGGACATTCTGAAGATGGAATCACGGAAGGGGACGAGTGCAAGTTGGCAAAAGGGTCCTCGTCCAATAAGCAAGGCGACGTGGCAGGTATATGGATGTTTGAACATTCCCCGAAAGCAGCATTATGGGTGAGCGTGGCCGCTGAGAGGGAGCGAGCTCGTGACGTGCTACTGGAGAGAGAAGTGGATGTTTGGAAAAACGGTGGAGTAAGTAGCGACTGTAGTGAAGGTCGTTTCGCAGGAAACTTGACGTGAAGCAGGCCGGTCTTCTTCGAAGATGGAGATATTTTGGGCACAGATGAGAGCAGGTCCAAAGAGTCTTCCATCATTGAGGCAGACAAATGTGGAGAGAAGACAAAGGGTTGGTTGATCTGAGGGAACGAATGGAGATGAGCACTTTCTTATGCCATGCCACGGAGGAACTATAGTATAAAGTTGGTAGAAATTGTCACATTGCATGGTTGCTAGCGGGAGCACGTGATCCGGTTCGCACTAGCAAGGCAATCAATGTTCAGATCAATCATCATGCGCATGCATCATGGTCAACGGGCTGCGCCGCATGTCATAAATGCCTTCAAAGACCGCTCATAGCCACAGTCCTAAAATAATAGGAGGAAATTCATTGGCATAAAAGAACGACACATACCTTAAATGGAGACTCCTCTGGTGCAAAGCATGGAGTACTTTCATTTTTTATTGCCTTGTTATCACATTGACACATTATCGCCCAGCTAAAACAAGTTTCAGCGGCTGTAGGCGCTAAGCACGGCAGGTCATCCCTAACCGTAGCAATATGCGTCTCGTTTTGGTAGCCTGTGAAAGTGTCCTGGCACTGAATGGTGACGGTGGGAAACGTAGATAAGTGCATGTTTTGTCCTCGGATCACAAACAAATGAGCTAGGCAGCCTAGGCGTGATCTGGTGGTGTTTAGTGCCTTTGCTGCTTGGAGATATTACAAGAAAATACGTTGTACAACAGAGCAAGCTTAGTAAGAGAAGGTAAGAAAGTTGGAGTGAGACAATAGCCAAGCGCTAGTCCTTGAACCAAAATGAGTATTATGTAAGGCACGCACTCGACACGGCGTTTGATCGGCTACATCATGCCTCGAGAGCTACCTGGATTATACTGGGATGAAGAAAAACAACGCTACTTTCCTCTAGCTTCATCTCGGAGGCCTCAAGTTGCAGGCCCAAGCACCTCATATCTACCGACCAAGCTGCAATCACTAGCAGCGCCTCAGGCTACGGGAGAATCCTACAACTTGAACAAGCATCGACCTCGTGCTCTCTTGCGCGCAAGGGAAGATGCTAGGTCCAGCTTTCGTGCCACTCATAAAAACAAGTTGATGCAGTACGTCTCTCTTTATCGTATGAGTCTCGGGCTTACCAGCACCCGAAATCACTACCCGTTGCTTGCAAATCTCATCATTGTGGCGCACAGCCAGATATCGTGCTTCCAAGTAGCGCAGACACCTCATATTGCATCGTCGTCTGTTCTATCACTCACGCGCTGTGCTATCACCGCCTTCCAGGTATGATCATCATCTTCAACCTGTTTGCAGCCATATTCATGGTAGCCGGATTCTTGGTAAGGCCGTATCCTACAATAACAATGTCCACAGTTTCGCAGGGGATACAGGGGGGTGGTTTTACTCCTCAGTCATTGGCCGAGATGAACCAGCCATAGGGTATCATACCTCGCACGGCTGGCGCCCAGAGTTCAGTCTCTCCTCAGAGGCAAGTACTTAGCTGTTCAACGTGAAAAATACCTACACCTGATTTGTCAGATCTCTTCCATATGTGTATCTGGCTCCCGCTGCATGTCAGTACGATTTTACCTGTGATTCCGTCCATCCACTTATGTGTGATCTAGTGCAACCTCGTTTGGTCCAGAGAGCAAAATATTGCACTTCCCCCTTGACTTGGACTCAGAAGAGTAACAATTTTCGCCATTACCCGTTTCATGCTATCTCATTTCGTTCGCGTGATGCAGTATCCGTGTGACTCGTGTAAATAATCGGTCTGTTCGTGACATATGGACAGCCGATTTTCAAGGTACCCGTTTGGTGTTGGGTATGTTTGATGTATGTCTTCTGTCTTCCATTGCTCAAAGAATATCAGGCACGAATGATCAGGCTGTTGTTATTAATGACGCTGCTGATCGAGCGACTGTTTGTTTTATGAAAACGGGTAGCGACGTATTTGCCGTTACTCAAAATAATGTACGTTTCAGGGCGTCACAGTACCGGCGTCACTATAATGGTTTTCACAGAATATTATTTATACAGGGTCCCGCGCTGGCCTTGTTCAACGTTTTGATATGCGTATAGCCAACACCAAGGGTGATCGCATTTTCAGCGACCCACATAAGACCCAGCATAATTCAGTGACCAACCTCAAGATCTGTTACGACTGGCAACTCCTCACGAGTAACATCGACGGAAGCGTGAGTCCACGAAACATAGGGCCTGTAATAAATTGACTGAATCTGACATCAGCTGGCTATGTTTGACCTCCGCTTCCCTTGCAGTCGAACACCTGTGATTTCCTTCACAGGAAATATCAATACCTACACTACAAAGACTGTAAGATCATACGTCAGCTTCGATTCTGCGTGTTCATACCATTACACAGCCTATCGCTGTTGATCCTCACGAGCAATTTCTTTTTGCAGCCGGGCAAGATCGCCGCATTCGCCTATGGTCGCTCCGTACAGGAGGTGCCCCGCTTATTTCGCCTGCTAGTGTATTTCAGAAACCATTTGAAGACCCGATCCGTGCGCTCCAAGTTGTTGAGGAACAAGAGGGCGTTCTGGGCTTGTGGGCCACATCGGGTGCAGCACTCTATAAATACAACTTAGGTCAAAGGATTTGAGGCGATGGATGGCTGATCAAACACCAGTCTATTTTTTGCTCACTATCATGCTCTGTTTTTGCGTATCATATTCCCAGGAAGGACCAGGTAAGAATGTTTATTGTGAACGGGATAGTGGATTACTAAGATACCACAGTATGTTACAGTACAGAGGAAAGGCGAATGTACTTGGTGAATGACTCCTAGCTGAGCACTTCCTACAGAACCTACCCAAGGAACCCGAATAAATGGTCTCTTTACGAACCTAGCTGGAAGGCCCTTCTGTGGTGCAAGGACATAAAATTACGGAGATCGCTAGATGATCATCGAGCATACCTTGGGTGCAACCTCAATGACCGAGAAATGGCGCGTCTCAAGCATCTTGCTCCTGCATGTTGTGTAATAGAGATAGACTTGTGTGAAAAAATACAGGCATTGTAATTGATGGATACAGGTGCATGGTAGAAAGGGTGGAATCCGTAGACAGTGCAGTGTTGATGCTCGAAGGATTGTGTGTCAAGGATGATATGTCTGGCATGGGGATTGATGAAAACTCGGGCATTTTGAGGGTGTCGCCGATGGTATCGGAAGGTGCAGGAAGGAAAAACTTTGAGAAGTCTGGATATCGGTTGTGAAGCGAGTCCCTGGAGTATCGCCACGCTCTTGTATTCTGCCACCGCAATGTCCTTTCCTTTTCCAAGGACGAGGATGACCTTGGACTGGATCTGATCGCCAAGGCAGGTGGCATGTCTGGAGTGTAGCCGAGAGAGCGAGATTCTACTGAGGATGGAAGACTGTATCCGTGAGCCAGCCTCCGCGTCGAGTTAATCTCGTCTGCTCTGCTAGCCGAAGCGAGAAGTGATTCTGATGTCGGAGGAAGATCCGACGTTCCCTGGGACACGATAGGATGCGAAGGAGAAGGACCTCGGGACCTTGACGCATCAGAGCACGTCGGGGTATTGGGTTGAGGCAGATCCAGCTTTATTATACGTACTAGCGGTCCCCCAGGGGGCATTGGAACCGGTGGACGAGGTACCCTATTTTTTCTCATAAACCAGTTCTTGATCCACGCCTCATCCCTGTAATACTTATATGTTCGCAGAAAGGGTAAGTGGTATGGGAGTTAAACCTACAGGCCAGTCTCCACAGCCAGTTTATGTCTTTGGGAAGTTGACGGCCGAGCCTCCTCTGCGTGCATTTTCTTTAGGAGGTCTAGTTGCCACTGTTTTGCGCGGACAGTCGGCTTTTTGATCATGGCGAAGGCTGCACGGTTCGTAGTAAGGAACAAGAACTAGAAGAGCTGACAGTGAGAAACCAGACGGAGAGCGTGACAAATTATTTCCCACAGCCATCGCTTGGGGGTCAATTCCGCTTTGGTACCTACTCGGATTGCGGTTGAGAAGATTATAGTAACTATTGTATTCTGTCAGGTATCCTTCCAGGACAAGCTTGTCCTTCTTCCACTCTTTTTATCCTTCATGGCGCAGGTCATCTCACCCGGTCGTCGGTCAAGCTTAGACTCCCTGGCAGGTTCACCAATAGCATCACCAACATCGTCAGCGTCTCCGTATTCACCAACTGATAGTATATTCGTCCGTGATTCATCTTCAGCGCTCGTTCTCCTTCCCAGCCAAGATGAAGAGGATTCTTTCGAATTCAGTAGTGACGAAGAACATGACGATCATGACCCTCAGCTAGAGATTGCGAAGCTTGCCATACCTCCTCTTCCGGCCGCCACAGTGTTTCTGTACCTTCTAGCGCCATACCTCAGGCTTGGCGCCATTCTCCTGCCAAGCGGTATCACCTCGCTGAAATTTGGTCTTGTAAATTTCTTTGTTGCCGCGGCGTTATCAGCCTTTTCTCGCAACCTATGGTTCCTTCTGGCAAGGTACCTACGGAAGAATACTGCGGAGGATATTTTCTTGGAGGTGATTGCGAAAGGTATTAGCAGGGCCAAGCGCAGACGAAGTGAACGGATCCGACGTCTGCTTCTTTGCATCACTGGGTCGTTGAGAATCTTGATAACATCTATGTATTTACGCGGTCAGTCGTACCATAGCTACTTCGCCGTCTTCCCTGTCTGACATTCAGCTTGGGGCATCAAATCAAAGCATCTGTGGACTCCATCTATCCACTTCTACTCGAGGCTCTTCCTGTACAAACATGGCTTATCACCACTTTAGCATTGGGTCTGCTCATATTTGTTGTATCATTTCCCAAATCTCTAGCGGCGAAGCAAGTCATCTGTACAACGTGGTTATCGATACTCCTATATACTGCATGGTTAGCTGCTGCGCTGTATAACCGTATGACTGGCACTGTGATACCAAGCCCCATTCTGGTGCAGCATGGTGTACTCTGGAATAGTACCAGTAAGTATATAGTAATGCTTCCTTGTTCGCCACCAATTATTAACTACATGCCGTAGCGTGTATTGCGTTTTCGTTCGCAACTTCGCTAACGGTTCCTCTATCTGCTTCTCTGGCCGGGCGGCCTTCTACTCCATCAAACAAGACGGGCAGAGGTATATATTTCCAGATGCTGAGCATCTCATCGACAATCATAGCGACCCTCCTTATACTGCCATCAATATTGACAGCCTCCTCGCCCAATGCTCCAGTAAGATTTTTTTGTTCTTCCAATTTGCTGCTGCTAAGATCGAGATAAGGGAGCACTTGGCAGCGATATGCGTAATACTATAGTCCACGTCCTTGGGGCATCTTCTCTCTTGTTGTCCATCCCTCCCGTGTTGGTTTCTATACCTCCTCTACCAATTCCGCTAGCCGTCCGGAGAATTTGCAAGTTGGACCTCAGCAAGGCTACTCTCATATTCCTTGTTGTATTGCTCAGCTTAGCCCCTCCATCAATGGCGACATTCCTTAATGACCTCACTCTATTTTTGGCTCTTGGTGGAAACTATTTTCTTCCAGGTACTGTATCAACGGGTTAATCTCTCTCGACGCAGTTATTCTTACATCTTTTCTTCTCTAGCATTGGCACATATCACGATCCATTATTTCAGACGACCTATATCTATTGTGATTCCTCACTCGGTCCCAAACACACCACAAACTATACATCCACCTTCTCCGCCTCACAGTGCAGACGCCCTTCTCCAGCGCAAAGAGAGGCTGCTCCAGCGAAGGCGGCTTGGAAGACGAGTGTTATGGGATGTTGGCGTTTGGTTGTTACTGATGCCCATCAGCGTATTTGGAATGGTTTGGGCGGGTGGCCGATTGGTTAGCAAATGGTAGCTTTCGCAGCAGCGCAAGATCCCCCGGAATAGGCTTTGCGTGTTTCCAGAATCGAGCATCATGCCAGATATACACACACCCCAAACTACTGCACATTCCGTGTGACCCGTACCTGAATGGACACTGACGCTTATTTAGAAATAGATCATATGCTACATGGACTTGTGTTCACCCGTAAGTTCGATTTGTATTTGGAATAAAAAATCCAGCCGCTCGATCAGATCAGTATCAAACCATCACATTTGTCCCAATGATCATTCTGGTAATGGAGATCAGACATGATAGAGCACTAGAATAGTTCATATGCTGCGGACATGTGTTTGCCCGTAAGTTCAGTTTGTATCTAGAATAAAAATCCAGCCACACGATTAGACCAATCTCTATCATTACATATGTCCCAATTATCATTGGGGCAATGAAGATCAGACATGATAGGCCACCTTCGTCGAAGCCGAAACAAAAACGTTCTCGTCAAAGATCATTTGTTGTCATAATGTAGGATTCATTCAAGCATTCTCGACTCCCGTATGGAACTTGTCTTTTCCTCCTGGGCAGGCACAAGGATGGCGGTCTGTGGTCCAGGTGTTACTAATATCAAACATAATCAGCGGTGACCTATGCCTGGCCAGACGGACTTACGGTTTATTTATAATGCTTTCGCTGCCTTTGAAAATCAACGTATCATAGACGAATGCTCCACATAACATCCCGGTGACTGGACCAAGCACAATGCACCATAACCAATATTGATTACGGTATGTGAACACTGGTGATAGGTTCAAGCTATCGTCCAATCCACATCAGTGATGACCTTGGCTTACCTGCAGTTCCATAGCCTGCGATTGCCGTGAAGAACCTCGGCCCCAAATCTCGAGCAGGATTCAGGGAATAGCTCGTGTTCATACCCAGAGATGCCCCAATGCCGAGCACCACAATAAAGAGGGAAAGAGGGACGAGACCCTGCGGGGGTGGTCCATTTTGCTTGTCAGTGACACAGAGCACAGCAATAATCAATATCGCAGAGCCCAAAAACTATTTCAGAAATAAATCAGTATTTCTCAAGGATCGATCAAAAGGGACCATTCTTACTTCGGAAAAGAAGCACGAAACAGGGGTCAGGAAGCTTGCCTGCGGAGTTATCAGTAAAGGGTGGTATGAAAGAGCACAGTTCGCACGGCGTATGTAGCAAGAAGATCTCCCGAACCACTAATAGTTCGGATGCCAGGCCCACCTTCCACTATGTTTATGGCATGGAAGTAGTTGGCATAGACAACACCAGCACCACAAAATCCGCCCAATAGCTGAGCGGAGATGTAGAATGGCACCTTTTTCCAAGGGAACCCCCGGAAAACTGCCAGAGTAAACGTGACCTGCGGATTACTACTCAAAAATAATACGCTAAGAGCAAAAGTCCAACTTACTGCAGGGTTTATGTGCCCTCCAGATATACCTCCTGCGATCCACACCCCGAGTGCCACGCCTAAATATATTGTCAGATACGTATTTTGTGATTGTGAGGGACGAGGTCGTCATATCGACCTACCTGCAGCCCAGCTAAAGTTGAGCGAAAGAAAATCCTACATTGAACTTCACCGTGAGTTTGAATGGTACTAGATATAAAACATTGGTAGCATTCACTTACCCCTCTTGGAACCGCTTCAACATTCGGGTTCATGGACAAAAATACTTGGCAGTTGCTACCAGTACCAAATATCACGAATATCATCGTGCCTAGAAACTCGGCCGCTGGTTCACGGATAGTATACCTGGACAATGTAATGAAGAAGCTTGTAAATGAACCGAGATATATTCTTTACCTGAATCTCGACCACCTGTTAGGAAATGCCATGCAGTGATCACGATCAGCAAGGTTGGCCTGTTATAACCGAGGGAGCGCATATTTGCTGGTTGTAAGAGTCAATGCTCTCCGTATGTACTTCTTCTGACTTCTCGATAATTGCTGACATGATTCGCAGAGGATACGGTTCGGGGAGCTAGGCAGGAGTAAGAGAGACACTCGAAGAATCATATTTATAACGTCAAAATGGGTTGGTCACATATGGAGCCTAGGCTCGGTGGCGTGTTGACTCTAACGAGACAGCAAAGAGCACAATATTGCGAACATATCACATGGCCGGCGGATGGAACAACTTTCGGTGCGACTATGCCTACACAGTTTTTCCTTCTCCACTATAGAAGTCGGCTGACTTTGTTAATAAGTGTTGATGATGATTATGATGAGACGGCCTCATGTGAGGTTCTCGTGATTTCGGGGTAAGTTAAAGAGGAAACCTGCATCATGAATGCGATAAATCCTCGTTTGCGGCCTAGTTCTCGACGTAAGCATGCTCATGATCAGAAATTCTACTAGCGAGTACCCACGAGGAAGCGGAATCCATTGTAATTGATTACTTAGTACCGCGCGCGTGGATAGGGCATATACAAGATTACCGCCCAAAATACGGTTCAGGGTGCTGACTCGGATATCGAGAATATATTACCGACGGGTGTACCTGAAGGAGTGACGTGACGGTCACGAGTTTATATAAACAATTCATTTACGGAGCGTCGGAGGGCTTGGAGCCTTGGAAGCGCGACACCAGCCCCAACTCTCAGGCATCCAGTTCGGGAAGAAGGAACTCAGAGTACACAGAAGCACGACGTCTACTGACGAAAAGAAAAATATGACGATAGAAGAGAATGAAAAGAAGATACTGTAGAAGAGACGGAAGACCACAAAGCCCTTCCGTGCGCTGCTGGCTGGGGATATGGATTCAGCGCCTCAGATCGATTCTATTCCCGTTCCTCTCAGCGAAACCGATGCGCTCCAGCAAGATGTTGCTGATCTTCCGGAAGCTGCCACTCTGGATGACTATGCGCGCGTGCCCATCACTGCATTTTGGGCTGCTATGCTCCATGGCATGGGTTGGGTGGACTGGCAGGGGCTGTTACGAGCTCAGAACGAGCGAAAAAGAATGCGCTGGTGGAGCCTTACCTGCCGAATCGCGCCCTGCATTGTTGGGAATCGGAGCGAAGTTGTGATCAACCACCTCAACCTCATCTGGAATAGCTTCGTCAAGTTAAAAGCATATCCCTCCAACTTTGCGAATTTCTTCAGCTCTCGAGAGTCACAAATTCGTTAGGCGAGATACTCTCTGGACCAACAAGTGGGTCATCCGCCGATCGAGAGCGGAGGTGCCCACGTGAAGGATTGTTCAAGATCCGTCCGTTTGGCCACCAGCAAATGGAGCTACTGACTCATTGTAGGTCTAGTCTAGTTCCGAACTTGTTCCAGGCACTCGAAGTTGTCGTTGATCAGTGGCGCGAGGGGGTCAAGCATGCATCATCTTGCTTTAGGGACGTTGATTTTTATCTTTTTATCTTTCATCGAGTTCAAACATTGTGTTATCTCATTACCCATCTTTTTGCTTGTCTGGGATACATGCCATCCGCGCTCATCCAACTGTCAGGTCAAGTTTCATCAGTACATGCCCAGATTCTACCGTGACCGCATCAAACTCCATTCATTCGCCACCTTCATCTCCGGTGGTTGAAGGTGCGCTTTCGGCGCCCACGGCCTCATATGACCGACCGTCAATCATTATTTTCCGCCCAAGCCTGCCTTCCCTCTGCTAAACCTAGTCGGAGATATCAAATCAACATTGAGTTAAGGAACATCGTAACTGACTGCTCCGCCGTCCCAGTGGTACATCTGTTATCTTGACCACCAGTATTGCATCTGCCAAGTCCTTGTCAAACTTCATGATGAACGACTCCTGACAAGAACAGCTCGTTCAAACCCCTTCCACCGAATTTATCCACACCGTCAGGGTTGCCAGAAAACAATATCACAGAACGAGCGTCATCAAGAGACAGCGTGAGGAAGCTGACGAAGGCGAAGGACGCCGTCCCAGTCACTTGACAGCGAAAAGGTAAGGTCATCAAAATTAACTTATCATCTGTCACTTCTAACGATTAAAATTTAGTATCCTGCAGGTGGACAGTAGTAGACGCGCGATGGCGACCCTATACACGAGAAGAAAATACCCTACCGAGCGGTGCTGGCAATCTTGACCTCTCCCGTGAGCAAGGTAACGCACGTACCTTGTTTTCTGGAGCGTTTTAGATCTGAAGTACTTCGGGTAACAGGGCAACTCAGGAGAAAATTTAAAGTTACGCGACTATGTTACAACTTGAAGGTTTGCGGCCTGGGATGATGTTATTGACTTGATAAAGCCCGGGAAAGCTAACTGAAACAAGAAGTCGCATCTCAGAAGGCCCGGATCTTATCTAGACACTCGCAAGATACAATTCAGTGTCACATGGATTATTAATTCAGCTCGAGATAACATACCCAAGTTAGACCACTCAGTCTAGCAGGCCACAATTAGTACTTTGGACGGTGTTTTGTGTCCAAGTGTCATGTCATCAAGCGATGACAACAAGGATCAAGTGCTGATATTGTGCGATACAAGAAACAGACGAAAAGTTCAAAACCTCATTCTACATCAAGTCTACGTAAACTTCAACTTCTTCTCGGTCGAACTTTACTAAAATACGAAATAAACACTTATTCAAAAGGAGTTAATGATGGTCATTATGTGTAGAAGGGCATCAAAATCATGTCACAGTTATCAGTTGTGTCATTGCGAGCGCCATTCAATCATTAGCGCCGTCAAACTATTTCTGTAACCCCATCATGTTTGGTCCTCTGAGCGCACGAGTGTAGGTGGTGCCTTTCAGCCTCTTCACTCCTACATACAACGAGTCAATATTTGCGCCATACAGAAACATTAAAAACGCACGGCTTGTTTGTAATACTGTCGGATCCCCTGTAAAGCATAGCATCGTAGAAGAACGCAGCCACAACCATGCCAAGAATTGGACCAATGATAGGGCACCAGAGCCAATACTGGCTTCTGAAGTTAAAGACTTCGCTACCATACCCAACCATGGCGGTGAGGATACGGGGGCCAAGGTCACGGGTGGGATTAAGAGACGGTCCAGTATCCATGCCAAGAGCCGAACCGATGCCAAGGAGCAAAAGAAATATTCCAACAGGAATAACACCAGGAGGCGCAGGACCATTTTGTTTATCCGTGAGCATGAAAATTCCGGTGATGAGCATGGCGGACCCTACAAACTATATCAGGTTGTCAGTATGTATTCAACCGAAAACTGAGTCACGGATGGGCTCACTTCAGCGAAGAATGCGGAGACTGAAGGAAGGTAATCGGCCTAGATACCGTTGAGCCAGAAGAAATTATGCCGACAAAAGGTCTAAACCTACCGCATAGGTCGCAAAAAATTTACCAGATACCGCAATTGTACGAATATCGGAGCCCCCTTCGACAATGTCGATCGCATGGAAATAAGTAGCATAGACTACACCTGCCCCACAAAAGGCTCCCAGTAATTGCGCAAGGACGTAGATTGGAACTTTCTTCCAGGGGAAACCGCGGACAGTAGCAAATGCTATAGTTACCTTTCTAGGATTCAGCACAGATAGTCACACGCAAGACATTCAGGGGTACACACCGCAGGGTTCAAATGACCGCCTGAGTGATTTGCAGAAAGCCATACACCAAGGGACAGTCCTGACTAGCTTGTAAGGAAGATGTCAACATACAAATATGAAGGATCACTCACCAATGGCCCAAGAGAGGTTGGACGTGACAACGTCCTTTGAACAAGAACCAGTGAGTTTCAGCCCATCCATCACTTTTGATACCTTGAACTCACCCCTGCTGGGCTTGCAGACACACTTTTATTGGCAGAAAGATTTGCCTGGCAATTTCCACCACAGCCCAGCAAGCATAGAACAAAGGCACCCATGAACTCGGCTGCAGGTGCGGAGATGTGCTCCCTGTAACAGGTCCAGTCAGCTGTTGTCAATATTTCGCAGACAGGTAGTAACTACCTGATGTTTGACCATCGATTGGGGTACGGAGAACATTTATTGCAGTCAGCGAAGTCAACGATTCCTGGGGCGAAGACATTGTTAGGTTGAGTTGCATAAAAGTTGTTCGACGTCTCAGAGCAAAGAGGCTTTTCGCTGATATCCGTCATCTTGTGCTGAGGAAAAGGAAGGACGGAGTGCTAAAGCTCCTGTGGAAGAGGTTCTGACATCTGCCTGTTTTATAACTTCCCGTTATTATCATCTAATGACGAGTATCACGTACATGATTCAATCGGGACTTCAGACGTGAGCGCGCAATGTATGGACCTGCTTGCGGAGATTATGCATACATATTATCCATGCATATTAGTTTTGCTTAATATTATAATGCCTGTACCTGATAGCTAATTAGAATGCACAAATTAGTACATGTCGTATGTAGGTCTCTTGATTCTCGGCCCATGTGGCACAATCGCACGTGCTCCTGTATACAACTGTCAGCAAAAAAGTGATTCAGACTGCACTATATATACCACGCAGGGAGATGAACAAACAGGGTCTGTGCATCATCAGAGCGAACACCATGCCGGGTCCTTCGTGTCGACTGAATCAATAAGTTCCTCCATCAGTTTTAGTTCGAAATTGATTTCCATAAAGTACCTCATGATGATCCCAACACACTTTGGAAAGGACAGGCTCGAATGCGCAGAGGTCAAATTCTTCGAGAGGTCCTTCAAGTTATTGGTTACAATAGGTTCGGATAAGATGGTCCCGAACAAGCGAAAACGGGAAACTCCTGGACAGACGCTTCCACTGCCAATGCCTGCCATGGAGTTGTCCATGTCACTGTCAAGTCTGTAGATGGCGAACAACAAGGGTCGTAAAAGCAGAGACAACTAAAAACACCCCAAATAGTTACAAGTAGGGCGCGCAGTGACCGCACTCATGGTCATGTATGGAGTCTCCGAAGACCCTGACGAGATATGGCAAACCAATCTTGCATCGGATACGACTGTGCGACTCGGAGAGGGCACGCAGAAACCAACACGAAAGCTGCGAAATGATTTCACAACGCGAAAATGTCGAGACTTTTGCACAAAACAAGAGCCGGCTGAATCAGCAAAACTGCCCCGGGAGTTCCCGGGAGGACTCTGCAAGTCATCCGTGACACCACCACCAAACGCCACGCCGATAAGAATTATGCTAATACCAGTTCCTAAGGGTTAGTCCTCGGACCGTCCTCTCTTTTCCTTTTGAGTCTTCATTAATCTTTGTCTTAGACATCCTCCGGGCATTAGGCATTTGATGTTTTTCCTTCCTCGCGAAACAGTGAGACTCCCCACTCTTTGTGACTCGACATCTCATCATTATTAAACATGACCACACTATCGAACTCTTTGGCGAAGATGATTATCCAGCCTGGCATCGTGCCATGACTCTCGCTCTTCAACATTTCTACAGCATGTAACACTGTTCGAAACGCTATGCTTGTCCTGCATGAACGCTTGTGCCAAAGAGTGAATCACCTTCTAGTACGCTACAAACTTCTGTTATGGTAAGCTCCAAACTTCTAGTACTAAGGAACAGCGGCTTCAAAAACCTTTTGATCACGAACGGCGCAACTTCTAACTTCCAAGTCAGGTTTCATCAGTGTGTGCGACTACCACCGCATCGAACTGCATTCGTCCGTCACTTTCGTTGCCCTCGTCCTTCTCCAGCGATTGAAGGTGCGCTTTCGGTACCCACGTTCTCGTACGACCACCATCATCCTTTTCCGACCAAGCCCGCATTCCCTCTGCTAAACTCAACCCGCCAACAACATCGATAACTCTGGCCTCAGCCACGTCTCCCCTAGGTATGGAAAATTGTACTACCGGTATCATCTCCTGGTATCCCAAAATATGAGCCTGTGCCAGTACCGCCGTTCATCAGACATCATCATTCTCGCACTCGCACTCGCGAATGACAGTAGTAACTTGGATGTGTCGTTCGTTTCAGAGTCCTTTATTTTGAAACAAATTTTCACTGATCTCGTCTTATGCGCTTTGTTAAGTAGAATAAGCATTCCGACATTTTTCTGATGTGGCTGGACGAAAGCAGGGAGTGGTGACTTCGAGACCTAGAGGAACGGTAGTGTCAGGCTACATTAGTTTCGATTGGCGCATGACACGGGAGGGCGCAGGTTGGAGGTTAGGAGTGGCAAACGAAGGACTACAGGTTGGCCTGGCTGGATAGTAGTGCCTGAGACGGAAAGATGCGTAACCTTGTACATACGCGAGCAGAAAATACTTCACAGAACGGTGCTGGAGGTCTTGACCTCTGCTGTAAGTGAGATAACGCAGGGTAACGCACGTCCCTTATTTTCGGGAATTGAAGTACATCACCGAATAACAGCACAACAGGAAAAAAAATTTCCAACTTACCCCACTATCACAGCGGGGAACTGTCATTTGACCAACTTTTGCCGCCAGTGAAATGATGTTCAAAAGGTATTCTGGAATGCTCTGGAACGCTCCAAGGCTAGGTCAGGAATGCTCTAGCCAGGTCCGGATCTGCTTTTGATTGAAATCTTTGCATGATGTAAAATGTTAAAAGCCGATGTGACTGAATGTTATTGAAGATTAAAGACAAAGTTTGCGTCCTGGGATAACGTTATTGACTTAACTGGAACAAGTAGTCCGGATCCCAAGTCTCAAGAACATACAGATCAACGTCTCAGGGTCGGCTCGAATCAACGCCAGTGGCAGGGCGCAACAGCTCCTTCCAGTACGTTGGGCGGTGCTTTGTGTCAGAATGTGATGTCGTCGAGCGATGGAAACATGAAGACCGAGTGAGATTGTGCGAAACAACAAAATAAACCTTCAACTCAAAACTCGGGTACGCGTGCCGTGCTTAAGCGCTTAAATCTCAACGTTCACGTCAAGTCTACGTAAGCTCCGACGACTTGTTCTCCGAGACATTACTCAAGATACACTCGTTCAAGAAATGAGCAATGATGTGGCTTGCGCCATCATATTTTGTAAAGAAAGTCCTCAAAATCCCAGTAAAAAACATGTCCGAGCTACAAGTATCAATACGAGCATCCAATAACCAGTACCATCAAACTATTCCTGCAACATCACCACGTCTGGTGCGGTGAGCACACGAGTGCAAGTGGTGCCTTTCAGCCTGTTCACTCCTGCATATAAACGGGTCAATATCTGTGCCATGAAGAAACATTACATAAAACGTACGGCTTATTCGTAATACTTTCGGATCCCCGGTAAAGCACAGTATCATAGAAAAACGCGGCCACAATCATGCCAAGAATTGGACCAAGGATAGGGCACCAGAGCCAATACTGGCTTCTGAAGTTGAAGACTGCACCACCATATCCAACCATGGCGGTAAGGATACGGGGGCCCAGATCACGGGCAGGATTAAGCGCCGCTCCAGTATTCATGCCAAGAGCCGAACTGATGCCAAGGACTTACAAGAAATATTCCAACAGGAACAACACCAGCAGGCGCAGGGCCATTTTTTTTATCCGTGAACATGAAAATTCCGGTGATGAGCATGGCAGACCCTACAAACTACAATCGGGTCGTCAGCATGTAATTTAATTGAAGGCTGAGGTTACGGATGAACTCACTTCAGTGAAGAAGGCGGAGACTGAAGGAAGGTAATCGGCCTAGATACAATTGAGCTGAAGGAAACCATGCCAACAAAAGGTCTAGACCTACCGCATAGGTCGCAAAAAGGTTACCAGATACCGCGATTGTACGAATATTGGAGCCTCCTTCGACGATGTCGATCGCATGGAAGTAAGTAGCGTAGACGACACCTGCCCCACATAAGGCTCCCAGGAATTGCGCAAGGATGTATATTGGAACTTTCTTCCAGGGGAAACCGCGGACGGTAGCGAATGCTATGGTAACCTTTACATGAGTCAGCACAAATAGTTACAGGCAAAATATTGAGGTATACACACCGCAGGGTTCACATGACCGCCCGAGTAGTTTGCAGAGATCCATACACCAAGTGATAGTCCTTAACAGCTTGTAAGGAAGATGTCGACATACAAAGATGAAGGTTGGCTCACCGATGGCCCAAGAGAGGTTGGATGTGACAGCATCCTTTGAAAAATCACCATTGAGTTTCAGCTCATCTACCACTTTCGATGCCTTGACTCACCCCTGCTGGGCTTCCAGATACACTTTTATTGGCAGAAAGATTTGCCTGGCAATTTCCACCACATCCGAGCAAGCATAGAATGAAGGCACCCATGAACTCGGCTGCAGGTGCGGAGATGTGCTCCCTGAAACAGGTCTGGTCAGCCAATGTCAATGTTTAGCGGACATGTAGGCCACTACCTGATATTAGACCATCGATTGGGGTACGGAGAACATTGATCGCAGTCAGCGAAGTCAACGACTCCTAGTGCGGAGACATCATTAGGTCGAGCCACAGATGAGTTCGAGGTCTCGGAGCGACGAGGCTTTGCGATGATATCCGTCATCTTGTACAGAGAAAAAAGAAAAGAAGGACAGTGTGCTAAAGCTCCTGTGGAAAAAGGCTCTGACGACTGCCTGTTATATAGTTCTCGGTTGTTATCATCTATACGTACATGGCCCAACCGGGACTCCGGATGAGGGCGTAATGAGTAGATCTGCCTGCGGACAGATTATGCATACGTATTATCCATGCATATAAGTTTTGCTTAATACATACTTTTACCTGTTAGCCAATCAGAACGCGTGAATTAGGTTAATAGAATATGACGTACATTTCTTGAATCTCGGTCTAGTACAACCGTGTGTACTCTGCGTCGACAAAACTGTCAGCAAAATCCCTCGTACCGCACTATACCATGCAGGGAGAAGGGTGTGCTATTCTTGTTGCATACGGCGTGAACATCGTTCCGGCTCGTTCGTATCGGCTGAACCAATTCGAAGTGAAAACAAATCGAGCCGGTCTAAGTTCATCCATCCCAATTTGATTGTTCATCGAGTACCTCATGATGATCTCATCAAATCAAACTTCGAAAAAAGACAGGCTTGAAACGCGCCGGGGTCGTGGCTTCTTGGAGATTCCTTATCGGTCAAAATAGGTTCCAATAAGATGATCACGTACAGGCGGAAACGGGAAGCTCCTGAACAGAAATCTCCACTGCCATGGGGTCGCTGTTAGTGCTTAGTCCGTGAATTGCGAATAACATGATTCGATGCAAGCAGACAACCAAAAACATCCCAATTGGTTACCAGGAAGGGCACGCATGCCGCACTCGTGGTCTGATATAACGAAACCAACGACAAAAGCTGCGACGTAAAACATTGACATCGCATAAACGAGGCTAGACTTGTGCAGTCGAGGACATTAATTTGATCAAAACTCACGAGCGCTACGGCAATTGCCCAGTTACCGCACATAAATCAAATATTGTCGTGTTAGGTATTCTGACCAGGTGACACACGTAACGCAAGAACGTATCGAAAGTTATTCGTTCCGCCGAATCTGTGGTAGATCTGCAGTCAGCGTCTGAAAATGGGAACTGACAAAAACAATGGCGCAGTTGTGGAGGCGCGTGATAGTTGGACATACTACATACAACGGCGCAAGTGTCTGACAGCGGAACGAACCGTACATGCGTATAGAAAGAAGCCGCATAGGCTATGCATGACAGTCATTTAGCTTCATATGAATCTTCCGAGCGCCGAGCGGTAATAGTGTGATTACATGGGATGTACCCTGCACTATCCTCGCCATACAGTGGGACTACTCGGGGGGAGAAAAGGTATGATTCAAAGTAATTAACATACCGCGCTTGAACGTCGTCATAAGAACAAGTGTTAGCTTAAGTCGTCAAAGAACTCAATGGCGCTTTCAGTGCGCGTATCAATTCGGGTGGCATTATGGCAATCATCTAAAATATGTAGAGTTAGCCACGTAAATTTCCGACATTCTCTCCAATTACCTCTTGAGTTATTTCCTCTCCTCCGACATCCCACCCGCCTTCGGCAATTGGCAAGACTACATTGTTCATATGTCGGATACAAAGGTCGTCAATGATCGATTTTTCACCAGTATACTTGCGCCATCGAATGAGGGCGTCCAAAAACTTTGACGCATGGCAAAGTAGACGCCGACGGGCGGCAATGGCACCCGGATCGAAAACGGGGCGATTGAGTGCAACAAATGGAGCTATCAGAGTTTCCGACGCTGTCACAGAGCGTTCAAAAACGGAGTACACCGATTTCAATATCATCTAGAAAATTGCATTAGAATAGCATCTCATTCGTGGTGCCATGGAGTATCCATCACCTGGAATTTGGGGCTGTCGCGTCCAATAGAAGCTTCTATTTGCTCTGCCAGGTTTATCATATTGCGGGTATCCAATGCGGAATAGGAGTCAAGTGCGCCTGCTTCGACTACCTTGCAGATGAGGGGCACGACTGCCGTGGAAATCATTGCGGAAACCAAGTCACCATTCGGGCCTAAATCCGACTCTAGATCATCATCTTTATCTCCACAGTACTCGTGTAGTGAAGCACACCACGCAAATTCATCTAGGGTGTGCGAAGTCTGACACTGATGGTAAAATAAGCGTCTCATGGCATAAAAGAATCGACGTACCTCGAGGGGGTTCCATGCAAGAAGTTCTAGCCGCACCCAGAACTCCCATGCACCAACGAGTCCAAGCCCACCCCATGCACCGGTATAGCTATCACCAAAGCGTCTACGCCATCCACCAAACCATTTGGCCAACCCCAAACTCGGATCTCTGAACTCTGCTGCATGAACATCAGATAATAAATTTTGTCCATCATTGGCTATTCTTTCCATAGCACTTCGATAATCTATAGCGTCCGATGGGGGTAAAGAGGAGTCCGTCGAGTAGCCCTCTTCTCGGTCCAGTTGCGTTCTGATGACCCTGATTTCACGTTCCCGTTTACGACGAAGTCGACGTGCTATTCGCGCGGCTTCTCGCTCACGGCGTGCGGTAACAGGGTTTGCTCTAGGAAGAACTCGCCCCAGCTCATCCATCTCTTCAGATGGGGTCACCAGAAAAGAGCCGAAAATCAAAGATAGATCATCTTGGTTGTCCGCTTGGCGTCGTTGAGTGATCATTTCAGAGCGTTCTTTGAGCACTGAAATAAATTCATCCTCAAGCTTCTCCAGCTTTGGAAACTAAGCATCCGTGAGATTTTGGTTAACGTGAGATAAGGATTATACCAACCTTCTCATCGAGAAATGCCGCCACACTTTCCACCCATTCTTTGAATGCTGCGAACCATGACCTTTTTGCTTCAGCTTTGGCAATCATCTCGCGTAGCTCTGATTCGCGGACATCCAATTGTTCACGTTCATCGTCCAACGATGCTGCTGCCTTCACATTCGTTGCATGTGACGTGGTCATGGTGGTCAATGACTGAGACAGGCGATCCGTTGCCGGGCCAAGAGAGGGTATCGTAGTCGATGTAGGAACTTATCAGACTCCAGTTAATCAATGACAACTCCAGAAGGACATATCTTACTTTCGGCAGGCTTGTAGACCTGTTTTGCGGGGGATACTTCACGAGATGTGGGGAATGGACCGCCTCTCCGCAACTGTTCCCTTTCCCATTCCATGGTCTCCTCGTCTTCTTCATCGCTGTCCACAAAATGTTAGTCAAATTCTCAGCAAGATGCTTATACATACGCATCTGCGATCATCTCTTGCATAGCATCCTTGCGCTTCGAAGCTTCCAATTTTTTTGACTTCTTGCCCAGTGCAATGCGCTCTTGAGCACTGGTATACTCCGCGTACTCTGTACTTTGTCAGGCTGATGCGAGAGAAAAAAATCTGATAAATGACATACCGTCATCTCCTTCCCCAAGCTCATCCTCTTCGCGCATCAGTCGACTTTCTGGATGTGGACCCTGCGGCACGGTATCACGTTTCGTGACAGAAAGAGATATAAAATCATCTTCTGTACCATGAGTCCGCATACGTTCTCGCTTTTGTTTAGCGGATAGTATTGACGATTCCGAAGGAATCGCTGTGTCAACATCGACTACACGTCATTAGATAGTGATAAAAGCACTTGAGTAAGATCTTACCAGATATCTCAGTGGTCTCCACACTAGTTTCACCCGGGTCCATCGAAACGTCTGCATCATAACCCTCGGCAACTGTGGTACGTCGTGACGAAGGCGTGCTTGCTTTCAGCTGTGAAAGGTACGCCTGGTCATATACGGGTGCCCCATTAGATCGGGGAGTAATAGTAGCTTGATCAAGCGAGACGGGCAGCACGTTCCTGATAGATCTCATAAGCAAACCAAATTATACATCAGCACAGACATAAACATACGCAGGACGAGCACTCAGGGACAACTTTTGACTAAGACTTGATTTCTTCACTTTAAAGACTTCCCCATCTCCTGCCTAACATCTTGAGTGGTAAGCGAAAATTCAATAGCATACGAAGTGAAAACACGAACCTCCTCGTCACCACCGAAACTGAGCGCAGATTTGAGCTTAGTGCGCTTTGCTTTGTTCTTCAGTCTAGACGCGAGGGCTATTGGCGACTCCTCAACGCTCTCTCCATTCCCGGATGTTGTTTGTGATATGTCTTCAGGTGACTTCTCCCTACCCCTTGGGGCCAGCTTTGACTTGGGTTTTTTGAACATTACTGACGAGGAGTTTGCGAATTGGGTGGAAGAATGACCACATTGGGTCCAGGCCAGCTATCGAAATTTTCCCACGTTGTCTACTTTCATCATGTCTACGCGCCCGCGTCCAAGGCCACGTCCAGTGGCAAAGCCCAAGGCTGCATCGTCGACAACTGTGAACCCAAATCCAACACCATCTCCAGTACAACCGTCCTGTTCTACGAGCACAACACAAAATTCTATCGCAGAGAACAAATTAGACGATGAAGATGCTATATTCTTTCGTAATCGCGGAAGAACTACTCAGTGCTGGAACAAGCTTCGGGCAATGACGAAGGGTGTGTCTGCTCTCATAGATTATCACAATTATCTCATTCTTCTTAGACACTCCGTCCGACAAAGCTGACGAGGACGATGACCTCGATTGGGGTGAACGAACTGAACCGGAATCTACTCCGAGGCATCGCAAGAAGAAGTCAAATAAACAGCATGAATTACCTCGGTGGCAGGCGGCGGACATAGTCACTCTGTGCGTTTTTTTCTCTAGTTCGTTGCTATTTCTCGTACTGTTAGAGTATTTCGGCATAGTACATGAATATCATCATCATGGTCGGCGGATCGGTTGTATTGATAGTTCTTCCGTAGCCTTTCTTCAGATAACGAAGAAGACGAGTTTGAAATCATGGAGAACACATCAAAGGTCTCTGATGACGATACGTCCCCCCGAAAACGAAAACGAGATCGTAGTCGCTCAAAATCTATTACGCCACCCCCGCAACTTCCAGTACATCAACTCAATAATGCAAGGGCACTGGTCAGGTTGTGCTAAATCCCTTTGGGCGAAGCTTGTAATCCACTTACGAAGATTTACTAGACAAGCGCTTGCTGTTGCGCCACCTCGCGCTCCCTCACCAATTGAAATTCCCGATGACCTAACGGATACTTCTGACTTGAATCCAGAACTCGCAAAAATCGTCGAGGAAGTTCGTAAAAGGGCTGTAGCAACCAAGAACACGCCAGAACAAGGCGGTGGCCCTGAGTTAGTTATTATCAAGGTCCGATGGCGGCCTCATCCACTGAACACGGCAGGTGTAAAGGATGTTTGGAACTTTAAGATGAAAAGAGTGGGTGCATTTGCTAATGAGTTAGCACTACTGACCCATTCGTTAGCATGACACATTCCAGTACTTGTTTGAAGAATTAGCGGACTTGGCCGCTGTGTTGGTAGATCATCTTGTCGTCAGTCATGACGGAAAGCGTCTGTTTGCTTCCGGCACACCTCACGGTGTTCGAATTTGGGCAGAAGGAGAGCTCGGTGCGTTATTCTCGGTGGGCGGGTACGCGAAACTGAAAACCTCTAATAGAAGCATGTGATCAAACAACGTGGGATTACATACGTGCTCATCGCCATCAACAAGCTCCACAGGCCGCTCAGTCCGTAAACAATTCACCGTCTCCGGGAAGAGAATCAGACCCGGAGTCAGAAGCCGAGTCCACTGGTGGTGACAAAATCAAAGTGGTGCTCAGATCCGCGGTTACCGAGGAAAACGTTAATCTTACAGTCCGACCTACAACAACGTGTGGTGCCATCGTGAAAGCGTTTCTCAAGGCAGCCGGTCTATCCGATCGATACCCCGTTTCTACTTCAACACCTCAGCTAATGGTCGACGGTGACAAGATGGCGGATGACACGGAAATCGGAGAGGCGGACCTAGATGATGGAGATTTAGTCGAAGTTGTTGGACTGTGATTTTCGGGGACATATTATCATATTACTGTTGTACTTTGTCGAACACAAAAGAGTTCCCATCTCTCAAAACGCTGTGCTTGGCTCTAACCGCTTAAATGCACTGCACGTGATATCTACGAAAGAGTCATTTTTAGACTCAACAGCTTTTCTGTCCTGAGAACTTCGTGTTTTCTTACTGCAATAACTCGAACATATTGTGCAGCTTTGTGCTCTGATTCCAACCACTACCGCCGTGACACCTGTATGCCGATCGTCCACAGTATGCGGACCCTCAAACTCTAAGCATCTTGTCGCCGAGCCCCCCAGGAATACTTACTCCCTATCCAAACCCTAACTTCTCCAGGGACAACGCGGACCGGGTTCAAGGATGGTGCCCGTTGTAGTTCCGAATGTCAGGGCGTGCTGATTCACCCCGTTGAGTACTCACATAAATTCACAACAGAGATGCCAGTGGCGGTGATACTCGTGATATTCCTGTGAGTACACTGCGCATCGCGTGACACTCGGAAGTTGGACATTTGCGCCAGACGACAGACGGGAAAGCAGGGCAACCTTGAAATTACTCAGATTGCTGCGGGTGACTGGGGTACCCAAATAGCCTGTTCCAAACCAAACGTGAATATTGCAGATCTCAAAGGTAACTGGAAGGCAGATTCTCTAGCTCAGGGGCTCAAAAAGGCACCTAGAAGGGAGGAGCTGAGTTCACCCGAGTGACGCGACGGACAAGGTGTACACAGAGAAAGCGTTTGGGACCTTGGAGTCTGATTTGTATTGTTACATGTCATTGAACTCCTCAGATCAGTCTATGTCGGAAGTTTGCGAACAATGACGTATGTGGTGTAGGTAGCAGTAAAAACTCGTAATTCAAAATGCTCGAGTATCACTTTTTTATAGCTTTTGAAGAAGTAGGTTACGCATGCCAGCTGTCGTTCGCGTTCTTCACCAATATTCTAGCGTTATTGACAAACGATCGAATAAGCTCATCAAACGCGTTGCGTTCAAGTTCTGGCACATTCGGATCCCCACGTTTGGAAGCAGTCGAAAGCAGCAGTCCTGAACGAATGATCTCCACCTCCAACTCGTGAAAGATTTGAGGCTTCATTCAAGGTATGTCAGCATCGTATTCGCGACGATTCAAAGGGGACATCATACCGGTGCGTTGGGCGTCGTGTTATTACTGGAATGAACTTGGGTCAGGTCGATGCTGAACTCTTCATGCGAGTAGCATATCCTATCCTTCCGTCGTATATGGGTTGGAGATCCAACAGGATGAGGAACTATCGAGTCATTCTCATCATCAGCCACCTGGCGAGAACGAATCCAAGCTTACCCGGCACTTCAAGCGACACGCTAATCCTCCAATCCACCGCCCTCTTGGGACTAAAAATATTAAGATCCCCAAGCCTTATTTTGCGCATTATCTCAACAACAGTATTAGTCTTCTCCTCGCGAGTAACGCGTATTTTTTCTCGATCCTCGGATAGATAGAACGAATCGATCACTTTGAGATGGGTATACTCCAGGGGAGACGTTGGATGAGACGGTTGAGATGATATTCGTTTCAGGTCGTTGAGCATGTTATTGAAGTGCCTGTGCTGGCTCTGCCGTTTTCCAAATAATCGCGTGAGCTATGGTTGAAGGAGAGACTACATGAAATGGGGAGCTGACAAGAGACATGTTGGATTCGAAGCGAACGTCGACTTCGTTTGGGATTAAGACTGCTAGTCGTTAGGCGAGGGATCATGAACGACGACTTGGGGAACGTACTTGTCTCCACTAGGACTGGTAGCACCATGCGCTGCCCACTGGTGCGGTCCTTCAGGATACCAAGTTTTGCTTCTACCTCAACTTTTGCATCTGGGTGAATGGGTCTCGTCACGATCATATGGTGCACAAAATCAGCGATCTCCCGAATAAATTCATCGAGAGGCTCAACACCGAGAATTGATAATGACAATGGAGGCAAGCTGGTGTTCATGATGGATGGAACAAATGATTGATTGACTTTTGTGGCTTCGGAAGACTGGCCATCGTGGCGGGCTCGTTTTAGTGGCGGTGATTCTTTATCATCAGACTGAGAGCGACCGTCTTCTGACATGGGGGAGAGAAGTAAACAATGGAATTGGCTGATCAGACAATCCAAGCACACATGTTGACAGCTTTCTACCCTGAGGCCTGGGATCAACTTGGGATGTAAGTAAACCCTATAAATTCCGTGTCTAGGCGGCATCTAGTCCCAATGTCCATTTAACGTGTATTCTTTAAATTTATCTCAGAACTGCAACGGCATTAATGACCATGACCCAGCATTGCACTAATTATAAACGGGAAAAACATTCCCAGCAACAGGAGAAATGTTCGCGACGTTTTACTGATGGTTTCTTGAGCCGATGAAGGTGCATGTTCTGATGGCGACTTCACTACAGTTGCTACATAGAGAAAGGTACCTCCCTAGGGAGCATTGGTTCATCAGTGCCAATCGACGGTAAGAAGCTTATAGAACTTACGCTAAATAGTAAGGGCGTCCCGACCAACAGGTTGTTTCCATCACCAGTGTGGGTATACAATACATAAGAAAGCATGGCGCTGACTGGCGTAGCGAGACTGAAAAGGAGCAAGTGTCTCTTGCACTCTGACGGAGGGAGGGATGTTGCCATGAGAGAAGATGTCAGAGCCAAGGCCGTGGGTGCTGTTGTCTGGTCAGCAGGTTGATGAAGCGACAGAAAAGCGATCAGGCGTACCCTTGTGTATTATGATAGCCAAGAATACAACAAAAGATAGAGCACCTGATCGCGTCTCAAGGGACGATACGCCTAGCGCGTATCCATCGACTAAAGCATGTACTGAAAGTCCTAATGACAGTGGGTATGCGCGTTGTAAGCTCGAGGAAGGTGCGTGTCGTAACATTTGCCAAGTAGACGCGTGTGAACCAGGCAGTGTCATACCCTCCTCGCGCTCAAGCTCCTCAAGCGCGACATCAAAGTGGACATCTTCTACTTCGTGGCGAGTATCCAAAGGCATAAGAGGTCGAGCATGTGGGGAAATGTACTCCTCCACCAGGAACATGAATGCAAACCCCAAAAGTATGCATGACGCGATCTTGTAAGAGTACGATTCTGGTTCAGGGTCGCCAGCGATCGTGCTTGTTACTCCTCTGCCAACATACTTTAACTTGGAGGCAGAAAACGGAAAAAGATATCGAGACGCACTCGGGAATAATAATGCCAAGCGCAGCACCGATGAGTAACCCAGTGCTCAGAATAGACAACTTCGCCAGGTGACTTTCTGCGAACAATAATGACGCTTAATCCAAGTACAACTGAAGTCTAGCATGGTGCATACTAGACAATGACGACGACAGCGGTATGAGGCCTGCCCCAAAGGATGCTGCTCCCATGACTAGGGACATGGACGCGATGCGCAGGAAACCGCTGGATGCCATTTCGTTCGTAAGATGAGAATTGGTGTATGTCTTCGCAAAGTGGCTAGGGCGCTACAGGCCTAGGTTTCAGGATGTTGATGTCTGTACCGGCGTTTTAACAATTCGCGGAGTTTGAACGTTCTTGATCTCGACTTTACTTCCGCGCAATATGTACTCAAAACACAAAAACTTGAAGCCCTCAGGACGCTCGCAAAAGATTTCCTCAAACAAGAGGAAATTAAATGTGTAAGACGACGTTTTTTGTTTTGAAGAGAGAGGCTCATCTGCTTCTTCGAATAAGCCGGCCGATAGTGACGATCAGTTTCCGATGGACGCCGCCAACCAGCGATCGACTAGCGGTTCGAATACTGGCAAGATCTTGGACTTTGAGATACAAAGGATATCTGTTGAAATTCATGCGTGTTTAAACGTGCCTCTGATCTGATGTCTTGATCTGACCTTATCCTGAGGCCGCGAGTCTTCCGCTGACCCCGATTTTTCCGCGCGCATTCCAATTCTCTCATTTCATCTAACGCGTCTGGTTTGATTTTGCATTCAGATTTGAAAGCGCGTTCCCGAACTTCAGACGTCTTCTCGATCCCGAATATCGAAGTCTGATGCGATCGTAGCCCTATGGCATATATGTCTTGGAGCATCTGCGACTATATTTGCCATACGACCGCGATGACATGCCGCATCAGCATCGAAGCAGCCTAGGACAAGCCAAGTGAACAATTCACCCAGTGCATTGTCACTTTCAGACACGCAGTCTCATAGCACTCATGGGCTTAGATTTTAATTAGTATTCGGATCCTAGTACTGTCCATATTTTCCAAAAACACGGCAGGACCTCTATTTGATATATACCTTGACACAAATGTAAAAGTTTCACGCTCAGGCAAGGAAGATCCGAGTGTGTCACGAATGACGGTCCCAGAGCCCCATTCTTGACAAAGAAGCCACTCGCATATGTGCAAAGTCAAGGCAAACCCCAGCGATAAAAAATCCCCCCTATATCACGGGCCCGAAGGACAGTTATCTGGCTTCGTTCTCTCATCAACAAAACCTTATTTCTCCTGATCGAAGAGGGCAAAACAAAACAATTGAGCTGGTTTGTCCGGCATGCGCAGTACTAGCCCCATTTCAGGGAGTATTGACCAATGCATGCGTCTTCTTTATTGTGGCGGATGAATCGATAACCTGTTGAAACGGGGTCCTTCATACATCAATTTGGATACTCGAAACCGAGCATCGTATTGTCGGACCGAACTTTGAATTCGATATACAGTCTACCCTGGTCGGAACTTTTTCCAACATATAGGGTTGCTAATATTACATTCGTCGCCGCGGTGTGATATAGAAGAGATTCATGCAAGTTCGACGCTATCACGGAACATAAACAGCGCAGGGATCATGTCGTGTGCTTTAGAAGACGCTCTTGCTGGTCCAATACGAGAACGACGATGATATGAGCGGTTACTGTGTGGCGTAAGTTAATGGTGGGAAATTGAGGCAATAATCATTCCTCACCAGAACGACTCGAATGGTGTAGTACATAGATCAGCTCAGGCTCTTAATGGCTGTCTCCAAGAACGGATCTCCAAATTCTATAAGTAACCGTGATAATTAGATCGAGTATCATCAAAACAAGGCTTGTCCGACCTTTTCTAAGTTGTTCAGTCAGTAAAACATCGACGAGGTCTTCTTTATCACGCCTGTTCCCATGTTCGTTCTTCCCTCCCCAGGCATTACTAGTCATTCCAGTATTACTTCCTCCCGTATTTGGGTTTTGACTTTCAGTCATTCGACGAGAATTTGGCCCCATGCTCATCGCATCCTCTCGTCTCCTCGTCTTTGCATCTCTCCGTAAAGGACCATCAAATGAAGAGCCTCCAGGGAGGCGACGCTTAGATCCAGGGCTGGGCATCACCGACGTGAGGTTTCCCAATATTTGAGCCGTAGTGGAATGGAGGAACGATGTATGAGAATCGCGGGCGCTCGAGCCACTTGCTGTGAACTGGAAGTCATCAGGTGGAGGTGAATCAGATGAATCTGTTGAGATCGGGGAATCTGGACCTGGGGAATTCATGGTGGTTAGCGCTGATCATGATGCAAGTCGCGTTTGAGTTCCTTATGCATGCCACATGTCACGTGGTCTACGTAACGCCTAGTAGTAATGGCATGCCCAACGATGTTCTTGAGTAATTTACTATTCGGCCCAGAATCATGTCTACTGTTCCTAAAGCGATACGTACAATGCGTATTATTGCTTTACCTCTTTCTCGCCCAAAGATACCACCAGATCAGGGGTTGAAGCCACATGCCATTTTTAACCCCAACCGCATGCTTATTTTCTACCACTTTGACCTCTCTCAAGGCAGTAACGTTAAACTCCAAGACCAGTCTACTATAAAGCGAGCAGTGAAATGGGCGTCTACAAAAGCTGCAGACCTTTGGGCTGGTTTTGGAAAAGCACCTGAAGGCAGTTGGAAGGCATGTATTTTTCGCTGAAATATTGCGTCTGGTCGTCATATTTATAAATATCTAGTTGCGAACTTATGAGCTTGGCGAACGCATCGTCGATCGCATAGACTTTGAAGAGCTAGCCCTGAAAGGCGTCGACCCTTCTTTAGGACCAGCGATTACTCATGCACCAAAAGCAAACGAGGTAAATTTCTCGGAAAAGCAAAGTGCAACAGAGGCCTTGCGGGTGAGATGAATGATGTTCTATGCGAGCATGTATTGATGTTGGCTGTTAGATACCCCTGATTTATCCGCCATCGATTTACGCCTCGCTACCACCTGCGGATGTGTTGCATCCCTCGATTGTACACCTTCGCACGCTTCTAACCAGTCGGGAGCCCCGGCATCGTAGAGGATTTTGGATGTGGATGGCAATTGCGCCACTCACGGCGCCCTTCATGATCGTCCGTGAGTCTCGTGGTCGCGACGCGTTATTGAAGGACGTGTTGTATTGACATTTGCTCACGGCTGGGACCTTGATTTGAATTATAGCTGTGATACCCAACCTGCCATTCTTCTTTTGTGTATGGAGATCTTGGTCACATTACAGAGGTTAGTGCAGTCTTTTTTTGAGACGGAATAACCTTTTCGACGCTGTCTGATGGCCCTGTGCAGCATATAGAACTTCGCAGTATCTGTCATCCCTTTTAGATGAGGGATTGATTGTGCCAGAGCCAAGTCCGGCACTCGATGAACTGTACGCTTCTTACGTCCCGAGGATGGATTTGCCGACGGCTCTCCCTCCCCGGTCCGCAGCATCATTAGCAGCAGATACTCCAAACACGAACAACGGACGCCCGTTCGATGAACCGACAGCTTCTTCATCACAGCCTGATTCATCTAACGTGCCCAAGAGCTCTCAAGGACTATTACTTACTCGCAAAGCTATTCCAGATATCTTGGAGCTTTTTGGACTTCCAGAATCGTCAGCGGCAGACATGTATCGGGCAGTGGAACAAGTGCGTGGACGACTTGGAGGAACATCCGGCCGATGATAAGCTATGGAATGGACAAGGTATGATTGGGTACATTAATAAAGGTGGCATCGCTGTTAGATCGGATTTGCAAGGGGCATCGGCACGGAACTGTCTTTGAATAGACGTTTCTCGATCGTACTTGGATATATCCTCGACATACATTGTAACTACTTTAGAACGACTTGTATCAAAGCCGTCATCAACCGTCATCGGCATCGGGTTTGATCTTGAAATGCTGTTCCTGTCATTGGATACTTGAAACACGAACCACCATGAACTGGACCGGGCTCGGGCGAACCATCCATCATGCGGCGGCCTGTTTGTTTCTCGGAACACGGCCACTTCAGCTCGCGGCTTACATTATGCTGTGTCCTTCAATTAAAAGATGTTCCCTCTCTATTGATATCAAGGTACAGCCTGAACGTACACTATCAAATCAACTCATTCAAGTTCGTAGTGACTAAGATCGAATTCGTAAGTGCTCAGTCACCTCGTCATCATAGATCCGACTGCAACATCACGGTGTTTGTACCCTAAGCACATTACCCCCACGCTAACGATGTTGAGCTTATGACGATTGGCCCCAACTTCAAGTTAAGGCCTGTTCCGTTGGAGTTACTTGTCAATGATGTCATCGCTGTCTATTGGCAGTGCATTACCACTAACTACGTACATACAAGACAACTTCAAGGAATGGAACACCACAGAACACCCAAAAGCGCATAAGAAGCACTGCAACTGGTCTTGTGTCTTGAGACTTTGTCATTTGTACTGTCACTGGCGGGGGTTTTCAATGTTTGATCCGCAGCACACTCGTCAAGAGGTTTCTTGACAGACCTGTGGGAAATATCGTGCTCTATCACACCCAGGTGAAATCTGATTTTTTTTGTGATGGTGTTCGAGTGTCGGAACGGTTGTGCGATGTCAATTGGGCAGGGACTGGCTACAAATTCTGTCGCGGCAATGTCACACTGGAGTTTGTATGCAACGATACCCTCGGCAGATTTACCGTCACGTTACAACATTTCACTAGTACTGATAACACAGTTCTGCCCTCATTCAATCACTGTGTAGAAATCGCTGTGATGAGAATTATTTATATAAGGATATAAGATGGTTTAGGTAGCATTGATGCTCAGTGGACATACTATGTCAATAAATGATTTATTATGAACACAACTGCACAATGTTTTCCATAGATTCTTGACAGTTATATTCCATAGATGATAGAGAAAATCACAGAATTTATTTGTTCAGTGTGCAGCTCGCGATATGATGATCAGTGAATTTAGAAACCCAATACCCATTTTGAAAAACCCCCGGTATTGCTAGGCGGACATATGTGAATACGTCAATAGCCCCTATATATAATACATCTAGGCCACATTTTATTGGAATCTCATTAGTTTGGGCAGACTTTACTTCACAGCGGCTCAGCCTGCTCAATTTCGCTTTCGCTTTGAAGCTGAAACGCTGAAGACTAGTACTGGTAAGTACTGATCGTATGCCTTGTCACAGCCTTGACCAGATGCGGAAACAGTACCGACGAGGCATGGACAGTTCTCACCCTGACCTTACATTGCAACATTCACCTACAAGACACGTATCATGTCCGTCACCGACATCTTTGGTGTCTTTAAGCGCGTTCATGCGGTAAGTCCCTTTCTACAGACAATACATACCAGGATAGGTGTAATACATAAATCTCACCGTTTTTGTCACAGGCTTTCATTAGTCCACCTCTTCCACCCAGCGTGGAAAGCAACGATGCTTCTCCTCCCCTCAAAGTCGGTCTTCTAGGCGCAGCCGCAATAGCTCCCCATGCTCTTGTTATGCCTGCCAAAACCCATCCGGAAGTAGAACTTTATGCTGTCGCTGCCCGCGACATCACCCGTGCCGAGACTTTCGCGAAGAAGCATGGCTTCAAGAAGTGGTATGGAGGGGGAGATGGATACCAACGTAAGTCATACAACACGTTGAAAGTGACATCTCTTGTGTTTACTGCTGCATGACAGAACTTCTAGATGACCCCGCAGTAGACATCGTCTATAACCCCGTGCGTGTTAATTGAACGCTGTTTCGCTGTGACTAAATACCCGTTAGCTGCCCAACGGTTTACATTACGAATGGACGATGAAAGCTCTTGCTGCCGGCAAACACGTGCTTTTGGAGAAGCCCAGTGGTGATACCGCCGAAGAAACTCGCCGTATGTTTGCTCTCGCGGACCAGAAAGGGCTCGTGCTTCTCGAGGCATTCCACTACAGGTGATTGTCTTTTATCGTAACAAAGGACTGTCTTGACAAATATCAGGTTTCACCCTGCCATTCAACGCGTCAAGGCCATCATTGACAGTGGCGAACTGGGTGCTCTCAAGGAGGTAAATGCAACTCTTACGATTCCGAAGGGTGCGATTAGCAACCCCGCTAATATTCGGATGAACTACGACCTTGGCGGCGGTGCGATGATGGATTGCGGATGTCAGCTTCCCTTTCTCCCGCGTTTGAGCTCATCTAACACGATTGATCCCACAAGGTTATCCTTTAAGCTGTGTTCGTTATCTCGCATCAGCCAACCCAAGTGCAGTGATATCCGCAACTGCAACGCGACATCCCAAAGATCCACGTATTGATTTAGGCACCACCGCCAATCTCACTTTTGCTTCCTCGAAGCCTGGCGAGGAGCCAGTCAAGTCCACTATCAGATGCAGCCTTGCCCACCCTCCCCGATGGGGTTTCATTCCTCGCTTGCCAGAAATTGACGTCAACGTAGTTTGTGAACGTGGCTCTATCGATATGTTCAACTTCGTGATGCCAGTGATTTACCACTATATCACCGTGAAACCTGACGGTGCCGCCCCGAGGACAGAGAAAGCGTATACGTTCGAGAGTGGTAAAGGAGAGGATTGGTGGCTTACTTATAGGTACCAGTTGGAAGCTTTTGTGGACAAGGTCAAGGGCCGAACACCACAAACTTGGGTGAACCCTGAGGACTCTATTGCAAACATGGAATGGATTGAGAAAATTTATGAAGAGGTGAGTGTACCATACATTTCTACGATGGTCCTTCTAATTCGACATGCAGAGCGGACTTGGGTCTCGACCCCAATCCACATATGTACCCCCAAGTGCTTGATGATAGATTGTTTATTGTCGTGTATGTTTCAAAGCCTTATGCCGTGCAGTTTTTGGGAAATATCTTGTTAGCCTGCACCACGTGGATCGTAGTCTGTTGCTACATGTTCCCAGTACACAAGCTTGGCGTTTAAGAGGATTTGAAGTCGTTTATGAATTCGCCTGTGCGAAGGGGCTCGCCAGAGGTCTTAACCGCTACCTAACCGCTACCCTCACCATCCATGCTTTGTTTATGGCGATCAACTTTTCAATTATAAGGTATTAAAGTGGAGTTCAGTTGCGATAACTTTGAATGAATCACCAAGGTTGAGGCACCCATGATCATGATTGGGCGTTCCCTTTAAGTATATGACCAAAAACAGGGGTTCTCCCTCTGCGTCGGGATTCATTATGCGTCGAGCTGTTCAATCATGGGCCCTGTCATGAGCACCCTTCTATAAGGCTAAATAGAAGCCCGCTGTTGAAGTCTGTTTCTAGTCTTTATTGCTCGAGAACTGAGTCTCGCACTTACTTCGCCTTATCCTGCCTTCTCATGCACCACATCCGTCTCTCAGTTCGCAATAAAACTCGTCCGAGTCCTTCCGAGCACGAAGCCCGTTTGCCGTGAGACCTTTAGCGCGTAAAATCGGTTCAACCGCCATAATAGTCTTGCATGTATTTTTTCACGAAGACGGTGATGAGTTTTAAAAGGACCATATTGGAAACTATTGCGCCCAATGCAGTTCTGGTAGGGCTAATGTTGCTGCTTCGGGAGGCACAATGTTGGCTTGTTGCGCAATCAATCTCCGCGCCAAGCTCGGGCTTGAAGGGCTGTCGATTTAACCATACCAGTAAAAAAAAATAGATAACGATAGCAATCATGAAGGCGTAGCGCCAAGAGGATCCGGACGAAACGTAAGGAGGGTTGTGAGAATGTGATTATAACTCACAAAGTGAAACGAGCACCCCGAATACCATCATGATTGTCCCGGACGGGGTATGATCGTTGCGCTCAATGTATTCATATCCGCCGTATCTCCATTGCACCAGGACTCTTGGAACCATGATCATGTGCTTTGAACGGCGATGATGGTCGAGTTTCCGGTGTGATTGTGCATCAATGGTGCCGACCGTGTGGGTTTACATCGAACCCCGCGCGCGCTCGGGCAAAACCGATGATAGGCAGAGTTCGTCGACGCATTCCAGAAGATATCATGATGGTAACGGGGTCAAAAGACACTAGTACCAATAGCTTCTATCAATGATTTACGAAATCTGGGAGGAGAACAGCCATGCAGACGCATGGTATTAGTTATCATGCACTGACTTGAAAGGATAGCAATACTGATCCCACTGCGGCTGCCGCATTAATTGTAATTGATGTTTTTAGTCAAATGTATCATGCACCAGCATCCGGCGCGAACTTTCTTCGCGCGCCGAAGTACTGATCAACTGCGGATAAAACGATGCGCCCATTGCTGCAAGGGGGCAAAGTCATTATCATTATTCCGATTACGAAAGTTTCGAGCTCACCTCAAGAATAAAATCAGAGTTGGCACACTAGCCGGCAATCGACCCTTTAGTTGCTACTAGGGGCGGCGGCGCTCCATTAGAGCATTGCTGCCACCCCTGCTCTGGAGTCTGCGCAGACCTGTACCCAGACCAGCTGTTGAATTTTTGTTTCGGGATCGAAATATTCTGGAACGAAATTTAGTGCTTGACGCTAAACGCTTGGGGATAGAATGCTTACTAAGCAGAGACTGACAATTTAACGTGAGCACTGCCACTGAGCGCTTGTCACCTCTTCTGACCAAGATGGGGAGGAACGCGAAGCTGCACAAACGCATCGTGAGTCGTCGATCAATCTGTATTACTATCTTCTAACAATGATCAGAAAAAGAAAACGACTGCATCATCTGCGTCACGCCCTTCGTCTGGATCTTCTAGCGCTGCTAATACATCGAGTGCACCTATAGCATCATCGCAGGTCCAAGCCGCAAAGAAACGCGCAGATCTCAAGTCAAAGTCAAAGTCAAAACCGTCGTCATCGAACAAGGCTACGGGAGAACATGTTCTTGGAGGCGCGGACTATGTGACATTACTTATGGGCGGCCGCAAGAAAGTTGCAAAGGAAGCTTTGAAGTTACCAAAAGACTGATCAGAAGTGCGTTGCAACGATTCTATCTGGCAGTGTACAGTTCTTGACTATTTTATAGAGTTCTATGCGAGGCTTTTGAGTCTACTACCTCATGGAAATACCGAGTCAGACGGATGAGTACGACCTCCAAACTGTGTTGTTTGCATAGCAGCTCTCTACGTTCGTGGCCCAGTGACTCGTGGGCGTCTCACCCATATGGACGCGGTAACACATCGTTCATAGTATAACGACAGAAGATACAAGCTTTGACCGTAACATACCATATGATTGAATTGAAGTAGTTTCATGGTGATGATGATTCTCGATATCAATCGACCGGGGCCCGTACAGCTATTTTCATATCGATAGGCCAGATTTCCTTTTTTCCCTACGTACTCTGGTCAAAGTAGTTGTGGACGAGTTGTAGGCTCCTTCATTAATAATGAGTTACATTGAGAGCTTGCAATGAGGCTTTAATTGTGATTTTCCGCATATGCTGAACGTAAGTCTTGTGGCTATTTTTAGATCACATCCTACTTTAACTTTACCGCAAGCTCCGTGGACCGTGGGGCACTCGACTCACTTGTTCCGGAACTACTACTATCCGAGCCTCTCTAGAAATGTTGCGTTCGTTGTCAGTCAAATATTCTCCCCTACTGACAAGGATTGGCCCGGGAGGTCGAGCGCTCTCGACCCAACCTACCTCTTCTTCATTAGGCTGTCTCCCTACGACGGACTCGCCGGTCGTGTCGAAGCTCTCATTCTTCAATTCTGTAACTGGAGACGGTAGCAAGATACCAAGTTATAGAGTTCTTGATGGCCTTGGTATCCCAATAGAAGGTGCCGAAGTGCCCGAGGCATGTGTGCCCTCTTCCGTGCCGAATAGACCAACTGACGTCCAAGTTCACTCAGATCAGCGAACAGTTCGCGCGACGATTGTGCGTTGGTTTCGCAGTAATCCAGTATCGTAGCTTACACGGCCTTCAATTAGATATGAAAATATGCAGTTGCTTCCGACGCTGGATAATATCCTTTACAATGTCCAACGTCAAGGCAAGATATCCTTTTATGTACGTGCACAATCTAATGATGCCTCTCAATCATCATCTGACACATCTTTAGATGACTTCTGTAAGATAAATGGCCACGCAGGATAAATGATAGTTGCTGACCCCTGTCAAGTATGGAGAAGAAGCTGCTGTGATTGGTTCTGCTGCTGCACTGGCTGATGATGACGAGTAAGTTTCCCCGATCTCGGTCGAGTTATTGACCAACTATGTTTCCAGAGTGTTAGGTCGGACATATTTATTCATCACTTATACTTTGGCTAATTCCAACTGCAGCACAATACCGTGAAGTTGGGGTGCTCTTGTGGCGAGGCTTCACTCTTGACCGCGTCATGGCCCAGTGTTTCGGAACACACGAAGATTCTGGCAAGGGACGCCAGATGCCCGTAGTATGTCACCTTGCTTCATTGTTGTTTCCTTGCTCAAAATTGACTGGCACTCCGTCAGCATTTCGGCTCCACAGAGCACCATTTCCACCAGATATCGTCCCCACTCGCAACTCAAATACCACAAGCTGCAGGGGTTGGCTACGCACTGAAACGCGACCCAGAGAGACGCTCCAAGAATGTGGCCTGCGTATTTTTTGGAGAAGGGGCAGCATCCGAGGGAGACTTCCACGCTGGAATGCTCCTTGCTTCCACGTTGCCTTCACCAACATTGTTTCTGGCACGCAACAACGGATTCGCTATCAGCACCCCAAGCTCGCAACAATATTATGGCGATTCTCTGAGCGCAAGAGGCCCAGGTAACCCACATTGCGCGTTTGTATCACAGTTCATCGAATTTTCTTCGCAGGTTATGGTATCGATACAATTCGTGTCGATGGAAACGACGTGCTTGCGGTGATGAGCGCTGTTAAGGAGGGGCGAAGGCGGTGCTTAGAAGGTGGTCGGGCAGTCCTGGTCGAGATAATGACCTATAGAGTCGGCCATCACTCGACGTCAGACGACTCGTTTGCATATAGGGGACGCCAGGAAGTCGAGAACATAAAGAAGATCGACAACCCTATCACGCGTTTCCGCCTATTCATGGAATCCCAGGGATGGTGGAATAAGGCAGAAGAGGAAGAGCTCAAGTCTCGTTTGAAACAGGATGTGCTCGCAGCGTTCAAGCGCGCGGAGACTCTTAAGAAGCCTGACCTGGCAGAGTTGTTCAATGATGTATATGCAGAAGAGCCTTGGAATATAGTGAGTGTGGCTGGATCCATTGGTGAACGTGTACTCACTTTGGTTGTAGAAGGAACAGCGGAAGGAGTTAGCGGGACTTCTCGAGAAGTATGGACAAGCGTGGGAGCCATGGCAGAATGAGCTCAAGATCTTCAAGGATGAAGGGAAGAAACTAGCGGATTGATGATTCCCTCGATACCCATTTCACAACCGAAGGATGGTTGTGAAACGCACTATTCCAATGTAACTATTCTCGCAAACAGCATACAGGCTTATATGGAACTGTATGAACATTGCAATTTCAGAAATTAGTGTAGTTGTAATGAATCTGGCACGAATTTATCATCATCGACATCTAGCAAATAATTTTCTGGATCAACAGTAGAGCGATAAAACTCGATGCCCAGAGGACAACACGGGATGATCACTGCTCAGAGAATAACTTAGTGACAACCATAGAATGGCTCGTATATACTAGCATTGGCACTGCCCTGCGTCCCGTTGGCATATTATAAGATTTAGGTGCTGAAGCGTTAGTGTAGTACTCGAAAAGCACGACCAAAATAAAAGGCGAGGAATAATGTATGCATCTAAATCGTCTACGACTTGTCGAGACCAAAGAAAACACGAGGGAAAACAGGGTTAAGTGAATGCCAGAATGCCCTGCCCGCGCTCAGGATCACTCATTCGATGGACACGGACTGTCTGGCCGACATGGATGTTGCCCATATCTTGGGGTGTGATCAAGATATACTGTTTTTTGTCCGAAGCATTGGCAGTGTCGATCATCATCTTCATACTAATGCGGCGATTGACAGCATCCATGAAAACGTCAAACTCATCTAAAGACGGTCAGAAAGAGGAGAGTATATCTACATGTGCGCACTGACCGAGGCAGCGAAGAGGGCAGCCAATCGCATCCCAAAGTGAGAGCAATAAACAGATCGTGGAGAATGATTTTTCCCCGCCACTCAGTGACCGGGGATCTTTGTCCCTCCCTTGCGTAGCCATTTGATCATCAGTTTGAACCTGATTCCAAAACATAAGCAATAAGTCATTCGCATAAAAAGAGACATACCTTCAGCTGGAGCGTTTGATTGGCATGGTCGAACAAAATCTTTCCAAAGTACCCACGATTGGAAAGATGGTACTGGAATACAACCTTGCATCGTAGAGCAATGTGACGCCGGAATTCTTGCCAGCGGTTTAAACGAATAACAAGCGACCTCTTCAGAGCCTAAAGAATAGCGTTAGTGAAATGATCCATTAGCGCGAGCCAGCCTTACATTATTCAGGGCAGCGAGACTTCTTAGTTCCTTTTCTGCAGTATCTAGGACAGCTTTCGCGTTGTTCACCTCAATCGTCATTTCCTCGACCGTTGCGCCATGCCTGCGCTCCCGTTCTTTGAGTGCTTTCTGAACGGATTCGAGAGTACGCTCCACTACATCGACTTTGCGAGGATTTTCAACCCGCTCGCAGTACTCCTCAGCACTCGAGGTCCAGTTCTGATAGAGAGTCAGCGCTCGAGCTCTGTTATAAATGTTGAAATACTTACTATGAACTCCTCTTGTAGCTGTTTCGCAATAACATCGAGGGCTTCAACCTTTTTAGTTTCGTCCTCGAGCTTCTTTACGTAGTGATTTTTGTTGGTTTGGGCTTCAAGACGACTCATAGCAGCGTCCTCAATTTTTTTCTATATTGTGGTGTTAAGTGACAGCAGACAAAACATGGGGGTAATTCTTGCCTGGACTTCCTGACGTGCTTCTTCAAAGTTATGGATTTGGCTTTTGACTTTGTTCAACTCCAAAAGTAAAGTAGCCTGCTCTTGATCGATGACTGTTCTCCTACCGACAGCGTCCTCGAATTGCTGCACGATCGAGGCCTTTTCCGCTTCGGCTTCCTGTACGGAAAGGGTTGTCAGCTGGAACAGATAAAATTCACGTGAACATACATCTTGCGCGCTCTGTAACCCCATGATATCAGCCGGCATCTCTTCTTTTGCTTCCTTCTTGAAGAGAAGCAAGCTCTTGTTTCGCAGCACGGTGGGTTTCGAATAAGGACCGTTCTTGTTCCTAGCAAATCATGCATGTTTGAGGGTGTAATGGAAAGGAATGGATGAGACTAACACTCATCCCATTGATTCCGCGTGCCAGGTTCTGAAACTGCTGTCTGAGCTGAGCAGCTTCTTCCTGTGCAGCCTTACATTCGGCCTCTGCATTCCGCAAATTCTCTTGCCAAGTACTACAAAGTGATTTAGCACGAGTGTGAGATGGTACAATATCAACGAACCTAAGCATGGAGGCAGAGTCACTCGATGTGAACATCATGTTGCGGGGGTCATTTGGAGGAAGCCTCTGCAATTTGATCGACTGACCACCTCCCTCGACATATCGATGGACACGCATGTAATCAGCTGCCCACGCGACACCTCCTCCATTCATTCGTTTCAGGATGTTGTCGGCATCAAGACGCTTGGGTGCAACGACCGTACGCTCAATATTTGCTTGGTTGATTAACAAGCGGAGGACGTAGGGGTCTGTGATCTGGATAGCAGAATTAGATAGGTAGTAACGAGAACAGTGTAGACTTACCTCCAGGACACGAAGAACAGTGGGAATGTAATCGGGTGGCTCTCCTGCGCTGAAGTCAAACAGGTCGCGCTCGGATATGATAATATTAACGTGAGAACTGGATCACAGTCAGTGACAAGGTAATATAAGGGTTACTAACGCACTTATTTGTTTGGTCAAACAACCTCTTGAGTTGTTGTCTGTCCCTGGCATCGGTGATAGCAAACGCACTCATCAGGCCTCCCAGCTGAATTCTCATTAATTCTGCCCACGCCATGTCCTTCAGCTTGACATGAATCCCAAGCGGACCAACAGGCATGTCCCCATGCCACCTCATTTTCGCAATTTGGTCGAGGACACCTTTGATATCTCGACCGTACGGAGCAAGTGCATTCTGTCCTTTCTCCTTACATTGAGAAATCATACTCTGGGCCGCAACAACACGCTCCTGTGCGCTGTTCTTCTTGGCTTCGGCGGCGAGCCCCCTGCGCTTGATGTCGTCCTGCTCAGCCAATTTTCGACGCTTGGCTTCAAGGAAGTCCTTGTGCGCTTGATCAGTGTTCGTGACATCTGTTCTGGCGGACTCCAGCTTTCGGTTAAGCTCGTCTCGTTTTACTTGTGTATCTGCAGCGAGACGACGCTCTTCTTCAGCAATATTTTTCCTATAGTTCTCAATGGCAGTATTGAGAGAGTTAAGAGAAGTGTTCATTGTTTTCTCGTCATTCTATATGAAAAGACAGTCATGTCAGACAGGAACTAAAGTAGAAGATTAGGTATAGAGACCTTGAAATTTCCTATCTTCACCCGGTTACTGCGCATTTTTTCTTGCAGATCTTCGCGTTGCTTGGTGAGGTGATCGATGTCGCCAAGTGCAGCATGCTCCTTGTCGAATTGTACTACAGCATCGGAGGCAAGTTGGAATTGGGACTAGCAAGAATATGTGAGCATATGAGTATCAGTATCGTGACTTTCTAGGAACACACCTCGGCTGTCTTCATCTCGGCCTCGATTTTGGGCAAGCGACGTTCTGCCTTCGCAACTTCTTCAAGCTTCTCCTCCATTTCCTGAAAAAATATAGCTCCATGAACTCATTTTCCACAATACACATGAACAACCGTGCCGTACGGATCAAGGGGGATGTCAAGGAAATCTGCTCTTACCGCTTGCTTCGCTGCGACGTGAGCCCAGGCAAGCTCCTTCTTGAGCTTCATCAACCTTGCAGCGCTGCTCTCTTGCCTTACTTGCTTCTTCAAAGCGCACGCTAGCTTCCTTGAATGCGGCGCGTAGGTCGGGTAGAACTTGCTTTTTCTGGTGTAGCACCTTCTTAGTCTGGTTGATATTATCAAGGCAAGCATCGTATTCCTCAGAAAGCTGCGATAGCTGGGTGCCTCGCAGGAAGAACTGCAATGCATGCACGTGAACTAAGTACACTTGATAGAAAGTGGAAGCAAACCAACCTTGTATTTATCGGAGGGATGTGAAGCACTTAAAAATTGTCTAGCAGCATCTACATGGACTTGAACATGGAACTGAAGACGCATACATGCGCCTAGTACTCACCTTGACTAAGGACATTCATGGGATTATCGACTTGAATGTTCATGTGATCACAGATGGCTGAAAGCTCGTCTCTCTTTGTGGACACAACCTTGCCATCCTTACTCTTGATTTTCCATGAAGATGATCCGTCCTTGGTGAAATTTACGCGTGATCACAATGCTCTTTCCGTACTCTTTGGGCTTATATGCTTCTTCGCCCTGGTTCTTGAGCGAAATGGTGATTTCAGATATCCTTGTGGAACGTCTCAAGGTCAGTAACACAAGCCTGAGTAGGTTAATCTTACGGTTGGCCTTCACGAATGAAAGATTTCAGGCCACTGCCGCGTCCCGTCGAGTTTGCTTTTCCTCCAAGTGCAATTGTGATCGCAGATAGGACAGCACTCTTTCCACCTGACAGGGTCAAGTCAATATAATAAAACACGATGATTGTCGGTCATTGGAGATGCAGTACTCACTTCCATTATGGCCTATAGAGCTGTTTCAACATCTGCTTAACGTATTTGGAGTGACACTCACCGATAATGAAATTAATCTGAGGTCCAAACGTGAAAGTAAGTCGCTTGTGGCACATGAAATGGTGCATCTCAATAGACTCGATGATCCCGTGCTCTGCAATACCCTATCGTACATAGATCAGCTTGAGCCATAAGCAGAGGTAGCTGACATCCTACTAACACCAAAGGTATTACGCTTCTGCTCGAGGCGCTGGCGAATGGCCTCGCCATTGAGTTCTTCGAAGCGTTGTTCCTCTTCCTCATTGTGCTCCTCCTGGGCTAGATCTTCATCGTCTTCATCGCTATCCTCTTGGCGCGCCTTGCCATTGCCATTGCCAGGCTTTCTATTGCGGTGTCGCGACTGGTCAAAAACGACCTCATCGTCGCTATCAATAGTCCTGGGACGCTTGGAGTGTTGAGACAGAGTATCTAGCGCGTCGTCGTCGTCAACAACCACTTTGCGTTTTGCCATTACTGCTGAAGGTAATGAAAGACAGTGTATCCCACTGTACGTGAAGCGCGCCGCGACGCGTTGCAATTGGAAGGTTGCCACGCTGTCAACAAGAACAAACATTAAAACTACTTAATCATTCTTCGCGATTTTCTTCCTCACTCACTCACCTCGAGATTTTCGACCGAAACAGTATATGTTTAGAGGCTGTATTGTGCCATACAGACGAACTGGGTCTGATAGACTGTGAGAAGCACTAAAAATGCTGCCAAAGGGGTACCTGCAGGGTATCGGAGTGAACGATTATCTCGACGAACCATAGTAGGACGTCGAATTCTACGACTCTCAAGGTTCAAAATCGTTTCTAGAACTCGAATCGCCTCGAGATCGACCACTCTGACTACCATAACCTTGGATATTCTTGATTATCAGCTGCGGACATAATGGCCGATCTTTCTAGCGGATTGCCCAGCAGTGATCTGTCGCGGCGAGAGAGAGCCACGAACCAGGAGCTTCACAGTGGAATAGTCCCAAAGTCTTACAGAAGTTCATTCGTGCCTTCAACTATAACGCTCGATGCGATTTCACTGCCGCCAACAATGGATCTCTTCATCCACAAAGTTTCATCCAGACAATGCAGGTTGTCATTTGACACTCGAGATTCTAATGCCGCCTCATTGAAAATAATAACGCACGAGAGCACTTCTTCTCCCCATTCGCACATATCTATCTGTCGGTCTCGAGCTCCGATGTCGTTTTTCATTTCAGTTATCCATGACCTCAAAGAAGGTGATCACGTACGATAATGACTTTATTCCTCTGCACTTTCTCATTTCGTCTTCCCCTCCCAGAGGTTCCAATGCTTGGTACCGATAAAGAAATTGATAACGGCGTCTGGTGCATGCAGACGTAAATGTTCAAATTCAGGACAGAATAGAACTGCGATCGATCTGCGTTAATGATTCGGACTCTGTCTAATACTTATGGGTTCACATGAGGCACGATATCCATTTTCTTTATGCGTTCTTGGTCCAAACTTTGAATGAGTGATCTCTGCGTGGATTTCGAGAAGCCACTCGAACATGCCTCAATGCTGCAAGACGTCCAAGAGGCTCGGGCAAGACTCGGGGCTTGTAAAATGGCATTAATATTAATGGCTATCTGTCGACGTAAAATACTCGACCGTGGAGGATTTCGCGGATAGGAACTTTCTAAACCCATCATAGTGCATGCATTATCTTCTCCATCTCCAGATGTATCGAAATATAGTTCGTCGTGGTCACGAGGAAGTCGCTCGGTCTTTTTCTCTGCTTCGTGAGAGCTGATCATCATTGAATAGATCATCGTGTGCTATTGCCCAGCATCAGGGAAACATCATTTGCTACAGAGTGCTCTGTAGCGCAATCCACCCCACTGATGAGAATCAATCCAGAGCTAGCCTGTCCTTGCCCGGCTCACCATTCTCGTTCAACTTCCAAGGGAAAATCACTGATAGAAGAATAGTATATTCATGTCTACCAACTTCATCAGGAAGTGCTCATTAGATCGACCGGATGCTCCAATGATTAAAGTTCTCACAAGGGACGTCGTCGGTCTTGTGCTGGAGATCCGGTGAGTAGGGTGGAGAGATCATCACATAGCACAGAGAAACTGACTCAGGAATCCCTCACTTTACAAGAGAACTTAAAGTCGGTTTTTATCTTTCATCACCCCCTAGCGGCTCGGTCCCTCCCGTGATAGCCTCGTGTCCGATCTCCGTGACCCCAATTCTCGATGAAAATGCCAGGCCACATGATAACATGCTTGCCTAAGACAGCATCCAAAAAGACCGTGACTAGTTTATTTTTCACTGTTCAGTGTGTTTCATTCGTATATAAAGGCTATTGAGACCCACTTAACAGCCTAAGCTTGTTCGCATTTCTTACTCGGATCTGTCTACTGCACTTTACACAATGGCCTACCAGTCTAATCCCACCTCCAATGAGGTGCATCGCACCAAAGCGCCACTGTGAGGACTGTTTTGTTGCGCGAAAGCTGCATGGCGCTAATCGTAAATTGAACTCAGTGATATCATGTTCGTCCAAGACGCTACAGGGAGTCAACAGCCGTATATCGACACTGCGCGCAACGGGATCACCCAGATTTGTAATACTCTTTTATCTGGGGGGAAATTCACTCTGCAAGACCTGAGATTTGGTCTTATTGCCTTCCGTGATCATGCTCCTCAAGAGCACAGCTTCATCACCGAGGAATACCCTTTTACGTCCGATGTTGGAAGTTTTGTGTCTAACTTGGCCAGCTTAACAGCGGCAGGCGGTGGAGATGAACCTGATTGTCAAAGCGATGCTTTATCCGCTGCCTACAAGGCTGATTGGAGGGACGAAGCGACAAAGGTTGTGGTGCTGATTACCGATTCACCCCCGCATGGAATCGGAGAGGATGAAGACGGCTTCCCCGAAGGGTCTCCACTTAGTAAATCCTACTTTTGTTCTTCAGTCGTAATGGACTAATGCTAAACTAGACATTGACCCGCTCCGTGTTGCGACGAGCATGGGAAAAGCTGGCATCACTCTGGTATGTCGAACATTCCACATCATGTGCTAGAGTCTAATGTCAACACAGTATGTGATTGCGTGCGAGCCTACTCTGAGCCAGAATTACAAGGTGAGATTATTTTCTTTATGCTTCTGTGTCAGATACATAATTGATTACGCAGAGAGCGCGTGATTTCTACCAAGGATTGGCTAAGAAAACGGGGTAAGTCGATCGCAGCTTTGATCACATATTGATAGATCAACTATTTGTGATAGAGGCAAAGTGGTCAACCTGAGCGATCTTAGGGTGCTGCCCACTCTCGTTGCTGGTTCTGCTTTAGAAGCAGTCGACAGCGAGATCTACGTTGCCAAGCACCAGGTTGAAGTTCGCAGCATGGCGAACAAAGAAAATGACAATGCCAGCGAAATTGCTCTGAGGCTACACAAGAACTTCATGGCTGCAGGCGTCCAACACAATACTCTCCTTGTCGATAATGTGTATCACAAGAACTTCGTGACTTCAGGCATCCAACACAGCACCCTCGTTGTCGATAATGCATGCGAACAGCGTACGCAAGGAGATCAGATCGTCGACATATGGTTCAATGCTGAGAATCTCGGCGAAGCAAGGAACAAAATCCAGCAGGTAAAATGTTGATGAATGTTGTGTTATTAATTCTCATAACTCCATTCAGGTTGAAGGCAATCATATTCTCGAAAAGTACCAGACAGCACTGGCAGAACAATCAGCTGCTGTAGAGACGCAGCCTATCAACTTGTCCCAGGTAATTTTTGCCTCGCTCATACCAAAGTATTACTGATCCCTTTTACAAGGTCGAGGCTGTCGTTCAGAAGTGTCTTGTGAGAGAATTATGAATTTCAAAGACTGCATGATGTTTTCGCGAGTTGATATGTACTTGTATTACCCAGCTGGAATTGTGTAACATCGTAGTGAATATCATTGAATTGGAGGCCCAGGGTCTGCGGAGCTATGGTGCTGTTCACTTGTGCCATACTTTGTGCAGACGCCAAGTCGACCTCAAAATTCTCATTAGTTATCAGTTAGACCCGAAATCCTTAGGTACTCAGGGCTCGCTCCCACATGTACAAGTCCATCAGTGAGGCGGATTGTGCTACAGAATGTTACAGTGCTATAGAGCACTCTGTAGCAAATTATGTTTCTTATGTGTGAATGCATGAGCTAGGAAACTGAGGTTAGCACCGAGACCTCCTTTGCAACCTCCATCTGAACTGGTGCTCCCTGATATATTGATTCTAATTCATCACCTGACCAGTGCAATCGCCTCTTCAGAGTCAAGTACTTAACGAGACTGCAGAAGAACATTGATCAAACATGTATAACTTAGACTAGCCTGGATATTGGTCGAATTTAGCGCAGAGCATCGAAATACGATTTAATATTACTGCAATACCATCATATCATACACGATACTCGGTACTTGATCGTTTCAAACTAGTCACGGTCTAGCAGCAGCGAGCAGAACTTTAAGTTAGGGATTCCTGAGTCAGTTTCGCTGTGCTATGTGATGATCTCTGCGCCCTACTCACCGGATCTCCAGCACAAGACCGGCGATGTCCCCTTGTGAGAACTTTGATCGTTGGGGTGTTGGGTCGATCTGATGGGCGCCTCCGGATCAAGTTGGCAGACAAGGACATTCTATCTTTCTATCAGTAATTTTCCTTTGTAAGTTGAACGAGAATGGCGAGCTGGGTAAGGACAAGCCAGCCCTAGATTGATTCTGGGCAATATCACACAATGATCTATTCAATAATGATCAACTCTCACGAAGCAGACAAGAAGAGACATCAAAACCGAGCGACCTCTTCGTAACCGCGACGAACTGTATTTCGATACATCCGGAGACGGAGAAGATACCATGATGAGTTTGGAACTTCGGTTCGTATTCGCGAAATCCTCCACGGTCGAGTATTTTACGTCGACGGATATCCATTAATATTGAATGCCATTTTACAGGCCCCGAGCCTCTTGCACCAATCTTGGACGTCTTGCAGAATTGAGTTGTGTTCGAGTGCCTTCTCGAGCCCAACCCACGAGGCATGACGCAGAGATTAATAATTCAAAGTGTGGACCAAGAATGCATGAATAAAATGAATATCGTGCCTCGCGCGAACCCACAAGTATCTGCCGAGGGCAGATTCCAATCAGACACGACTGGTTAAACCACTAGCAGATTGATCACATTTCTAGTATTCTGTTCTGAATTTAAACGTTAACTGTCTGCGTGCACCAAAAACGCCGATATCGATTTCTTCATTAGCAACAAGCGATGAGATCTTGAGACCTCTAGGAGGGGAAGGCGAACCTGGAAAGTGCAGAGCAAAGTCAATTTAGAGTCGTACCAGAGATGAAGTTGGAGATTGTGTAATTTTTAAAAGCACGTGAGCAAAGTCAATGGTCATGCGCGTGACGCGTCTTGACGTCAATCTCTCTCCCCCCTTAAAACCTCATTTATTATGTATCCTCGGTCTGCTTCCAATGACGATTACGACATTGCATACCTCGAGGGATTCCTATCAAACCACTGGCACGCGGTTCAGATTATTCCGATACCATTTATGTACATCTCAGATACCAACTGTATATATATTTTTCAGTTCAGACAAGCACTTGCATATTTCTCTTACTTTACGGACTTATCACAGCCTACGTACTAATATCAACGTGTATTGCTGCAACTGCCACACGTTTTGCTTTGCGCTCGTTCAATTGATGTGTTTCAGACGACTACGTACCTAATATGGCTAAATAATTAGATTCCATGATTGGTCACGCTGTCACGGTGGTGTGGTACTCCACTCACTCAAACGCGGCCTTTGATAGTATGATACAGTCTGTTCGTATGAACTCAACCACACCTGCTGTTGACTTGCTGTATCCCTACTCTTCTACCCAATCACAAACTCAGTCGAATCAACGACCGGGTCCCGCCGGGAGCCCGGAGTTTGTTCAGGTTAGAGACCTGCCAGTAGTCCGTGAGTAGTACTTTGACTTCGTTCCTTCTTGGTTACGATTAAATGATTTCACGCCGTATACGTACAGGCTTGATTCTTGCCGCCATGGACGTTGCTGGTATCTGATGCAAATTCAAGACCATGACTCGGAGATGGATCTGAGTCACTCGTACCAGCTCGTACCATTATCACTTGACTAAGACTTTCTGATTGTGATATTGCAGACTTTTCATTCATATGGTTAATTCTGAATGATCCCACGAGTATTTACCAGAAACCGTCGGGTGTGGCGTGCACTGGCTCCAGCTGCGCTAGTGCGTTTCAGTCCTGGGCTCGTACTTGGGGCCCGAGTTCCAATCTGCACTATGGCATCAGATCACATCGGAAATGACAAGACACTGCCGCAGGACCTGTGCGTGTTCACGACATTATTAGGCTGGTGGCTGCGAGGTTCCCACTGGATCTTCATGGATGGAACTAGTTGCAACCTGGACTACCACTGGGTAGCGGAAGAAAATTCCGCGATCCGCAATCCACGTACAAAATATTATCAGGCGCCCACTGGGAACTTGTTTACCAAGTTCAGTTATTAAAAGCGTGTCAAAATTACTACGGGAGGGGTCTTTCACTTTTACGAAAGCATGATTTAAGTGCAGAAGGTCATCTAGTTCCAAGTAAAGGTGCAGATGTGTGTTGCTTTGCTTAGCAGGTATATATGATATTGTTCAAGGAGAACAATGAAGGGTTGGTGCGCGGCGCGCGTTCGCGATGAGCCAAAACAAAAAGGATTCCCGCTTCCTGAGTAAATTACCTAACTAGGACTATATGAGCAAGTGAACAACAGAGCATTGAGCTCAATCTGGGTAAGCGAAGGTCTGGCAGCCACCTGCGAGCTGGTCGTCTTCTTGCTCTCTCCGGCACGCGACGAAGTGCTATCCGCTCCGCTGCAAGGGGCGCAAATGGAGCTTTCGGCTTCTCAAAGACAAAAGGTCAACGCTTTGCATGGCGCTGCAGGGCCGTCCAACTACCGAGATGCATCTAGTCTGAGTAATTCGTACGTCTGATTCTCGACTTCGCTGAATCATTCTGAATGAAGCTATGTAGAAAAGTGACATGGAAAAATTCTCCTACACCAATAAACACCCCATCAAATACAGTAAGTTAGCTGACACCCATCGGATTCAATTTTGGTGGTAATCCTCTCACTTTTATGTAGCGTAACACACGCTCCGGGCCAGCGGCAAGCCCCTACGACCAAATCACAAATGGCAACAATTTCAGAACAAATCCAAATGCCCGTCGTACGATTCTCGATACCCCTGCACTACGAGACTTTAAGCGCTCCAAACCTGATCGCACACCCGCCAGTGTCATAGCTAAACGGATTAACAATTCGAATTTCACAAAGAACACCCGTGCTCCCATGAGACACACAGGGCAATCTGATCCCGAGGTGCAAATCATCGACCAACCTCATCGAGTGAAAAGTACACTTGCGCACAACAAGCATCCCTTCGGTAAAGAGGCTGAAATAATTTCAGACGGAGAAGATCTTGGGCTACCTTTGCCTTGTCCTCATCCTTCGTCGTCTTCACCAGACCCTATGAATCTTCGTTCAGATCTTCATCCTTTCCAGACCTTTCCAGGCGGCCTGCAATATACTGATTCTAGGAAGGGCAAAGAGAAGGATTTCTCCCCGACTGCACAATCCTGCACTGCGGTTGTATCTGATGAGGTTGATGATATTGAAGACTTTTCGTCAGAGGCAGACAACAACAGGCCTTCGCTCCCTACGAAACCTCAATCGCAGCGAGCTGCGATACATACGCCCATACCGCAACATATTGTCCGCGACACTCGAAAAGTATTCGAGATTCCGGTTCCATTCCTTGACTTACGGAAACAGAATGCCCTCAGCGGTAGCGCCGGAGTTGTGAAGAGTATGAAACCGAAAAAACCAACTAAGGTGCAACATCAATGTGCTTTCTTTCGCAACGACTCACGCTATTAAACAGCTTGTCTCACCGTCTCAACCGCAGTTTGATCATATTACGACGTCGTCCACGCAATTCACATCCAAGGAGCTTGCTCGCACAAAGGACCCTCCCCTGAAGCTCCCTTTGCAAGCATGGGCAATCGGTTTGAAGATTTTCAGTGCAGAAAACGATTCCGACCCCCCCAGCTTCGAGTATGACCCGAAGACTAGATGTCTCACCGTGACTGTACCTGGAGAGTCTCATCCTTTCCGATTCCAACAAACTGATGTTTTTGAAAGCGCAAAAGTACGTTTCCAACATAAATTATGTGGCTCTGTACTAATATCGATTAGATCACAAATGATGATAAGAAATCTTTGAAAGACAACGTAGTCATACAGCTGCAGACGAGGAAAGGCTACGAAATCTGTGATAACAGAATTGCAATAGATGAGTTTGAACCCGGTACGTGTACTGTTCTGATGGGTGTGCCATGCACTGAAGCGCTGCGCCCAGGACGGAATCGCGGACGCGGGAACCTGTCATTCTTGTTTAGTACGGATGAAGCCAAAGGATGGACGCAGACGATATATCAGAACCTACGATCTCGCATCGCTCAAGCAGCATCTACACACACCACTGTGAGGTACGATGCCATCGGCTACCTAAAGAGAAGTTACCTGATTCACAGCAGACCAACGGGCGCACTCTGGCGGGAAATTCAGCAGTCTGCAGAGATGTTCGCACAGCAAGGTCGTCGTTCATCTAATTCTCGCTATGAGCCGATGGCCTCTTCCACCAAGAATGCATCCCCTGTGCCAGATGTGCTTAGCTCCACAATCGATTCTGGATCGTGCCTGGCACCTGATGCGTAGGTTACTCTGTGACTGCGTCGATTTTAGTCGATGACCTACAATTTTCGTAGCAAATCAGTAAACGCTGAAGCTGGCACATCATTGCGTCGTTCATCACGGCGTTCTGCAGCCGCGGTACCCCAAATTCCGTCAGAATCTCCTCTCATAGCAGATCCTGAAGAACTGTGCGACTTTTTTTTTTTTTCATCATTAGCGCTTTGTTTCATTTCTCATCTGTTTACCAGAATTCTCGTATATCCCGCATCTGGCCCTGGCGCATTAAACATTATGGGCAGCGATTTGAACAGGCTTAGACCGCACGAGTTCCTCAATGATACATTGATAGAGTTTGGTTTAAAGTATGGTCAACTGCCATTTATTGAGCGTGGTGCTAATATTTATGCAGGCTTTGGCTTGCTGATCTCAAGGAGCAAAATCCAGATTTTGCGGAACAAATTCACGTTTTCAGTTCGTTCTTCTATAAGAAGCTCAACAACAAGAAAAGGCAAGTTTTGTCGTTTTTCATTTCACAAATTCCAAAATTACACACCTTGCCTGAAGCTTGGATGAAGGATACCAAAGCGTGAAGAAATGGACGTCGAGGGTTAATATATTCTCGAAGAAATACATAATTGTACCGATTAACGAGAAGTGAGTATGTTCTTAACGAGGTTGACTTTTCCTGACTCCCTTCCAAAAGTCTTCACTGGTACCTCGCCATTATCTATGAACCCGAGCACACTCTTCTCCCACCTCTGCCTCAGAAAGAACCTTCGCTTTCTCAACGAGCAAAGCTAAGGCGAAAGACTGCTACTGAGCCAGACGTGATCCCTATGACAGAGCCTGAGGCTGCGCCATCCGACGACCTACCAACATCAGGAGCACGATCAGAGCCAGATGCTGAAGCAGCCTCACTGCACGCTACTTGCGCGTCCACGCCAAGTGTTACGCAAGATGAAGACATGGATGATATCTCACCTGTGGACTTCACACAGTCATGTTCAATATCCAACCTGCTTCCTCCGATACTACTCAGGGCTTCATCAACCAATTCTGTATCTACACAAGGCAGGTCTGCCTCTGTTGGCAAGGTCTCAGGAAGATCGGTGTCCGTCGAAGCACAGGTAGACTTAGTTTTACCGACGTCTTCTCCACGTCTGGAACCGATGGATGTTGACGTCACCGTTATCGACATCGATACGATCCCAGAGGGGACCGAGCCAAAGGATAATCTTTCATCTTCCAATGCATCAACCTCAATACAGGTATCCGAGCCTCCCAGCGCTCCATCATCGAAACCTCCGTCTCGTATGACTGGTATCTCTACGGCTCACTTTTATGGAGCCTCTGCCAAGAGCAAGGGTAAGCAGAAGGCTGTTGAGCCCGCTGTTGTAACGGATTCCGAAGAGGAGGACGAACTTAATGAGGACGAGAAGCATGAAAGGGAAGTAGATGCTATGTTGGACGTCCAACCCAGTTTTGCAACTCAGACTTCCAATGATCCTCTTAAGTAAGCCAACGCACCTACATTTAAATAATCGGCTGATAATGTGTTGCAGTACCTGGATCTTCACGCTTGATTCCCTAGGTTCACGGCATCCTCAGGCACAGAAGGTATTGCGACATTGGCTTAAGGCTGAAGCAAAAGACAAGCAACAACTTGACGAGGTGAGACTGGCCGAAGTCAAGCTTGCGCAGGTACAAAGTCCCTTTTTTTTTTCGGAAGAAACTTTTCAATGTTCCATCACAGGTCCCATCTCAGCCCAACTTTGCCGACTGCGGCGTCTACCTGCTACATTTCGCTAAAACTTTCCTTTCAAATCCTGTTTACTACTTCAACCTCATCCACCAAGTGCGTAGCTTGTCAAGTGCTTGCTATTTGACTACCTGACTAAGCATTGGCTCTGTTTCTGAAGAGCAAGAAAGTGTGTCCTGCCGAACAGCGCAAACTCGACTGGAATGAGCGTGTGGTACAACATTCCCGGAAAGATCTTATCGAACGGATCCGAGCCCTTTCCGAAGAGTGGAAAGCTTCGAGGGTGGTGAAGGAAGAGGACGCGAAGCGCAAGCGGGGGAGCGAAGAGCTCAGGCAAGCTGATAACGATTCGGATGTGGAGGTGGACATCCTTGAGGACGTGAAGGTCCCACAGCCCACGCTCAAGTCAAAGGAGAAAGATCGACCGGTGAAGAGGTTGCGTGGTTGAAGGGCCTTGGCACCTCCACTAACAAGGAAGCTACTTACGAGACTGATTATTTTTGAAGCATACTTTTTACATCCTGCATACCGAGTCTCATTGGACGGGTGTACCCTATTAATAATGTCAATGCTGGGCATCAGAACACAAACAACCGCTGTACAATCATAATGAATTTATTTCCAAAGTCTCAAGCAGTCAGTATTTGCTGAATGACAGACTGGTAACTCGATTCCTGTATTCAAGCAATCGTTATGTGCCAATGTATCTATCTGGTATCAAAAGGTGGATTGTCTCCGGGGAATGACAAAAAGTCGTTGGATGAACGTGAAAATGTATATTTGAGTTTTAAAAAATGCGATAGAAACTGAGCCGCGATACCTGATAAGTACAGGTCCGAATCACGCTGGTACCGTGATGGGATTGATTAAACGAACGGACAGGATTCATGCTTATGGATGCATGCATATCCCCACGGTGGAGCACGGGTGAAGGCTTGGTAAGTAACTAGAAGCATATACTACCTAGATGTAGATCCGAGCATGTGCATGAACCCTAAATCGGGCCTGGAATGTGATAGAGTGCGAAAAGGCGTAGCTTAGAACTGGATCTCGACGCGGCGGCGATGTTTCCAGCTCCGTCCGGCAGGCACGTTCATGTTTGCCGTTGGAGCTTGGCCAAGCTCCTCTGCGAACTCTTCCACTACGCCGCGAATAGCAGGCGTAGGCTCAGCCTCGTAACGGCGTGCAACTGTGTTTGTAGGCGAAACATGCAATGATGAAGAAGAAGCCGCGACCGACGCATGAGTACTGGTAGGGTTCATAGTTTCATTGGCGCTGCCTCCGATAGCCTTTGGGACCGTGTTCGATGGTGACTTATGAGAGATGTACCAGCCGATTCCGATACCAGCAGCAATGAGCTGCAATAATAGATGAGTTGTGAGGCAGGAGAGATAAACAAAGCACATACGACTAAAAACATTATCCCAATGAACCAAACCCAGCGTGACAACTTTGAAGACCCATTTTGTGTCTTTATCAACCAGGAACTCGTCTTCTTCTCGTCCTTTGCAACGATGCTGAACCTCCTCCAGAAGTCATCTCCCTTCTGGCCACGTCTCGGTGCCAAATTATCCTCTGAGTATCCACGCATGATTGTGTCGCCTGTGTACTTTATATCTCTTGGAGTGGGTGACTTGATGGGACGAGCAAAGACGGGAGTAATTGGGGTGATTGGAGGCTGGAGAGGATGCGGAGTGTTTGGGACTGATGGACGAGGGGAAGGAGTCTCGTAGATTGGGACAGGCATACGTGGTTGATGAATATCCATATCAGCTGGGGGGCGGGTGACTTTCAGTGCATTTGGCATGGGTTGTAGAGGCTGGAGCGCAGGAGGGGGTTGGACAATCTGCCTCATTTCGGGTGAGGTAGCTGGCGACGGTAGATTGAGTGCTGATACGGGTGGTGCTGGATAACCAGGACGTGGAGCGGCGAGGGGTATCGGGGATGCATTCATAGTACCTTGCTTAGACTCGGTTGCCATAGGAGGTTTATGCATAAGGACGTCCTCATCCTCGTCGTCACTCAAGTCCCCATTCAAGAAACCGAGGCCGACTGCACCGAAACCAGACTGACGGTTGGAGTAATCTCCATCGACAAGATATTGGTCGTACCTGCAGAGTACACAGTCAGTTTATCTTAGGTTGAAAAAACGAAGCGTGTGAACGTACATGTTATAGGCAGAAGTGCGGTCGTTGGGATTAGATTCTGCTGGTTTACGGACACGGCGCTTAGGAGGTGATGGTTGATCGAAAAGTTCGTCTGGATCGTCTGTTGCGAATGGCGGTTTACCAGCAAGAGGGGGTCTTCTGGATGGCTCTATAGTGGACATTCAGTGATTACTTGATTGAAATACGAGATGTGAAGTGGCTGGCTAGACAAATAAATACGAAAAAGCGAATGGACGCCTCTCTTGATGGAGGCTGGCTAAGCTGGCAGCACGCAAGCTCTGAAAAAAAAAAGGGAAGAGAGACAAGTGATAAAGGAAGGCGTGCTGATAGTATCCAGCTGGACTGGCAACCAGAAGTGTCGTGGGACTGATCCCGAGATATCACACAATCACATCAGTTGAACGTTTCATTCGATGATCTTAAGTCCGTTGACAGCGACAACACAATTTGTACTGATCTATAATATTGGTTGCTCCTCGAACGCTGGCTCTAGAATCATAATACTGGTTTGAATACTTAGCTCGCAGTGCTAGGTGACTTGTATGTGGTCGTTGACAAGGTGACACTTAATAATACTTAGCTTACGGCAAAGCATTGGCGTTAGTACTGTCGGCAGCTCTCGAAGGGTTATACAGGTTGACGATCCATCTAGTTCTGCATAATATTCGGAGCCCGTGAGTCCTCCATTTCAAGGTCTGATCTTGTGTCTGGACGCACATTGCGTATCTTGGTGCCAGAACATCAATTCAAATCCACCTTATCTTGATGGATTCACGCTCAAATGGAATCGTGCGCCATTCAAACTGTTTATCGACAAATTAGCAGCATCCACCAGAAATGATCATCACTTCCATCACCTCCAAAAGAGTGGAAACTTCGACCCAGCACCTACGAACATGTCGGCATTCGTCGATAAGTGCACTTGAAAGTTGACAGGTGGCGGACCCCTCGATTTTCAGACCCGTGTTTCGGACCTCGAGGTGGTGGTCACTACTTAGTGTACATGTGTGGCTGACAGCTGTCAGTGGATTAAGAAAGATAACCGTTTCACCGACATCATGCTTGTGAATCCACGAGGTAGAGGAGGGTACAAGTGGCAGCCGTAACCTGTCTTGCTATAGCTAGAAGATGTGAAGAAGCCGTCAATCGATGATCAGATATGCTGCATGGGTTGCACATTTCAGTACTGCTAGGCTGTTTGAGTCTTGTATACACATCGATTATTGAATCCTTCACCCGTCCCTCACAACAAAAGACCCCACGTGGTGCCACAACCCCATTTATGACAAGCTCTCTGTAAACGCCTCCAATCATTGGAACCAGAAAAACGACGACATTCGAAACGACTTTCGGACCGACCAGTACCCCCTTGTTAAACGGGGTTCGCCTCCTGCTTCGCAAGAAGACGATAGAAATCCGCCACGAGGTATAGACTCCCCGCGACAATCACTAGCTCTTGTACCCCATCTTCTCGTTCCGTTCCCTCCGCAATCGCCCATTCCAATGCACTCTCAAGTTGCCCCTGAATCTTGCCTTCGTCGGATGCAACCCACAACCCTACACCTGATACAGACTCACGCACGGTAGCGGCGATCTTAGACGGCAGTACAGATTTTACCCAAGGCATGCCTTCTGGCGAGGTGAATCGTATCGCGGCAACTTTCGTTCGTATCAAAAGCCGTGTGCTACTTCGAGAGGCGAATAACGGGGATAAGGTGTCCTTCGGCGTTTTAGGGGGAGAATGGGATAGGGCGAGGATATAACTTAATCGTAATATCCGCACATTTGGATTTCCGTCCAACATCGTAACGAGGTTGGAAACATATGAAGCGAGGGTTTCTGATGACGCACGATTGTGTGCACCATCGACAAGGACAGTGATCGCCCGTGGATTAGGTGAGGACACCGTGAGACGATGGAACGATAGGCGACCTCGCCAAGTCGCACTTCTAATCCCTGTCTTTATGTTTTCCAAGACGCGCTCGCTAAAACCGCTTGGCATCCTCGATGCACATGATGGGTGAGATATAAGTGTGCATATGATAGTCAATACGAGACTCAAGTTCTCCACTTGATGGCTTCCATTCAAATATAAAAGTGCGTATAAGCTGTTTGGGAAAACCGAACTGGTGAATGTAATGGGTTGAGGAGGTGGAGGCCTGAATGAATCTGCATCCAGCGAAAATGTAGGCGGCAATGGACCGTCTATGGTATCGTCCCACGCTCGTCGCTGCGCAGACTGAGTTGCTATGAAGTGAGCGCCCGTCTGTTCAACGACAGACCGTACAACATTCTCGACAGTTGCGTATTTCTGAATGCCCAAGACAAAAGGTCTGTTCTTCCTTGCAATGCTAGCCTTCTCCTTTGCAATGAGTTCGACGGTATTCCCAAGGAATGATTGATGATCAAGGTCGACCGTCGTAAGAGCAGAGAGGAGTATGGACTCGTCTGGTATGTAATTGGTCGCGTCCAGACGACCACCCATGCCCACTTCAACGACCACAACATCCACTCTAAGTTTCTCGAAAACCTGCAGTGCAACGAGCGTCAACATTTCGAAACTGGTAACTTCTGTGCCATGTTCTCGGTCTGCGCTCTCAATAGCTGCACGTGAAAGAGTGTATTCCTCTAGTGATATACTCTGTTCGTTCACCAAAATGGAGTCCTGGACAGATACCAGATGAGGGGTATTGAATCGACCGACAGTAAGACCCGACGCAAGGAAGATGGATGATAATATGCAGGTGACACTTCCTTTGCCATTCGTGCCGGCAACATGAACAGTAGGACGCGAATACGGAGGAAGGTGGGATGCAAGGAGGCGAATACGTTCCAACGAAAGCTTGATCGACATGGTTGGTCAGTCGGACGTAAAAATCGGCAAGGACCGTGAATAGTAAACTAAGCGACTCCAACACTTCTCCATCATGATGTGGTTGGTGGCACAAGTATCAGGATCCATGGAACCTAAAGGCCCAGACTTTCAAAAATTTGCGCGTATATTTCGAGTCATATCCGGTATTCACGCTTGCAGCTGATTCATTCAAAAGGTCTCCACGACTCATCTACAGATCTGCATGCTGTGATTTCCGAATCATAAATTGGCAATGGTCCGGCACGTTTTACTACCATGACTGGAATGCTATCCCATATGTAACAACCTTTTGTTCAGGGTATATATAATTCGACTTGCCACTGAAAAAACCAGTTTCGTTAATTAGGCCATCTCGTCATGTCACGGTCTTCCAACGAGCTCAAGGTTTGTCGCGCCTCTACCCCTCCTCACACATTCCATTAACCATTTATCCCAATATCTAGAATATTTTAGACGACTTGAGCACAGGGTCTTTTGACTCTGTCGCCTCAGCCACTCTATTTGCTCTCAGGGACGACTGTACATTCCCTGATGCGTATCAAATCACCATCGCGCTCTATGGCGTCATAGACTCGGTTCATCTCCAACGAGTCAAGCGCGGCCTCATACCTGAGCCCTTGCAGCAGGCTTTGGCTTTGCGTGGCCTAGCATCGTTCATGCCCTTCTGGCTTGGCCGCCCCGTCTATACTGCCAGAATGCTCAACACACTGACTTCCCGCTGGCCCATCATTCGCGAATGGCTGCTTTTCCTCGGGACAGACTACGTGTACAATGATAGCATTGATAAAACCATGCGTATTCTCGCTAAGCGAGCAATCGTCGACTTCTTGGGCATCTGTAGGCATGATATGCTCGGGGATTCACTTCCTCTCGTTCTGTCTAGCCCCGGAATCGTGTCCTTGATGTTCAGTATGTGGGACTTGGAAACAAAAGATCGTTATTTCAGCTCCTGCGTGCAAGACGATGATATCCCTGGCCCCCCTCCAATTATCCGCACTCCAGCCATTCTGGATTCCTGGATGTGCACATTTTCTGAGACGGAGTCCTGGAATTGGCAGGAAATCATGCGGCCGTTTAACAATGACGGGGCGAAGATCGCTGCAACAGGTCTTGATCATCTGGAGCACGACCTCGCACAGCACCCGATTGATTACGACTTGATTATCTGGGATATCCATCTTCTGACCTCCCTTTCCGTAAACACCATCATCCGCATTCCGTTACTTATGCAACACTCCATGCAGAAAACTGCAGGCGTTATTGCTAATATGGTATCTCAGCGGCCTCAGTGCATCAAACAACGTCAACTAGTGGCGAAGGCCATTTCGTACGCATGTTGGTATATCAGGGCATATGTGGAAGACACGGATGGGCTACCCTGGATTTCTGAGGTCCTCGAGGCAGGCTTGTTACCCTCGTTGCTAGCGGTCGAGCCGTGGGTAAAACACCTCAAGGATAATCATGACGAAGACTGGGAGCCACTCTGGCTTCTTCTCTCGACCATTTTCCCCAAGTATGCAATTTTTCGTTCTGTGCTTAAAGCGATGGGTCGGTCCATCAAGGCCATTAACGCCGTCAAGGCGGTGGATAGGCCAAAGCCGGATGGTCCCATGCATAAACACTGGTCCACATTGGAGACACTTGTGATGAACCGACTTAAGTTGTTAGAGACTGATGATGTCGATGAGGCACATGTTGATTCTTGTCAAAGTCCAAAGGTGCGTATCATCTCACATATTCCTATATGAGCTTCGTAGTGATCGTTGTCCAGTGCAATAAATCAGGAGCAGCAGGCACCTTCAAGCGTTGCGCTGGTTGCCTTCACGTGCATTACTGTAGCAGGGAATGTCAAATCTACGATTGGAAGCAAGGCGGCCATCAAACATATTGTCGCGGAATCCAAGCTCGCCGTGCCAGTACGTGTTTCATAAGATTGCAACTTCTGATGCCGAATTTCATTTATTTCTCGCAGAAGGAATCATGACCCGTATTTCTACTCGTGATCTCCGTTTTCTCGATCGTGTCATTGCATCTGATCTCTCTTATCATAACGAGCGAATCTCCAAGACAGCGGCAATACATGCTCCGGGGCCCGCAGTCGTTGAGATTGATTATACCTGTATCCCTTTCCGCATCGGTGTTGGCTGCACGGAATCGCTCCCTGTGCCAGACACCTGCAAGTGCGACAAGCTGATGCAACAAAAATGGGAAACGATGGTGGAGCTTGCACGGAACAGCAAAACGCCGGGGCAGAAGCTTTTGATTCGTACCTTCATTCCATGCGGGTCTGCGCCGAAAGTGAAGTTGCAGCTCATCCCAATCAAACGGATCATCCCCGGTTATGACCCGAGCCAGGACCATGATCCCGCCGAAGCAATTGATACGTTTGATCACTTGTATTCGTGCGCGGGGCATTCTTTTACCATTGTTGATCATTCGTACCCCGTGGAGACTGTCAGGCTCATGACCAAAGAGATGGATGCATTGACTATTGAAGGAAAGGAGAATACCACTGACCAGGCTGGATCGGCTTGAGGAGTCCGAGTCATGGTAGATGTCTGCATATACTAAAAGCGAATTGTGTCGCACTACTTTTTACGCAGTTTGATCGCTTTCATCCGTGTACAGTGTATATTGTACCTATTTAGCGATGGACAGGGGCTAAGCGCTACCTCGTTGTTTGGACATCATCGTACACATGTTTACCACACTGCTCAACGTATAGAGCGAATCTCAATAGCGTTCACATATCTCGTCTTACCTATGAAAAGCCCCGATTCTCACATCTTCTACTGATTCTTCGAACTTAACGTCCAAGTTGCGATGGAAAAAACAGACACACAAGAAAGCACAGCGGTCACTTTCGAATGGACCCTTCGTGGTCTTAAAAATATCTTTGAATCGAGGTAATCGCATTGACATGCCCATCAGCTACTGCGGTTAACCAGAAATGTAGCAAGGGTGAATCGAAGTCAAAGGTTACAAAGTCATTGAGATTCGGAAATGGACGCTGGCAGGTATGCCTTACACCGTATCGCCTTCGTGGCTTGCTTCACTAAATGTCGCTTTATAGATTCTTTTCTATGCGAACTCTGGGACGGAGGGCGGAGGGTTCGTGAGCTTATATCTGTCCTGTGAGGTGTGCCCCATTGTTGCCTGTACCACGAACTCGTTATTGACACGTTCTCATGATCTCCAGCCCACTGCTGAAGAAAAGGACAATGCGGTAGACGGGAGGTACGTCTCATGGAGGCTTCGACCTCTTTCAGCCTCATCCTTCCATACACTGACTTCAAATGTATAGGTGGGTACGAGAGGGCGTCTACAAATTCAATTTCGAGCTTCGAAGGTCAGAACTCAACGTGCTTACGATTCGTCTGCAACTGATTCTTTCCATACACAGTCTCGGAAAGACCGCATTATTCAATATCAAAGAAGCCCATAACCATTCATTCTCATCGAAGGTATATTGTTTAGTTAACTTTTCGATTCATGCTTAGTGGTTTGCTCATACAGACAGCCAATTGGGGATGGTGCGTGCGTCCCGTTATTCACGAGATATGTTGATGCATCTTTGGACAGGGCTCAGTTTGCGCGACGAGATCATGTGTACTATCATTCAAATGCCGTCAAGGATCAAGACGCTTTCCTCATCATCTGTACTATCACATCATCCCCGGCCGTCCCTGTGCAACCACCAACAGCACCAGCTCAGCTTGTACCAAAGGATTTCCTGGAACGCGTGGGATCGCTGCTTGATGACCCACTATACTCCGACGTCGAGTTCGTCCTGCCTAGCCGAGGCAGGTCGAAGGGTTCTAGATTTATCTACGCCAACAGAAAGATATTGCAAAGAGCAGACTACTTTCAGACTAGTAAGGTGACTGGATCAGTACAGTGCATAATACTTACACTTGGACTGTCCTTAGTGTTCAGCTCAGGATTCTGCGAGGCTTCTTCAGACCATGGCCAATATGATATCGATGATGGCGATGGCGCCTCAGATGACACCTATCTTAGCCGTCAGTACGATGATTCGGATGACGAAGACGAAGATTTCATGATACAGACGACCGATGAACCGAGTTTTGATGGCACTATAGAGTCGCAGATCGAAGAGGATGCTGGACCTTCTGTGCCAGTTGCAGGTATCAGCAGCACCGATCTAAATGTCCAATCCGTAGAGGAAGATGCACAAATGTCGGGTGGTCTAGAAGATGAACAGACACGTAATGTTCAACCCAAGTTGTCCCACCCATCGTCCCCAAGGAGTAATGACGTAGCTCTTGACACGAATGTCCACAATTGGATGAAACCTACAGCACCTGCCAAAGGCAAGGAAGAGGTTGTGGGACCCAAGAAAATGCGTGTCTTTATTCGGGATGTCGCATATGCAACTTACAGGGCTGTTCTCTACTACGTGAGCGTGGTTTGAGGTTATATTTGGTACATTCATGACCTATGCATTACAGATCTATACTGATGTCATTGTCTTCGCCCCTATATCCTCGTCGTTCCACTCAACGGCTCAAAAGAAGTCGCCGACAATAGTTTCGACAGCACAGGCCCCTTCTGATAGTCAGTCTAACTTGCTTGACGTTCCAAAGGCAGGGAGTTCGATGGAGATTCCTACGTCAAGGAGGGAGTGGATCCGAAGGTGGCAACAAAACCATCCAGGGCGACCGTCGCCTTGTTCTGCGAAAGCTGCTTATCGATTAGCAGACAGTGAGTCAATCACACGCTTTCCTGATCGTTTTCGTCACTCACTGTAATCCGACCGAAGAACTTGGCCTCCTTGATTTGAAAGAGCGTGCATACCAGGTAGTTCGCGCGTTCATACGGATGTAATTTGTGTTGACGCGCACGATACAGCACATTCAGAAGTCGCTCACTGTCGACAATATTCCATATGAGGTGTTTTCTCCATTTTCTGCGACCTTTTCCGACGTCCGCAAGGTCCAAGTTAATTTCTTCCTTGAGCACTGGGGAGATATCCGTTCTTCAGACGCGATGCGTAGCGTGTGGCAACAAATTCGCATAGGAAGACATCCTGGATTCGAGGAAGGTATGTGCTCGGATCATCAGTTTTCACAACATGGGAAGTGACGTATCATCAAGTATGGCCTTTGATTGCACAGCATCTTGTGTTTAACCCGAAGACGGGAGGAACAGGAGATACGGAACCGATTGAGGGCTAGAAGTGGGAGCGTCATGTACATATGTTTCTGATATACTTAATAACACCTTCCCCTTGTTTTTGACGGCGAGTGAGCATCTGCTTTGCAGCTGAAACGTTTGACAGATCAATACGTGCAGGTGGTGCCGTCTTTCGACTGATCAGACATAAGGGAACTTGGCGGAACGAACCTGTGAATAAATATCGTACGACGTTTGATGGTAGATGTAAACAAAGTCCCCTTGGCGTAATACACCAGTGATGGTAACGTGATTCTAAATAGTCGGATGTATTCGATTATGCGCCATTCGGTCATCATTCAACAGAGGTCAGGCTACCATAATCCGTGGCTTCCGTTCCAGACACGCTAACCGTTCCATCATGATCACTGTCTCCCTCATCTTCATCATCGCCATGCGGCTTTCCGGTAACCGTAGACGTGCTAGTACTGAACTGGAGGGCTCTTGGCTTTGGGCCAGAAAACATTGCTGTTGCTCCAGTACCTTGATGTGTGTAGATCCTTGAGTGAGAACAAAACTATGAGCGAGGTGACGAATCACCGTTGAGGAGGGAGCCAAATGAACGGCTGGCGTTCGGGGTCTGTGATACGGGGTTCGGCGTGTTCGTGGACCGTCGCGGTGTCCCAGGACGTGAAGCGGTTGACGCTGAGTCACGCCGGAGCACGTCACCGACGGGTCGCCGCCCTTGCGTGGCTTCATTGTAGCGGGTGGGACGAGGATGTGCAATGTCACCTGGACGCTGGTGAGTGCCGAAAGAAGAACGTCTCCGATCTTCTATCTCGAAAGATCGTGGCCCCTGTGAAACATCGGCAGGAACAAAGAGCTGCTGATCCTGAAGGTCACTATGAGAATTCTGAAGGCCAGCGCTTGATGGGCCGTCCGCCGTCTGCGACGGAATGCGGTGGAGAAGTCCAAAACTATCAAAAATAACGTCAGTCTAATTATCCCTTTGAATTATATATAAAGAACAAACCCAAAAACACATCCCAACAGTCCTTCGCCACCCCAATGGCGATTGGGCACTAATACGACCTCTCTGAGATTACTGAAAAGTGGCAGATTAGAGAAATGAAGATACAATCTACAGCACCAGAACGCACTCGAAGTCATACGAGTAAACATAAACTCGCAACGGCTTGTCAACATGCTGTGAATACAAAATGTTCAGTGGCCCAAAATAGCACAAGACCCAGATAGTGTCATACAGCTTCCACGACATCATAAAAATCGTTCTCCGCGGTCAATATGCCGCCGGACCATCCAATTATCCAGTCACCGTATGGGACAAGACCGGCACTTTCTGCTGGACTTCCTTCTAGGACTTCAAGAACGTGCCAAACATTGTTTGTTGCATTCTCGAATTCGCACATCCGCATGCTCAAACCCAACAAGGAAGGCTGAGGAGAGTTCTCAACGTCATCTTGTGGGATCGATGCTTGTTGTTCCAAAGCCCAAGCCCGCGAGGGAACAATTGGTACAACTAAGTTTGTTCACATCATCAACGCCATAAACATATCATCTGAGACTGGACGTACCTCGAGTTGTGCGCGTTTTACTATTCCAGACCAAAAGATTAAGCGTCTTCTCCTCGTGTTCTTCCACTATCCTTTCGAGCTCTGTGGCATCTATGTCGCTCTCAGCGTAGAAAGCATCACTGCCATCGAAGCCAACGATGAAGTCAAAGAATGGCTCTATGGACGTCTGCGACGCTGGTGATAAAGGAGTGACTCGTAAGACATGCAAAGCATGAGATTTTTCCGCTTGTGCTGTAGATGCCGATGATTGTCCTGCTCCCATAGAATCTACAGAGAAACTTGAAGTCACTACATTAATTGCAACGGTAAAGTTGGAAACAGTAGACCACTTAAGTTATTTGTCATTGTTTACTTTTAATCCTTGAACCCTACACCAAATTTTCTTCACCAAGCGCGTCGCAGTCGCGTTCATTCGGGGTGTCGATACTATTTCGTCGACTGACTCTATGCGGCATGCGGTGAGCCAATCCATCAGTTTTATAGTTTATCATGATCTGAGCTGATATTTATCTGAAACAGCTAACTTATGTTACTTTGTCGCCGTTTATTTCCTCGAGTGCACACCCCGATCCGTGTTTACGCCCAACAATTATTTGGCAGCCAGATCCGTGGCAAAGCTGTATCTCGCTCGAGACTTGCCAATGACACTGTGCATAATGCCCTGCCGGAGGCTGTGGACTTGGCGCCTATGCTTCACCCTTTTTCCCGTGTCGAGAAAGAGCTGTTGGAAAGAGTTGCGTGCATTTCAACATGGGTACCTCGACAGGTGCCGAAGAAATCTGCACAATTGGAGAAAATGGTGGAAGTTCTACCCGACCCTTTTGCGGCATACGCGGAGTTGCGAGCACAGGACAGAACGCTGGCCGCGTCTTTACCGCTCCCCATTCTTGTCGCCCTCTCTGAGAAGGCCACAAAGCATGGACTATCGACTATCGTGGATGGTATTGCTACAGACTTACTGGACGGGATCATCACCACGTCGAACCGCCGGCTCCGAGTCGCTGCAGCGTTGCTATCAGCGACATCCAACGACCCGCCCATTCTCGACAAGCAGAAAGTTTGCTCCCTCCTCACCCTCCTTCGTCAATCCCATGCGCTTTCTGAATTAAGTTCTGTGAATATCTCGGCATTAGTCAAGGGTATTGTCGACAACCCCGGCATAGATCCGTACGATGCAAAGACCATGGATATCCTCATCCCTATCTTCCACAAATCCCTTAAAAACCAACCTGCGCCAAAAGGTGCAAAATCTATGTCCCATCGCCCTCCGGGTGATGTCTTCATAGCTTTTGGCCTGATTCATAAGTTAATCATATTGGACCGAAACAGACACGCGCTCCGTCTCTTCCAGACCCTCACTGCGACATGTCATATCCCAGCAGAAGCCTTCACAGAAGTGCATCAGACGTCTGCGAAGGACAACAATTTCGCCTTTGTGGTCAGGTCGACATTGGTCAGAGCCTGTCTCCATTGGGGTTGGTATCATCGTGCACTCGACATCGTGGTCACTGCAATCCGGACTCAGGTTTCTACCGATGTTGCACTCACTGAACTGGCACTTAGCACGCTACACCTTACTCTCCATAACGCATCTACCAATCATTTCAAGCAATGTACATGGCTTATGTGTCATATCATCAATTCCGCCGGCAGTGTTATTATCCCAGATAGCATGGTTCGCCTATTCTACGACAAAGCTATGCACTTGCAAGATGGTCCATCCGCGGAGATTCTCTACAAGAACACACAATCCCCAAGAGTTGTCCGGAGGATGAAGTATCCTCTTCCACGAGGCTATTCATTGACATGGCTCATGAATCATCTTACGATCACCAGCCGCAATATACACCTGGCTCGGACATTAGCCAAGCAAGTTATCGACGAGATGGAGCCAATACCAGTGCAAGACCGGGCTCATTTCATTGCCCTCACCGCATCCCATGGTTTCTCCTCCTCCGCACGCACATTATGGGAGCGTTATTCCGTTGGAAGGGATCGCGAAGCTGTTCTTGGAAATGCTTCCTTGATGCTTCGCATGGTCAGCATCTTTTCCAAGCTCATACATCGCACCAGGGCCGAGATAGAGGAACCGAGTCAAATTAAGGCTAGCTCAAGCACAACTTCGACGCTCGACGAGCGGGAAACGCTGTTGGAACATTTACGCCAGTTTTCCGAACTGGTCGTTAGCTCTTTTCGCGCATCGAAAGGCTCTCTAGAGGAAACGTCTCATTATGATCTGAGCACATTGGCCCGTGCCTACATCGCACTTGGGCGTATTTCCGAAGGTCTGGATATGCTCAAAGTTTTACTTCAACGCTACGAAATCCCAGACCTCTACGATATTAACATCGCACTATCTGCTATGGCTGAGCTTCATCCGAAGAAGGCAGTGGGCATCCTGAAAAAGATGGTTGAACGAGGCATACGTCCTGATGCAGTGACGTTTGGAACCATCATTCATCATGCCATCCTTCATGGCGAGATGAGACTTGCAGGCTACTTGATTGGTCGTGCCAAAGAGCTTGGTTGCGAGGAGCTGTCAGGCAAAACCACTGCTTCGCTTATAAGGGCGAGTGTAAACGCGGACGGGGCTCCCAAGTCGATTTTGAAGGAGAATCTACAGCGTGCCTGGGAGATCATTCAAACAGGAGACGTGTCAAGCGTCGTGCACACGCCTAACACCGGGAAATACTGCATTTTTGCATCACTCCGGCTTGATGACCCGGCGATGGCGTTCAAGTTCTGGGAGACGCTGGTGAAGGAGAAGACTGAATGGGGAGATAGGAAACAGGTGTTTCAAAGACGGCTTATTGCCGATATGATCCAACGACATTGCCAAGAAGGTGCGCTGAGTCGGAGTCGTGGTCGACAGATGCTTGGTCAGTTGAGGGAGAGGAGGATTTTGCTGTAGATCGTCATGTAGACATAAACTATTCACCCTGTGGTTATTTGTAAGTACTAAACTGGTAAATGGGAGCCGGTAGGCCTATAATAACTATTGCCAAGCAAAGCACACGAGCACCAAAGTACTCTCATTAATCACCGTGACTACCAGAACGGTTCCGTCCCTACCAGCCAGCACGTCTCAGAGCTTCAAATATTGTCACGCATGCCTCCTGTGCGAGCAAAAAAGGACGCTAAATCTGTCTCGCCTATAACATCGTGCGACGCAAATCCAAACGAATCTACAACCGCCGAAAACAGCAGAGGCCAGAGAAAGTGCGTCCGAGTCCTCATAAAGACCGATGTTTCTCCGTTGAGATTGAAACTGTTCCCCATCTCATTCCTACCTCCTTTACGCCTGACCTAATTCAATAAAATTCCTAGCCGGCTCGAGCCTCATCGGTCCAAATAGCGAGCTTGTCATGTCATTTTTTTCTCTGATTTGGTGAAGATTCAATGTTCTGACTCCTTCTTCTTCGAACAGGCGGCAATCTCAGAGTACGTTTTAGCGCTCATCTCTTCAAGGATGATCGAGATTGAGTTGCTCATTCGCTTCTTTCGAATAGGCTGTGATGCTTGTAGAGCCAGAAAGGTTCGATGCGTCCGGGAGAATATAGAAGATCCAAAGCAGTCTTGCAAACACTGCATAGCACTTGGAATACCCTGCACTTATGATTACCGACCAAAAAAGAGAGGGCCTCCAAATTTGTAAGTGCTCCCTCAAGGCTACGCTCTTCTCCTGATACCAATACTAGATCCTCAGATATCTCCGTCGTTTACAAGAAGCAGCAGCAGCCGCTGTTGCAGCTCAATCTGACCAGAATAATCAGACAAATGACATTGCATCGATATCGCCTATCCCTGCTCATCAACCCCTTTCTAACCCAATACATTCAAGTTTATCCCCATTGCAGCAGCACATACAGCCCCCTTCCCTAGAACCTATCATGGCTCCAATCCAGACTTCCGCTCCCATTATCTCCCCATCTCGATACCCTATCGCGGCCGACTCATATCACAATCATTACTCTCCTGCTAATACGATTCTCCCGACATCAACTGGTGGCGCCCTCCTCCCTCAGAAGACGGACGATAATCGATCATACTCCTTTTCCGAGTCATATGGCGAATTTCCTGCATACAATTGGTCTTATAAACATCATCAGCCTCTCCCGGTTCTACTTCCGAACGTCATACCCCCACTTTCATATTATTACCGAGCTCACCGCTTGGAAGATATCGCTCCTCGAGACAGTATTTCACTTATCATCGCTCTTTTCTTCGATTTTGTGTATCCACTAACCCCATGTATCCACAAGCCATCGTTCATGGCGGACTTGCACATCAAGAGAGAAGAACGCGACCCGTTATTTTTTGCTCTTGTCATGTCGACAGTGGCATCAACCTTGGTGCAAGTACCACGATCTTATGTACCCATGGAACGCTCTGTTGTGCGAAAGCTTGCGCAGAGATGCTATGAAGCCAGCCGACATATCACTACTGCAGCCTACGACCCTCCCATGTCTATGCACGTTGTTATCCGATACTTGTGCGTGGTTCGACTATTTTTCATGACTACCATTCATTATTAAATTGCCAGCGACTGTATATACCATTTTTGCGAAGGTAATGATGCTGCACAGCACGCGGCCTTTGGCGAAGCAGCTCACATTGCCGTTACTCTGCGCATGCACGAGGAGTCCTCCTACGAGGGGTTTGACCCCATCGAATGCGAGATCAGACGGCGAACATTCTGGTTACTTTTTGATGGTACGTTCTGGATTGTCTCGTTTTGTGTCATTAATCAACACAAATACATTATATTTGAATACTCACAAAATAAAATTTAACCTTGGGATCTGCAGCTGACAAGTCGATGTCGATTCTCTTGGGGCGTCCCATATGTCTTCGTGACGAAGATTGCACTGTTCACTTTCCGAAGGAACTTGATGACGAGTAGTAGGTCACTTTGTTTTTCGCCCGAGAATCGACCAAGCTTAGCATTTCTGTGACTTCTCTTTTGAGCATCATTCACAGTGCATACCTGCCTCAGCCGCGTGGCAAGACAGCCCTGGTCTCAGGATTAAACTACATCTCTAGGATTTTTGCACTTCTCGGTGAAATATTAGTCCGTATTAGAGTGGATAAGCGGTCGCCTCCACAGGGTCAATTTGCAACGGCGAGACTCGAGGAGGTCCAATCGTTGCACTCGCGCATTATGGGGGCCCTCATGCACACACCAGAGCCCCTGAGGCTGAAACAAACGTGTCGGCAGAGCCGCCTTTCAGCGGAGTGCGGTGGCGCTGGGTTCAGACAAGCCACATTCGCGGAGGTCAAAGACTTCTTCGAAAACCCCAAAGCTTCACGTGCAAACGCCCTTAACCCGTTCCTGGTCATGCAGGCAAATCTCTATGTGACTCAAGTAAGCTGTTGCTGTGAACTAGCACTGTTTGAGATCATTTTAATTGTGTTGATCAAGCAACTCGTTCGATTCGTGGTGGAGCAATACCGCGATGAACTGGTTATGGCTTTGCAAGGTAGTATTGATGAACACCAGGTCGCTAAGGATAGGGAAGCAGTCGCAAGTGACCTGCTCAATATTCTTCACAGGCAAGTACTTTTTCATTTGACGTGGTGCTGTTAAATTTTCTTCCACAGCATTCCTATCCAGTCAATCGCTACTAATGGTCCTTCACTGGTGAGAATCATCTGTATTGATTTGAACTTATCAAGTAACATCACTGCCACCCAGGTGCACAAAGTGCGATTCGTCGCATCCACCCTGTTAGATGCTGTCCGGAAGGCGGAGACAGCTCCGGCATCCGCTGCGCGTGCCCATGCTTTCCTGTGTGCGTTTCGCGCGCTTATCGCTGTACCACTATCTCTCTGACACGCTTCTTAGGGGACTTCTTATCTATTCTGTCCGAAATCGAGAGAAATTATCTGTGAGTTGCGACCATCAGATTTCATACGTGTGAAGTCTGTAGAGCTCAATGATTACTGTGTATTCCAGCCTCGACGACGATCGTGACGGCACATCGAGTGGCGACGGTGGCATTTCCATAATCTAGCAAAATGGTACATGATCTTTGTACTTCCTTTTGTTGTCCTTGTATCTGTGGTCTGTGTATCGTATCGCTGGACTCGTCTATTCATACACGCCGCTATACTTATTCGATATTCGTTCACTTTAGATTATCTCCCAAGCTCGATATCTTTAGTATTAGAGTTCCAGACAATTCCACCACATTCGTGATCGGCATACAGATGCCAGTGTTCTATCTTCAGAATCATGACACCCCAACCTCGACGGTGTCATTTTGGTTTGACTGAACCCAGATTGCTTGAGAACAGGGGAGTTCTATGTTTGGCCTGGCGTGACTACTTTGTGACACCATGGTGACTGACAGGGCTTCGTGTTTACTTATGCTAGTCATTCAGACGTGATAATTGATTTCTCTGGCCTAGTCATACGTCATACGTTGTCGTGCCAATTCGTCATGGACACGCAATACGAAGGAGGGAGCAAAGGCGATCCAGTGCAGATTACGGAAGGTTGGACAATCCCGCAGTGCAGATTGTCTCCATACACTGACAGGAGACGCGTCTTCTTTTGGTACATCGATGATTCAACCTGGATGGTTATGTAGATGAAGCAGCTGTTTATGACCGCCAGATCCGATTATGGGGCCTTGAAGCTCAGCAACGGTGAGTGCTACACGTTTAGCAGACGACTTGCTCGTATATTTCAAGTACTGAACTGGCCATTAATAGAATGCGAAATGCCACCATCTTGGTTATCCGACTGCGGGGTACTGCGACAGAAGCAATCAAAAACATCGTTTTGGCAGGGATAGGAAAACTTGTCATTTACGACTCAGAAGAAGTCAAGGAGGAGGACTTGGGAGGTGGTTTCTTTTTCAGGGATGAGGATGTGGGGAAAAAGGTACTACAAAATTTAATTCTCGCATATTTCTTGTGTTTATTTACCGGCAGTTTTTCTTTTCTGATAGAGAGTGGATGCTGCGAAGGCTCGAATAGAGGCACTAAATCCGCTTGTTACAGTGCAAGCCCTGAGACATCCGTCGCTTTTAGAGCAGGAGTCTTTAGAAGCCCTCATTATGAGCGTTGATTTAGTCTGCGTGACGGATTGGGAACGCGAAGCCTTGGTGAGTTCCATGATTCTCAGTGTACTCATCAGTTCATTTGCTCCCACTAGATAAAAATCAACGACATCTGCAGGCAGTTTGGGAAGCCGTTCTATGCTGGTGGTACATTTGGCTTGCTCGGTTATGTTTTCTGCGATTTGCTCAAGCATGACTACATTTCTCCGTGAGTGGCTCTATCCATTTTTTTTGGATGACAGCTTGTCTCTATCAGCTGTCAATCTTGCTCTCTTTGTCATCTAATATTATTGAGGAAAGTGACCGGTCGGCACCCAAGGAAGCACCGAAGAATGTGAGAGCGACTGCATCCTACTCACGGCTGTCGACGGCTTTACAACATCGGTGGACAGGTCTGACAAAACGCCAGACAAAAGAACTCAACCCCGCTGTGGTGCATATCATTCTAGGTATGAAATGATGCCGCGTTCTGATTTTTCGCACATAACCTGATGTACATCTGGCTAGCCCTTTGGGAATATCAACATACTCATGAAGGGAAACTTCCAGACGACACGGACACAGCCTCTGAGCTCGGGAAGATAGCCAATGCTATCCTCGCTACGTCAGACGTTAACCGACAAGTTTTGACTTCAGTTCCTCTAGATCTGATTAAGTGCGCATTATTAAATTTATCTGGCTGGTGATTTAGAATGACGTATGTATTTAGTGCAATGAGCACATCAGCTGCGCACGAGTTATCTCCGACATGCGCAGTTGTTGGAGGGATCCTGGCGCAGGATATTTTGAAAGCTCTTGCCGCTCGAGAAGCGCCAATAGCGAACTTTTTCACGTTTGATGGAAACACAGGCGGTGGGTCTGTGTGTAGGATGAACATGTAGTTGATAGGCTGTTGGACCATACCTTATTTCAATTCTTTGTGACCTGTCCTGGCTTGGCTATCACCCGTGGGTCGGCGTTACAATTTCAAAGCAGTCCAAGGCCTGCGTGGGAAAGTCTATTCGTCCAGGTTTAGACTACAGTTTTGGAGCCACCGTGGGTCAGGTCACCCTGCGAATATCTTCCTGTTCTCAAGTCTCGTCGCTCTTCGTATTAACTCCATGGTTCCTCAGCAACAACGCCGGCCACCTCCAAGCGCCCAGGAATATTACGCTGTACCACAGAGCCCACAAGGTTCATCTATGCAGGCCCCATATAATCCGTCACGGCCCCCAGCAAGGTCTGGTTCTGCAGGCAGCCAGATGCAATCAGGTAGGGGTGCCATCGCACAAGGAGTAGCTAGTGGTCAAATTGGCGGGGGGTATGGTCCTTATTCTGTAAGCACTCTACTTCTCACTCTATGTTGATCCTGGAGTGAATTTGCGGGCGCTTCAAGTACAACCCATCTACATCCCAGAACAACGGCGTTCACAACCCTTCACGGTTCAGCGCCGCCGCCTCTGAGGTCTCTTCTGCGACTGGCGAAAGGGCTGGCGGTCCCTTAGGTACCTCGGGTACGGTCCCACCATATTTGTGGGACATCCAGGATCCAGATCTCGATGATGCTCTACACAATCCTGATCCCGTCAATGATGCAGCACTCGATAGTTCTTTTACAATTTTTTCAGCTCGAGGATGGGCAAACGCATCCGCACTCTTCATCCTCGTCGTCGGACTCATCACGCTATTCGCTGGATACCCAATTATACATTATTTTACCTTGCCCTCCAACACATCACCAGGGTACAACTTGGGTGGAATAAACGCTTCGGGTCAGATACCACTTCTCCCAGGAATGCCGAGCCTCATAGATGCCGCCACCCCATCACAATATCACACCCGAACGGGGAGTGATGGCGATACATACAAGTTGGTGTTTAGCGATGAATTTAATACAGACGGTCGAACATTCTGGCCTGGAGATGACCCGTTCTGGGAAGCAGAGAATCTTCATTATTGGTGAGCGTGAATTGCGTGAAATTATCAGCCGACATAACACTTCCTAATACAGGGCTACTGGCGACCTTGAGTGGTATGATCCGCAGGTGTGGCAGTACCCAGAACTTGTGCCCATCATGATCTGATATCTATCACAGGCTATAACGACTCAGGGCGGGAGCATGGTAATCACTATAACGGAACAGCCCATAAACAACCTTAACTTCATGAGTGGTGTGTGGAAACCGCCAATGTGACCGTCTTTGTCGACTCATCATTTATAGGCATGGTTACAACATGGAACAAGGTCTGCTTCACAACAGGATACATAGAGGTCAACGTGAGCATGCCAGGATCGCCTTCAGCTCCTGGTTTCTGGCCTGGTGGGCGAAGTTGGCTATTAGGTCCTATCTATGTTTACTGATACCATTATTTAGGTGCATGGACCATGGGTAACTTGGTGAGCCTTTATAATCCACAAGGTTTTCAGCGGTAAGGAATAATATTGATAGGGACGCGCTGGTTATGGAGGGACCACTCAAGGTTAGAGAGTGAATGTGTGTTCTCTTATTTGTGTCTTACGTTTTTGCAGGCACTTGGCCATACAGCTATGACACGTGTGACCTAGGAATATTGCCTAATCAGACACAGAACGGAGTTCCTGCTGCAGCGGCCACGGGCGGAAGCGGTGGCGGACCTCTGAGCTATCAACCAGGTCAACGACTCTCGAGTTGCACTTGCCCCGGTCAAGATCATCCTGGGCCAAGTGTGAAAACGGGACGTGGAGTTCCAGAGATCGATATTTTCGAGACTCAAGTCGACGTCAGCGTCCTCCAAGGCCAAGTTTCGCAATCCTTCCAGATCGCACCGTACGACTATCAGTATGAGTTTACTTCGACTACACCTGCTACGACTATCCAGAACTCTCAAACTCAATTGAACTCTTACAAGGGTGGTGTTTATCAACAGGCTTTGTCCGCGATCACCTACATCAATGATTTGGACTACAACGGGCAGGCCTTCGCGACGTATGGCTATGAATGGTGGTCAAATCCTAGCAATCGGCCAGAAGGATACATTCAGTGGTACAGTGCAGGCCAAGAAACATGGAAAGTTACATCTGCATCTATCGGGGCGGATTCCACATCTCAGGTCTCGGCGCGCTTAATTCCCGAGGAACCCATGGTAATTTTTTTTGTTGTGTGACCTGTTCCAATGTTTGACACCATTTGCAGTATATTATCCTGAACCTGGGTCTCGCTCGTGAGTGGAACCGACAGAAACATCTTTTTCATTGATTACTAAACGTGCTTCATCGTAGCTTCGTTCCAGGCGCAAGACTTTATGCACATGCAATTTCCAAGTGAAATGTACATTGACTACGTTCGCGTCTACCAGCGGGAAGGCATCCAGAATGGCCTGACTTGTGATCCACCAAACTACCCCACTGCGAATTACATCAATAAGTACGTGTTCATCATACCCTCGTGCTATCAGTCAATATCTCACACTGCGCAGTCATCTGAACGCATATACCGACCCCAACATTACAACCTGGGCACAAGCTGGATACAACTTTCCCACAAATACTCTCACCGGGTGTTAAGCCGTGGCCATCCCCTTGCTTCGTGCTGTGCTGTTATGTTGTTAGTCACGATCTTTTATAACCGTACGCCCTGCTTGCATTATTATACGACCACACAGCTATTGCACATCGGACACTTCATCCTCCACCTTAACCCCTTATTACGCTCCCTACCATAAAAGAACGTTCCGCCCACGTACTGACTTCACGTCAACATACATGGAACTTTACTAGGTCTCTCATTTTGTGGTAGAGACATTCCTTCATAGTCGTTACCTATCGTAAATAGGATCCGAGACCACAAACAGATGAGATAGTGAATTAGATGGACTATCGGTATACCAAGCTCATGATGTGTCAATGCAGTAATTGGAACCAGGGATGTACGGTGAGGGCAATAATCTAGCCTAACATCTTTCTGAAGTCGTCTTGCCCCTTCTTCCCCTTCTCTGGTGGCTGAGCGTTTGAACTCGATGGCGCCTGCGTGGCACCAAGACCAGGTTTGCGGGCACGACCAAGGCCGGCTCTCGGCCGAGACCCGGTTGTCCGAGGTACAAACATGCCCCCAGTTGCTGGGGGCGGTGCCGCAGGCTGGCCACGGGAGGGCCCTGCCTGCTCTTCAGAAAACTGTAATACATTCCCGCCCAACATGATAGGTTC